AAGGAGACCTGATGGTTCAATGAGCCACTCTGTCTACAGGAAAGCCACCCACACGGATGCTTATCTAAAACCGGATTCCCACCACCATCCATCCCAGAAGAATTCCCTCATCAAGACTCTATATCATAGAGCCCAATGCATCTCCGACCATGAACACATTTCCAGTGAACTCAAACACGTACGCCAAGCTCTTAAGGCTAATGGTTACTCCGACTACACAATCCGCAAAGCCATCACTCCAACCATCAAGAAGGATCCTGTTGAGGAGCCTTTCAAGACCATCACCTTACCCTACATTGCTGGGGTCACAAAAAAGATCTCCAAAATCCTGATTAAACACAAGATCCAGGTCCGATTCAACACAGTACATAAAATCCGTGATCTGGTCCCGTCTGTAAAAGATGTGGTTCCAGACATACAGTACCCTGGCGTCTACAAACTAAGTTGCCTCTGTGGTAGCAGTTACATTGGAGAAACCAAACGACATGTCTCGGACCGCATCCGTGAACATAAGGCAGACCTGAAACACGGTAGGACAAACACCTCAGCCGTGGCAGATCACTGTTACAATTCAGTGGGCTCACATGACATTGACTTCTCCAAGACAGAGGTTCTCTGCAAGCCATCTGGCTATCATGAGAGATTCGTTCATGAGGCGATCCACATATACAAACACAGAGACAATTTCAACCGAGAAGATGGATTCTGGCTTAGCAATCATTGGAAGGACGTAATAAACCATTTCGGATCTTAACTGATTGTGTTCACGTTAACGGTGACTTTCAGACCGCGTTCCACTCACTGGCATGGTGCAGTGTGCAGAGTAATGTATGGTGTCGTAATTGTACAGTAAACATATAGCAGTATGATACACATTAGGGTGGGTAGAATAATACATAGTGTTATATTAAAATGGATAAGGCAGCAAGTGCAGCAGCAGCAAGTGCAGCAGCAGCAGCAAGTGCAGCAGCAGCGGCAACTGCAGCAGCAGCGGCAACTGCAGCAGCAGCAGAAACTGCTGCAGCAGCAGTAACTGCAGCTCCCTTTGATGCTGTTAATCCTGCATAATGCACATGCATATGCAGTACTAATCACATTCCTGCATTTCCCATAAATATGCTAAATTCCTTTTGATATGCAAATTCCTTTGTCAATGCGCCCAGCTTATATATATGCTCCAAGCTCGTGTGCTGTTTCATTCAGACTCTGTCGCCTCGACGGACCTGGTTTTCACCTGAGGACGGCTGCTTGCGTTGTGGCCGAAACGTCGTGAGAATTGTTTTATTATGTTTTATTTTTATTATTTTATTACTTCCCTTCTACGTGACTTTACCGAAAGAACCAAGAAGATCAGCAAGGCAACTTCTGCAATTGCACTGTACGGGTCAGTAAGACTAAAGCCCACAGTCACTCCCAAGGTTATTTATGTGCAAGCAAATCTCATTATTCTTATGCTATGCCCCCAATGCTCCCCAAACCACCCCCTCCTCTTCTCCCATGCAGCTGATATTACAAGCTGCTGCAATCATACTATCGTGTTTGCTTGTTTATCATGCCAATGGTGTTAAGGAAGGCCCCCATGCGTTGCAACATTTACTCCCACATTTTTTCCACATTCAGCATTGAGTCCTAACATTACATATTACGGATGGACAACTCATAGGATAATCAATGAAATGGGCTCTACATTCACTTGTTATCCAGAGCATAGCTGAATTTTGCATCACTCCAGTCTGTAATTGACAAACATCTATCATAGTCAAGCAATTACTTCACATTTGTAATGGCCCAATCTCCATTTTATCATCTTCCTTCTAATTAAATCTCTTTAATCCTTTTGCCCGAGGCAGAACATTAATCCCACTTCCCTTTGGCTTATTATCATGGCCATAAACACCTCTTAATCCAGTTTACTTCATGCCTTTTACAACTGCGTGTGCGGGCAGACTAGAAAAAAACTGCCGAAACGAATTTTAATTGGGAATCTTGAATGTCACAGCTAAGCCTAAATAATTATTAAAGGATTCCTTTATTTTAACATTTACAACAAACGTGCTAACTCATGTTCAAAGTAAACTTGTTTATTTTGATGAACTAAACAGCTAGTGTAATAAACTTCAAATTAGTATTTAAAGTGTGTATTTCACAATCACCGTTAGAATGTATTTCCAATGTAGATTCGCCTTCACCAAATCGCACACACCAGTGTGGTAAAGTATGATCATACAACCCCCAATGACTATCTCCACACATATAAAAGGCAAAGTAGTGAATATGTGTGTCTATTAAAAATGTTTAGCGTACTTCCCGACATGCAACAAACTTGACATTTGCCATGTGGGTACTTTCCAGACTGTACACCATGCAAACATTTTTTTTTGGGGGGGGGGAGCTCAATAATGCATATATTTTTTGCACGGCAAGTGAGCTGTGACGTCAAATCTGTCACGTGACCCGCGCATGTGGAAGCGTAACGCATTGTAGTGTAGCGGTTAGCGCGCAGCGCGACGAACCCAGCGACCCGAGTTCGACTCCCGCTCACGACCACCACCGGTGACGTTTATTTCAACCGGTCCTGGGCCTCCCCTAGGTCGACTCAGCCTCAAACGAGTAACTGTTGTCATGTGAACACAGACAAAGGCGGCCGGGTGTGGTGAATTCAAGTCCCGGGCGAAGCCAGGTAGTACAGCTAGTCAGAGATAAACCGCAATGGCTGATGTTGATGTTCACCATTTTAATGCTCTTCAAAATTAAGCTGAACAATATATATTTGCCAATGTTGGAGCAACAATGCAGCATTGTCATTCAGCAGCACAAGTAGTTGTAATCATGCGGAGTTACCAATTTAGTACAGTTACATTTTTGTTACCAAATGTATTATTTATATTTCCGTTTCAAGCAACCACATTAAGTTAGAAACAATCAGATAAAACAACTAAAATATAAAGCCGGGTAGGATTCATTGTGAACTTATGTACAGCTCAACCAAATACAGTTTTTTAGGGTTTTCCAATAGAATGGGCCAGCCACTAATGTGAGGTTTTAATAGGATGTGCCGAATAAAGCCCACCAAATGGCATCTATATTGAAATCTTTGTGCTGCTAATTAAGGCCAACGTCTGCTGTTTGTAAATGTGGCACCAGTCAGCAAATGGATGTGTTCTTTGCTCCTCTTATCAGGGGACAAGCTGTTCTGTTGAAAAACTGTTTCTATAATGTAAACTAAAATTCTCCACGTGTCTAACAAAAAATTCACGGCAATTGCACGTTTTGTATATCCAGCTGAATATTACCAAATTATGTTTCGTGTTTTGACAAAGGGCATGGTTCCTTATGCGGTAGTATTAAAATTACACGAGACTTTTTGATTTAAAGCTATCGTGACTGCAGCGATTCATCATATTCTTGGTTCTTTCGGTAAAGTCACGTAGAAGGGAAATAATAAAACAATAAAAATATAAAACAATAAAACATGTCAAATTTTCTTGCTGTGGATTTCACACCTGATGATGGTTGCTTGTGTTGCAGTCGAAACGTCGTGATAATTTTTTATTGTTTTATATTTTTATTGTTTTATTATTTCCCTTCTACGTGACTTTACCGAAAGAACCAAGAATATTACACAACACGTTAACATTGTACAGGCAGTCCTCGAACCTACGTCAGCTTACTTTCCTAGAGAAGGTGCCGCAAGTCAACACGGTGTAAATCGAGACTGATTTTCCCAGACATATTTTTCTAAATAGGGGGGTTATGTTCCTGACCAAAGGTCCAATATGAAACGTTTTAAAGATGTGAATATAAATAACATATTTAATAAACTACCAACCATATTTAAATTACAATAGTAGCGTTTAGAAAGTTCTTACCTCGATCCTTCACAATTCTTGGCTTATTTGGACTAAATACGGTAATGGCCTTTCTGCTACGTTTCTTTTCAACACCATCACCAGAGCACCCACCTCTCCTTTTAGCAGCCGTTTTAAGGGACGAAATTAATAAATAAATGCTTCGAAATGCAGAGGTTTAGCGCCAGAGCGCCGCATCGGCAAGCAGACTGAGCAACGTACTGGCATGCATGTATGTTTGTGCGCAGAACCGGTGCCTGAGTTGGCGTCGTGTCGTGTGGGCCCGACCGGCACAATAAACAACACAGGTGTGGCAATCGGCGACCTGCCATACGTGCGGATTGACGCAAGTCAAGTCGAGGACCACCGGTATTCGTTGAAATGTATCTCCATTGCAGTGGAAATGGTCGACCGCTGTAAGTAAACCCTTAAAAGTCCACAGACCACCATGCACCAATAATATGTTTTTTTAATTAACAAGACTCTAAATCGTAGTGTCTGCAACAGTTCCGTGGATCACTTCCCATGGGGGGCCTTGTGTGAACCACCAGTGCTCTAGAGCAGTTGCTTCTCAACCCTCTTCATTCCATGGCACACTATGGAGCTTTTGTTCGATCTTCGCGGCACACGGAACCAAAACGCCACTGTGGGAGGGGTTGGATGGAAATGCATTGTGGAAGCAGCTTGCCCAACTGCCCATGCGTGACCAAGGGGAGTTGAGAGCCGGGGGTGGGGGATGACGGCTCTCTGCTGCACTGCGTCGCGACCAATACAGAGGGGAGGGCTGGAGGTGGGGGGTGGAGACGGTATTGGCCACTGATCCGGCATGGTTGAGAGTTCAGCTCTCCTAGCTTGTTAACAGTGAGCGTTTTTACTTTGCTACAATAAAAAAAATACCACGGCACACACCTTGCTAAGCACTGCTCGAGTGTATGCGATGGTATTCAAAACAATTAAATTTAGTCATTACAGGCACTTGGTGCCCACCTCAAAAGCCTACTCTGTACAAATTCTGTGGCCCTGCGGGATGATGCTATACAAACTGAAGACATTTGTGGATAGTGGCATCGACGTTAAGCAATGACATGGTTTGATACAAAATGTACAAAGATACATCTGATGAAGTTTATTGGCGTAACATATACAACTTACTTGTGAGGACAGAAAGAAAGTCTGAAGATGCTCCTTGAATGGACTTGAGCTGACTTGAAGGATGTGGTTGGATTTCCCAGGTCTCTTAAACCAATGTGACCCAATTCTGTCCCTAAAAATCACAAGAGGAAACAAAAGAATAGACATTTGACCCAGTTGTAAAAATAAAATCTCCTTCAATTCAATATCCCATTTCGTTCATTTATACATACACAATACATTTCTATTTTACATTAACTGAAATAAGTAAAATCAACAATTATGGGAATGTTGGAGAAACATCTCTACAATTATCACACATTTCCCTTCTATAATTATCTATCTTACCTTTCATTATGCATTGCAATATAACGTTTAAAAAATGGACATGGTTAATCTGTGTCAAATTGCATTAATCTTTACCAAAACACTCCCAACAAAAGTTAATTATGAAAAGGAGCATTATCTCGATGTGATAAATTAACGATTTGCTATGGTGCAGATGCAGTAGGTTCAATGATAAATATTAACATGTGTGACATTCCAAGGAGATGGAATTTTTTGTAATGCTGTTGAGAGTATTGATACACAAGTCAAGTGGTTTAATCGAACTTTCAAAAAACCAAGTTTGGCTTCTTTAAAATTAAGTAGCTCGGTAAAATACGGAAACTTTAAAGCAAATATTATTTTTTATTAGCCATCAAGATAATATCCTCTACACGATCCCAATGCCAGTGGTTCCCCCACAAAATATGGAACCTCAAATTAAAATAAGTTGAGAATTGTTAATAAACTCTGAATAGTTGTTGTCTGTTGCATAAACATGGTTAGTATGTACTGCACACATGTTCCATGGGGAAGTTGCCCAGACACTATTTTATGATATCAAATACAATTAGCATGGCATTTGTATTTTTAATCCCATCCTGGCCTGTTTGCAGTGCAAGCACCCAGGTGTCCCATTGGCTTGAAGGTACGAAGGTTTTTCAATAATGAAACAGGGTTTTACTAAAGTCACGTAGAATGGAAATAATAAAATAATAAAAATAAAACATAATAAAATAATTCTCACGACATTTCGGCCACAACGCAAGCAGCCGTCCTCAGGTGAAGAACAGGTCTGTCGAGAAGACAGAGTCTGAAACGTCGTGAGAATTATTTTATTATGTTTTATTTTTATTATTGTATTATTTCCATTCTACGTGACTTTACCGAAAGAACCAAGAAGATGAAACCCTGCAGTCACGAAAGCTTTAAATCGAAATTTAGGGTTTTACTAGTTCTACAACCTATGGCAGTGCGATTTGAATAAAAACTGCACAAATGGGGTCTGAGCCTGGTATTAAAGTGCAATATTTTGTAGCTTTTTTTTATAAATTGAACTTTTTCTTTTCAACCTCAAAAGGACAGCAAATGTATAAAAGCCTTCTGCTTTTCTAATGTTTAGTTGAAGGAACTGCCATCTTTGATCATGTGATATACCTATAAGTATAATGTGGGAAAAATAATATCTGCACATGAGTACCATAGTCAAACTCCATTGACAATGTTTACTAAAATCTTACTGGAATAATCAAATGGTATACGAATAACTTTTTTTGCACAGTACGTAGCCAACAGTGCTAAACAGATGTGTGAGGAAAGGACAACAAACTAAACACAAACATGCATCCCTGCAAATTTGAAAGATGCAGCCCTACAAATTATTTCTCAAATGCTGGCAGAGGTGCCTCGACTACAGGCAGCTCTAGAGAACCCCTCTAGAAATCATAGTTAGCGGAATAAAAGTCCCTATACGCATTGAATCCCCATCAATTAGCGATGTCAACTGTTCCAAGAATATATAAATAATGCCTTTAAAGTGCCTTTTATTGTGTAATTGAATAACAAGTCAATCATTTTCGGAAAAATCAAAAGCACCTGCCCAACATAATTTGACAAGACAAGGTATAAGTTATAGTTTCATCTTAAATTATATAGGACACCTACATTTTGAATTAGGCAGTTAGCTAGAGTGCAGAAGAAAAATCTGATTCTTTTGTTTTGGCTATTACTAACAATGACATATATGAGCTCTACATTGCAGCTGGCATATGTTCACAATAACCCTTTGCAAAATAGCGTAAAACTTGTAATTCTCCTTTTGGAAAACTATAAAAGAATATTTTCCTTATGTCACTTCTTTCTGCTGAATTATAAAAACAGGACTTAATGTCGAATGCTTTGAACAGTTTGTATATTTTTTCACAAAATAAAAAAATAATGTTTAAACCTGTAAACAAAGAATGGATGCATGATATTTACATTCAGAATTAAAACCCAAAAGCAGGGAACATATTTAATTTGTTTTGCTAATGCATGCATATCAAGTCAAGCTTACACTTAAGTTACTGGGATTCAATCCAAAGTGTCGACATTTTAACCTTATAATGCTTAAGTCCATGGAGATTTTCAGCTAGGGTATATTAATATTATTCTACAAAAGTCACAGGAGTGGCAATTGCAGTGATATAAGTAAAATGCAGAAAATGTAAGTAAAATCAAATTAGAAAGTGGCAGCTTTGGGGAATGACTAATGGGAATACTTTAACCGTCATAAGCGGCACTAGATTAGCTTAATCAAGGCCCATTCGCGTGGCACTGCCTTTGAAACGAGCAACTCTTTGCAATCCATACCGCCCAGGGTTCATCTGACCTTTTCAAACGGCGGATTAAAATTCAATGTCAGACCTGACTTAACAAACCCCAACACCCTCAGGTTGTGCACTACACACAGGAATCATCTCCTCTTGTCAGATACGACAAGGTGACCCAGCACTTTGAAATCACAGTGGTAAATAATACTTTTACATGTAAATATATTGCTACTGAAGAAGTATTTGAAGCTGTTAATTTGAATTGTAAATAAGGGGACATTTTTTTCTAATTTCATTTTTATAAATTTTGTAAAGTATTCTTTTGTTTGTAAATAATAACAATAAAACACAGAGGTGGCTGGGTGCCACAGAGGTTAGAGTGCTCAGCCGGCAATGCTGAGGTCCTGTGTTCGAATCCAGGTTAACGCTGAGCGTTATTAACCTGTTTAGTAAGTGTATGGTCTCGGCTTAGTTACCAATAACTGAACAAAAAAGCCCTCATCAGAATACATTTGGTTCCGCACTTCATTTGGATAAATACCATCTCTGAAAATGAAAAATATAATTCTGTCATGTAACAAAGATTCCTCTCTGTTACAGGTTGGGTGCGAAAGCGCTGTCCCCTAGTGTGGATAAGTGGTCAGATATTCAGAGGCAGTTCTGTGAAAACTTCTTCTGTGGCCCATTCCCAAACATGTGATAATGCTCTGCGGTGACCATTGCGAATGGATTCTTCGTCTCATCACATAATAGTGAAAGCACAATCGGGATAACAGTTTGAAGACGACAGAAAAAATAAACGGTTAGAATCAACATTTAAAGCTAAAAACTCATGTTTTTTGGTTTTAACATTTAAATTTCAGGTCCAATTAGCAAAACTGAGAATAGGATTCTGAAAACACCATATTGTATGCCCAAATTTTAAAAGAGAGCTTACCAAAAGCAACACTCATCCTATGGTGTGGGCTCCATGCCACACATGTTGGCACCGATCCATTGGGCTTCGTATCTGTATAAAACAAAGAGGAAAAAAATACACAGCTGAACAACACTGCTTGGCAAAAAAATTACAACCCTGTTGGCTTCATTTAATTTGAATGGAGCCACATGTTTTGTTTATAAAAAAGAAATCATCTGTTGCATGAAAATAAGATTAAAATTGCATTATTGTGACGTTAACAAAGCAGCTTGATTTTGCGTAAGTCAACACAACTAAATGTAAATACAAGCGCTGCACTCAATAGCATTTACGCTGACCTGAATTCCACATCAAACGACCGTGGGGGTGGTGATCATCTCCTGTTTACAGCCCCAACTCGGTGATTAAACGTCCACATTCCTAGAACAGGAACAAGTCATTCCATTGTCCAAAGGGCAACCCACTAGTGGACTTTCCCACTAAAGTGGTTCTCATTTGATCGACCCCAAATGGATGAAGGGCTTGAATCGACCCTTCCAAGAAATTTCCAAGTCACGTCCTTCCAAATGCAAGCAAGCACCAGCTGGCTGTTGTTTCTTTAGATTTCTCTCTAAAATGTTGTTCCCCAAATGGTCAAACTCAACAGGTGCGATGTTCATAAGGGCACTAAAACACTAAACACATTGCAGAAATGTCACAGCAAGTGTTCACCGGTTTCGCATTTGTATGAAATTATAACTTCACGTGCTGTTGCAATGAGGTCAAGTAGCTTCTCCTCCTACAGAGAAATGAAGCTATGCTGACGACTACCACTTTACATATGTACTGATCAGATAAGTTACACCTGGACGGTAAATCACATGGACAATGTTAGCAAAAATAAAAATAATAATAAAAATGCATCCGTCTGCCCTCAGTGAGGTCCTTCAACCCACAATGGGTACGCATATCTCAGAAAATAATCTTGAATTCCATTCCCCTATTGTCAAGTGCAAGATGTTTAATGGGGTTACAGAGAGTTGAATTCTGGCCATGTACATGGTGTCCTTAACTGTCCCATACTGCAAAGAATCGAGATGTCACACCAAGTGTTACACGGTTTCTTCGTTTAGTATGCATAATTTAATAACATCAGACTTTATGGAACCAATTGGCAGTTCTGGATTTTTGTAAACCAGCCTGGGTAATAGTAAGTTGGTAAGAGTATTGCCATTAAACAATAGCATACGTAACTATGCACAGTGGACCTCTTCTATTTACATTACCCTGTAGCTCTCTCACCCTCAACCCCTAACCCATCCAACCAGATCCCACTCACACTCACCCAACTTCAACCCTCATCTTCGCCAAACGTGCATCCCAGGAAGCTTCTTTATAAATAGCTAAATAGTGTCTCTACAGGCATTTGTACTTCGAGTCTAGTTAGTGTCAAACTAGGTGGCCAGACCCATCTCGAAAGATACAAAAATGTGTACAGTACAAGCTGATTTCTGCAGCAGCTCTGCGACTATCTTTAATTATACAATTATTTTAAGATACGCCTTTGCACAAGGGATAGTATTTGATGTAGCATCAGCAAAACAATATTTTTAAATAATTTTTCAGTCGTTTAGTTGGCTCAACAAAAAAAAGAACAATAGTTCTTGCATCAAAATAATGCAGACAATTCTATAACTTTTAAGATTTTTCGGGATGATCTGTAAAATATGTACAATACACTTAAAAACAGTTACTGATAACACTTCTGCATTGCACGGTGTTATTTGTCCCTATTTGGTTGTCCATCGTCGTCGCTTGCAAGTTCCACTGAATAATTGGGAGCATTGATTAAGGAGAGGGGGGACTGGGAGATTCTAGCCGTGTCATAAAGAAAGTTTAACTACCAAAAGTGGAAGTTCGTTTTTTTCTTGACCTTAAATGGGCAGAAAAAAAGGTTAAACTCTTCGCTCAATTGGCAAGCTGCCCAGAATAGATCTATACACTTGTGTAGAGTTGTGTGTGCAAGTCTGACAACATTCACTGGTTTTTATCATCCCCTTGGTGAGCACTCTCCATTTGTTGCAAAGCCTTTTTCAGCCAAAAGATCACTGCTCTGCCACATCATTTGACAATAACTGTGTCATCAGGGAAAGGAGGACAAAGCACGTGATTGCCTCATGTCCACGGATTTGCGAATGGATTTGTTAAAACTACATGGCTATTTTTGTTTTCATAAAAAAATAACAACCCAAAGAATCCAAAACTACAAGAACTACCCACTGGGCCAGCCGTATACTGTTCGTAATGCAACGACGCCACCAACACTCCAGTTCGAATGATAAATTATTGAAATGTCAGTACTAAATTTGCAGGTAAATAAGTTTAATTAAAAGGAACCCCCCCCCCCCCGCCACAGTATTTTTGGCATGACACTTTCATTTCCATCTTCCCACACTGGGTCACAATACACAGCCTTGTGCAATGTGGTTCTTGTTGCTTGTCTGACCTACGCCACCAACATGTCCTACCCCACTACATTCTCCCGCACACGCATTATGAACCACCCAATCCCGCTAGCATGTCAAGGCAATATCCATCTTTGGGCTGCCCGCGATATGATGGAATCGGATCAGGCAGCGAAATCAAATAACCAAGGAGCTTCTGAATTTGCCTGCCTAAATCCCCTTTACCGCGTGCCTGGTATTCACTTCTCACCTGCCTTTTTGGTCAGACTTCTCTGGCAGCCAGAAATTCATTTGAGACATAACCTTCACCTAAATAAAGAAGGTTGCTGAATATCGTTTTTGGAAGAAAAAAAACAATGCACAGAACCCATTATAGCCGCACACAGCCTGCATTCTAATTACCTCTCAATCTTCCTGGAGCGTAAAAAACACGCTTTTCTCCTCAGTGCGCTTAATAAATAACCAAAAATACTCACGATAATAATTACCATTAGAAATAATATTCTCAACATTTCCATTAATCCAAATTAAGTGTGTCGTCCAATGTTAGTGAGGCATGTTTTGCTGGCTGTTAACTGGAGTACTGCCTGCATTTTAAGACCCATGCATGTACCTCATTCCCAGCTGTCAATTACAGATGTGGTGCCCAATGAATGTGCTTACCCCATAGTGACCTTAATAATCATGCTGCATGCCAGATCCATCAGCCACAGCAATTATATAATCATTCTAATAAAGCCCTCTCCAAATTATGTAAACGCACCACGCTGTGCTACAGGCAGAGTTCTAAAAAGAGATTTCTTGTGATACTTTTGTAGGTTTTAATTATTAATTTTCCAGCTCACCTCTGATTTTGGCACCATAATCATTTTTATTGTAACTGTATGTGTAGATGTTATAATCTACAGGATAGTTCATATATAAATACAGCTTCAGTCGTTAATGGAGACAAACCATGAAAAATGCACACATTTACCAACACTAATGTCTTATTATGTACATATAATTACATTTCGTATTTTTTATTATAATTTGAGTACTGATACCACACATTCTAATGCCTTACCTTAGCTAAAATACGAATGGCCATGTAATTTCAAGTTTAATATAAATAACCAATGTACTTGAGTTTAAATGACCAAATACGGTGGTGATATGCCCCCTGTTTAACTATGAAGGACTCTGCCCAGATTGTTCGTGTGAAATCGAAGGCTGGCTCTGCTTGACCTATTTCCAGCCACTCGTAACTAATGGTTACAAAAACCTTCCCTGAATGTCGAACATTATTTTTTTTTAAGTCTTTGGAGGTAAATGTCAACAGCCTCACGCATGCCTTAAATAAACAGATGGGAGTGAAATATGTTTTTTTCAAAAAATTCCGCTATGTAAGCTGATAAAGCATAACATGAAAATATAATGCTCAAAGGAATAAAAGGGATAAGAAGAGAGAACATGTTCCATCTGCCACTTTGGTGATAAGCCAGCTGCAGGTTGCTTCCACGGCAGCTGACCTGGCACTGGCGTTGCAATAAACACTATTTGCCTGGCGCAGTACTTGGAACAAGATTTCCGTCACACTGCAACTTGACAGCACAGTTGCCAGGTTCTCTCACGTATGATGTACCTGCAATATAGGCGACAATGCACAGTAAGTGGTGAGTGTCACATGAGATTCTCACCCATCACAACGGCTGGCTTGGCCTTTCTGAGGTCCCAGAGCATAATTCTTCCATCCTGTTGAAATTGCATAAATCATGAAAGCTGTAAGAACAGAATTCAATTTTAAAACAAATATAAGTGCACGGACAGAAAGCGCTCATAAGAAAAGCTATTTTAATAAACACATTTTGCATAATTTAAGAAATGCTAATTACCAGTAACCAACATTTATTAACACAAATTTACATCAAACTTGAAAAATTCGAGCACTTAAAAGAATACCTAATAATTAAAAAGGTATATTACATAAGCAGATAAGCCGGAGAAAGGATAACTAATGCTAGTGACAGGAACATAATGTATCTTGTTGATGGGTGAGTTAACAAGTAGGTGAGTGTTCAAGGGCCAGCGATATATAGCAGGAGAGGGGAATAGCAGGTCACATGATGAAAAGCCCTCTGCTAAAGCATTGCAACTTGCCTGAGAACAAGAGAGGAATAAGTTGTCATCATGTGGCGAGAAGGAGACACAGTCCACGGAAGCAGAATGACCTACAAAAACAACGCACGTGACAAGAATTCTAAAAATGTGACAAGCAAGAAACATTTGAATGCCTTAAAAAAAGCTCCATCTTCTTCTTCTTCTTTCATACGGCTGATGTAGATGCAGAGCAGCAACAATTTCACATTCAGGTGGTCAAGCCAGATAACCGCTTCAGGAGCAGCAAAGTGTATCGCTGTGATGTCTCCTTCGAATTTGTGGATCGGCAATTGTGTGGTTATATGTTGGAAGGTCTGTTTTGGATGACAGTTGCAAACTGGAGAGTTTTACATTTTTCATTTGTGCATCAGGTATCTGCATCTTCCATGGTTTGTGCAGATGCGGTTTAGGGTTGGCCATGAGCTTCATGCAAGATCAAACCCAAGGATATTGTGCATTGGCTCTTTCATGAGGTGTTTTTGTTTGGGGCCTTTTGAACTGCGTTCAGCTCTCCAAGCTTCATTGGGGTCAAACTCGCATTGTTGAAGGTTAAGTGCATGGGTCCAAAAGGGCTTGTGTGATTAATGCACATCAAGAAACCATGGAAAAGTATTGTTGTTCGTGACAAAATTGTTATATAGGGCTTGGGTGATAAAGGGAAAAAAGGATGTAAATGCATGGGTGAAGATGTCAACCCTTTCCTAGCAGCTGAACACATGGCAGTTAATGGGCTGTATGTACAATGTAGAGTTTTAGAAACAAGCACACACAACTTCCATAATGTCTGCATGGCTGTAAATAAGAAATATATAACTACAGCACTAGCCCGTCATGTGCACTCACATCGTGCGTGCACATACGTGTGTGGTCTGCAGAATGCAAAAGTTATATCCAGGAAATGACAAAGAGTTTTTGATCACTGATGGCTTCCAACTTGTACACAGAGTAATCCCCCGGGTGTAATCACAAACAGCAAGCATCACAAAGCCCTGAGGAAGAATTTCACAGCAGCCAATTAACAGCATGGGCTCATTAACCCTACAGTGATCATAGGTGTTATTGAGCATTCAACCATGCTTTTAAGAGCAGGACACACTGGCTTTACAGCAGTTTTTATTGACTCGGTGCAAAGCTCTCACACAAATAAAAGCAGCAGACGGAAGCCATGCAACCGATGTAATCGATGAAGTGAGAAAGAGGGCTTTTTAGATAAAAAAAAAATCAAATTCATGGGAATATTTCTAACAAATATCTGGAGTGCATTGCACAGGACACGGTTAAAGGAGAACAGCATACACTCGCAAAACTTGGCTTTGTGCAGTGGGATCGTCTGATTGCCGGATTACATCCTGATGTCGGCACGGAATGCACCATAGTGCACATGACAAGACACGAAGACAGGGGTATCCATGGAAATATGGAAATTCGGCTTTCAAAAACGTGTCTCGCAGTACAATGACAGTCGGTGCTGCTGGTTCAATCACCGTACGGTTCAAGTGCTGACGCTGTTTATGTAGTGCTCTATGGATGTGTCTCGCAACGATGCGGCACCGGTGGAGATTAATACGGGTGGTGTCGGTTAAAATATAACCATGTTTTAGAAGAAAAATAAGTGTTTGTTCAATATGCCAAAACAAACTATTTAAATTTCAGATTTTTTTCCCCCCCCAAGCTAATTTTGATCCTAAAAAATATGCAATGTAAATGAATCCAATGCTGTATGTTACATCTGGATTGTTGCATTAAATATTTACTGCATATTCTACATTTATTAAGCATTTGTATACGTATTTTGAAAATATTATAAATAGTTAAGTGCTGTAAGGATTATAAATATACATATTTGATCAACTACATTGTAAAAAATTAAAACATCTCTTCAAATACAAACACCAGGGTAGGTAGCCGTTGAGCCTCGCTGAATGTATGCTTTATTTAAAAATGTTTCTTCCCGAACCATCACCTAATCTGCATAAATCTAATCATCATGACTCGGGATACTTGACTGTTCACGTGTTAAAGGGAAGGTGCTAACACACAAATTGTTTTAATTTGCTGTATTCTACTCCCGGCAATCCTTAAACACTGTACACCAGTTGATGACATTCACGCTCTAATGACCTTCAGAGCCATCCCTAAAGTTGCTCTTGACATTTCGATGCTGCAGTGTTTGCATACATTTTAGCACAGAGTAGTATACTAATTAGCGAAAAAAATATCCCAATAAGTCAAAAATAATCTGCATTGTCGCACACTTCTCACAGGACTGTCACAGCAACTAACAATATTTGCGCACATCTAGGATGAGCGAGTGCCTTTGATAGTTGTGCTGGTTATTTATGTTTAAATTACCAGCTGAAGCTTTGCATAACCCTAATGGATTCCAAAGGTATGCACATAAATACTGTATTGGCAGCATTAACTGGCATGCCAATCAGCCGTGAAAAGTCAGCACCTTTATGGGCGCAAAGCAACGTGCGAGAATGAGCATGGGCAAAGGGGAGAACGTTGGAAAGAAATAACCAACGTTAGCCCAGAAATGATGGAAAATAAAAAAAACCCATAAAAACCCCAAATAGAACATTCAGGGATCAAGTAAAAAAATCAGTGAAACACCAAACTAAGTATTTATTTTATGACCAACATGTGACCCAGTTTTTTGGTGGATCATTTACTATAATCACCACTTTCACACGTCAACTACTCAACGATCACATGTTACATACACAGTAATCTGCATGTGACCATCTCCCCACCTAAACTTTGCAAATAAAGTCACATACCGGAGTATCAAGGAAAGCATAAAACACGCATTTGTTTTATTTACCATTAAAAAAAACGAATCACCGGTTTTCTATGAGCTTTAAAATGCAATGTTTGCTCTTCAACTAAAGGCATACCCAAATATTAATAAAAAAATACCCAGATATCTCGCTAAAATTGCATTCGTTAACACAACTTGCATTCCAGAGATTGTTTGATCTCCTGCACAGCAGTTGAAGCAATGGGCAGGTTTCTCTTAATGGGGAAGGTGGGGGCCAGCGTGCACATATTAAAAAAAACTAATTTAAAAAATGCTAATTATTTAATTGCACTGAAGTCCAACGTGGTGAAATGTGACCAAGCGATTTGATTTGCATTTAACACCACTTCTCGAACACGCGGATAAATCAATTACGACTCTCGTGCAAACGCACTTTCGCAAGGAAAACTGGGTCATGGTGAGATGTCGCACTGAATAGCTTTGAGAGCGATCAGCATTAAAAGAATTAGGGTTGAGTTCATTCATTCAGTCCTAAACCAGTCATCAGCACACGTTTTTAAACCTATGGCTAAAGACCTAGGAAGCCCACACACAACCGGGTATAAACTTACTTGGCATGTGCCTCAAATTTATTACGCAATCTGTTATTTAAAGAATGTGACTTACAATAGCCTTCAATTAACGCGGTTGGCTACGTTCGGTGCGAAAGAAGTTAAACATAAATTTCGATTTAAAGCTTTCGTGACTGCAGGGATTCATATTATTGGTTCTTTCAGTAAAGTCACGTAGAAGGGAAATAATAACAACACCTGATGATGATTGATTGTGTTGCAATCGAAACGTCGTGAGAATTTTATTGTTTTATTTGCATTATTCTATTATTTCCCTTCTACGTGATTTTACCAAAAGAACCAATAAGTTAAACATACTTACATCCATACATTAAAACGAGCCGATCATCTCATATCATTATTCCTCCGAGCAACTGATCCTACCCAAACTTCTCATTGTTACGATTGATATGTTCAGCAGTTTCCTTCCTTTTTACGACGGCATCAACAAAATGATTCCCACACGGCTTAGAAAAAAAAACATATTCGTGACAGAGATTAAGATATTTAGCAGTGAGAAACGTTACCAAGTAAAGCCTTTAAACCTTTTATCGAATGGAAAAATCAGAGTACGATTCAAGTTTATTCTACGAATTAAATTTCACTTGCTTAAAATTTACAACTTCAAATATCCTGTAAAGTTTTGTTTTCAAAGACCGGTGCAAGTTGTAACTAAGATTGTTTCTTTAAATTCTCATGCACAGCTGTTAGATTTGGCCAGTGGAACCTTTTTTGCTGATACCAAGCCCTATAATTACAGACACTATCCTAAATTTAACAAGGTGCAAAAAAAAAGACGAGTTACAAAACATGCAAGCAGGCTACACGTTTGCAATGCCGTAACACGCATTTTTTCATTCCTCAGGCCCTATGCTATTCCTACAAATCCAGAGCTTACATAAAGTCATCATTAACTGAACCTGACACGACCTAATTTCTCTGTTGAATGCGCTTGGCTGGTTACACAGTGTCCATTAACCAAAATAAGCATCTAAAGGCATGTACAGATGAAGCTGTCATTGTAAGGAAAGAAAATAAATGTTTAATATCGCACAACAATATTAAGTCATCTTCTTGGTTCTTTCGGTAAAGTCACGTAGAAGGGAAGAAATAAAATAATAAAAATAAAACACAATAAAATTATTCTCACGACATTTCGGCCACAATGCAAGCAGCCGTCCTCAGGTGAAAACCAGGTCCGTCGAGGCGACTCTGTCGCAAGCAGCCATCCTCAGGTGAAAACCAGGTCCGTCTAGGCGACTCTGTCGCCTCGACGGACCTGGCTAAAAGTATGAAATCAGATGCTAATTGTCGTCAAATATTTATGAAGCATTTCCATACAAGACTCAACCCAGGTCATCCAGAAGAATACAAAGTCAACACCACGGACCTACAACATCATTTCTCACTAAAGTGGAACATTGCCCTCACATTATCAAGCTTTGTATGTATTACCATTTTGCAGGGCTCAGAAAGGACACCATGAACATATAAAACGGACACATTCCAAAGGTGCAGGAGCAATCTAAACGTGATTAAACAGTATATTGCAAAGCAAAAATATCTTTGCATCAAAGAAAAAGGAAATGTAATATGACCTTGGGTGGATCACGCAAGCAATAAATTCAAAACACAGGGAAACAAAACATAACAAAAAAACTTTCAAAAAAATCACAAGTACCATCTGCTAGAAATGTGGTATAATCCCTCAACTGCTTTAATATGCTGTAACTCTTAGGAATATCCTAGTTTTTTTTCATTCCTTCTGACATACCTGGAAACCTTGTGTAAAAAACGCTTGATCATTGACCATTACAATCAATGATATTTAACTTTTTTTTCAGATATCCCCACACAGACGACAAGAAACATTCCAAATGGGATTCTCTCAAGGTGAATGTCTGAAGGTGAGGGACGCTTGTTCCTTTTAAGTGTTTTGAAACAACATCTCCCACCCACAGCAACACTGGGCTCCCCTCGGTTTCCTCGCAGCCAGTTATCAATCACTGCACTGCACCGGCAGCCTTTGAGCCAGCTCATGACAAACAATTTGGGGATGAAAGAAAGGAAATGAGCTGTGAATTCCTAACCTTTTATATATATTTTTTTCTTCCTCCCAAGTCGCCTTGCTATGGGTAGGAAATCAATGTAGCGGTGAAGTCACGCATGCGGATGCAAGACCACAACCCTTGCCCTGCAGTCCGCTGCAGGCGACACTTCTGCTGGCAACGCTTATGAGTTAAGGGCTTGACGTTTGTCTTCCCTTGACTTCTGTCCAGGCTGTCCAATGTTTCACGGGGGTTTCACTGAATTCATTTCAATGCATATTAAGTTCTATCTGGATCATGAAAACAACCACTCTCAATGCAATACGACAAAGTTGCATTCCTACAATATTTACAGACTAATGCTGAACCAAAGAGGGTTTCAAATCAATATATATTTAAGTAAATAAATCAATAACGCAAAGCTGTCAACATATCATTGTTGTATCCCATTGTTGTCTTCAGAGGGGCCCTTAAACAAAAGATGCAATACTGCCACCTGCTGATTTTTGTAAGTCTTTGAAAGGAGGAGGGGAAATCCGCATTGAATGCAGAGCAACAAAAGTGTGCGCAGTGAACCTCGGAAGCCTCGAGCTTGCTGCAGCGATCTCGTTGCACCAACGACAATTAAGCGCGAGATACATTTTCTACGAGAATACAATTATATCCCCCGATACTGCAGTGGGGACCACACGCTTGCAACGAAACTGGGTTAACGCCTGCCATCAACAGCCACCCGAAACCTCAAGAACAAGAAAATAGAAATTCCTATCGGTAAAAAAAATACAAATGCTTTGTGAAAACGATGCTTGCAATGCCTTGGTCTAATGTACCGGTCGGTGAAATATGTGGCACAGGATCTGCTAAAAGCCTTCTAAGTGTATGCAACACATGTACTATATTTGCAATAATATTGTTTGCATGCAGAGGAAAAAACATGCTGATAGTGTCGTACATTATAAAGGTACAATACATTAATTTTGACATTTACGTGTCATCTATATAAGGTAACCTACAAAAGAAAGGACAAGTATATAACATGGTAATGAAAAAAATAAAACTATGTATAGTGCAAAACAAGTGCATAGAAGATTCGACTAATATACACTTGTTTATTTTTGCACAAGTCTAACAAAGCTATTTTAAATGGAGTGCCTTTGGGTAAATATAAATGTAATCTGTGAATATACTGCATTAAGGACTTTACGACAAGTACAAATTATGTTAATTATGTTCAATATATCACATTATAAATTAATGAAATGTAAACTAGGTGGTGGTGATGCATGCCTACAAATACAATGCTGTGGAGGCCGAGTGTTGGTGGATTTGGACAAATGCTGGGCATTGAGGAACCATACTCTGGCTTGCCTGAAGGCAGTTCAGCAAACAAGTTGAATCCACCTGTTCCTTCTGTTTGGGATGGTGTGTCCCCTTCGCACACATGGGTTTTCTCCAGGTACTCCAGTTTCCTCCCACATGGAAACACTCATTAATCATCCAATAACACCTCAATATATTGAGGACTGCAGAGCTTTTGGGAGGGGGGGATTTGGCGCTGGCTCACTGCCTGGCTGCCTTCCTGCGTGCCTTAGTAATTCTCTTCTGAGAGCGAGCAAATGCTCTCCCATAATTTTTAATAAAAATACTTCAAATCAGCGAATCACCAAGCCAACTATATTTATTTTACCAGGTAAGGCCCACTGAGCTATATAGCTCTATTTCAGAAGCGACCTGGTCACAAATGATAACCCAATTAAGTGACTTATCATGTGGAAATGTTTCTAAATGTGGAGGGAAAAACCGGAGGACCCGGATAAAAATCCACACGACCACCAGGAAAACACGAAAACTCCAAATATACAGGTGTCAGTGTCATGATCGAATCCACAACCTCCTGTATACCATATGAAGTAGTTAACATCTTGCCACCACTTTCAGACAACGACTCACATCACCTGTGGTTCGTAATTTGAAGTGTAAAGATCTTTTGTGGGATACAAGCTAAAGAATCAATTAAAAAAGACCTTTAAGAATACACGGACCCAAGGTGGTATTAGTCACTGCTTAATTAATTACCTTAATCTGTTTTCAATTAATCAAGCATGATTATTTACATTACAAAGTGCACTGAACACACGTGCATATATAGGCACTCAGGCACATGCAGTGTTTAAATCAATCGCATGGGCACAAAAGACCAAGTTCCCCTGTATAGCATAACAGCGTTGGGGCAAAATCTATTAGTGAACTCAAGGTTGGAAAAGAGCACACGGGGGAGGGGATGATAGTGCGGCCAACTACAAGGCCAGACCTGCCATTGCCTCCTCAGTGCTGATGTTCACTCACTGCAACAAGTACTTCTGTAACGCTGATCTGACCGAGTAAAGGTCCAGAACCGGTTCAGATATCGCTTGCCACCAATGTTAGTCTTGGCCAAGAAACAAAACCTCAGGTCGCTGGGTCTGCCGGCGCAATGCGCTAACCACTGCGCCCCCGCCGCGCAACACGCACTCGCGAGCACCCACGCTTACTTGGCATGCCAGACAATGTGTCCCCTTATCTGGAGGTGGAAAGCATTGCATATGGTGTGGGTGGAACAGAAATTAATTTTAAGACCGCGCTTGTCAATTTGTCATTTTTAAACGCTCTTGAAAAAAATCCAACTATTAACATAAGTGACTTACCACGATATGACGACACCACTTTGAGCTCTGCCAGGTCCCACACCTTCACACTAGGGCACACGTCACAGTTGGAATGTTAAAGACAGCACGAGTACTCAACCTGTCAAACCGAGGCAGGTGGCAGTGTTACCCGCTGCTGTATCCTTTTATTTTTAAACACACTAATCAAGCTTGAAATATCACAGAGTACAGGATAATGACATAGATAGCGCTGATTTTGTCTGGCTGATGTAGAAGTAAATTCGTGGATGGATAAAGTTTGCAATACAGCATTGACGAAATGATTGTCGAAATAACAATAAAAACCATTTGACCTTCGCTGGATATTTTATATTAATATCTGACACTCTTTAAACAGGAGTGTTGCGGGGGTGTAATGATTCGCACCCTGGACTGGCAATCCAGAGGCTGCTGGTTCGATTTCATGCCATGGCAGTTGAAACAATGGGCACATTCATTAAACGTCATACTCGAAACGTCGTACTCGAATTGTAAATGTTGTGGGTTTACTCTGCAACACACCGGTGTGCTGTACTAGCATGCTGGGAGATGCCATGCCGGGAGATGGAATCGAACCAGGAGTGGTCTAGATTGCAAGTCGAGTGTCTAAAAAAACCACACTCTGGTAGCATTGTCCATCCATTGAAAAAAGTAAGTTCAAATCACTTCTGTTGCTCGTTGCTCCCTGCTAACAGCTCTTAACATGCATCTCAAGAACAGGGACATCGCGTATTCTGTATGACAAGGATAAGTTGCTCAAAACACTGAAGGGATGCCGTCAATCCCATGTTTTTCTTAAAAACCAGTGGGTACATTTTTCAAAATTGAACCACACAAATCTAACTGCAAAAACATCTCACAATTCAATCTGTAACAGCCGAGTATCCCAACACCTGAAGATTAATTTGACACGTGTCAGTTTCATCGATTTACAGCAGGCAAAAGGATATGTGCATGCACTCGCTCCCAGATTAAAAATTCAATGTCATATCCACAAAAGAAGACTACTTGACATACCTATGAATGTTTTACACGTTAATATCAGGATACAGCTCTCCTATGGCCTAGTCTAAAATATATTCTATGCTTTAATTACAGGATGACTCAACCCTGCCTTGAGTACAAAAAAATTGAAACTTAGGGGTGCCATGGTGGCAACAAGTCTAAAATATATTCTATGCTTTAATTACAGGATGACTCAACCCTGCCTTGAGTACAAAAAAAATTTAACTTAGGGGTGCCATGGTGGCAACAAGTGAACTCCCTTGCCTGGTATGGAGGATGTATTTAATTAATTAAGCAGTTAGTAAGATCACCTTGGGTCTGTGTATTTTAAAAGATAGTTTTTTAATTGATTCATTCGTTTTTATCCCAAAGGAGCTCTTTAAAATACAAATTTCGAACCACATGTGATGTGAGTCAGTCTGCAAGTGGTGGCAAGATGTTAACTACCTCAACTGATATACAGGAGGTTTTGGGTTCGATCCTGGCCCTGACGCTTGTATATTTGGAGTTTGCATGCACTCCTCGTGGCCACATGGAATTTTTCCGGGTCCTCCAGTTTTTCTTCCACATTTATAAACATGCATTTAGAACATTTGGCTGCTATAAATTTCCACATTGAGCTATCATTTGTGGCCAGGTTGCTTCTGAAAAAGAACTACATAGCTCAGTTGGGCCTTACCTGGTAAAATAGAAAATGGTTTCGTTAGTTGTTTTGTCCTTTATACATTTTAATATGAACCAAATCTTGGGAGATTACATTAGAGCGCTGATAATTATCAACGATCCTGCTATATTAACATCATACATACACCTCTTTAAAAAAAATTTACATTAAAAACGGCATGGTACAATATTGTTGGTCAGTGCACCAGATTCCTCAAACAACTAGAGACTTGCGAGTGTTCATTTCAAATATCCACATCACCAACTTTTGAACCCTATACCGAATGTCACAAGCACAGCATGATTTATTTGCCAACAAACTAATCACGTGGTAGAGTTTAAAAGAATCCAATTCTATGAAAATAAAGAATGTGAAATTACTCTTGTAGAACAAATTTTATGTAAAAGACATTTTGCCACAAGCTAAATAAAATCCATTTCACCGGCTAATCTTACGAGCCGTAAAAATAAATTGACTTGTTCATTTTTTTTTCAAATGTTCAACTCAACATTTAAGTTTCTGTGGAACTGCCCTGTAAAAAAAGTATTAAAATAAAGACACTTTCCGTGAGAACAATGCATTTTATATTTTCAAGTAAAAATCTTATTTCTGACATTATAAATGCACTTCCTGAATGATAACTTTACTGTAGTTTCCATTATAGTAGGCAACAATATTATATTTAATGTTTCTATTTGCAAAATCTCAACTCATGCATAATGTCAATAATAACTCCACCACCGTGGACGACTTTTTATTGCTTTAATCAAAAGGCTTTGTTTTCTGAGTACACAATACAAAGAAAACATCTGGGTTTTATAAAAAAAAATATGCCAACCCCGTGGGATTTCCAAAGTTAAAAATCATCCACCTCGGTAGACAGCACAATCACAATTTTAGCGGCTTGCTGATTTATAAAAAAAAATAATGCTTCTTTCATGTTTTAAGAGTACTTGCAAATCGCATGAATAAATAAATAAAATGGTATGTTGCATTACAGAAGTGACATTAAGATTATCCATGTATTTGTTTTAGCTGCCATGAGTATGATACTTTTTTTAATGTGTGAAATTCAGAAGTTCACATTGTGACATGTGCTGCAAAATTTGACAAATAATTATAACTTATATCGTTCTATTTTATACCAGACCACATGTTTGTTGCTGGGAAGAAATGTGATGGGATTTACGACTTGGAATATTGTAGTTAACCCCAAAGTGGATAAATAGCAAGTTGTAAAGGATGCTGACGCAAGCAATCAACAAGGTTTACGGCTCATTTGAAAACAAGGGTAAAATTCATTTCAAGCAGGAGAAAGGGGGGGAGAAGACACTTCCCCATATAAAAGAGGAATTTTTTTTAAAATCTGTGCCTTACATTATGCCTGGGTGACAGAAAGCTGGAGCCATGTTGCAGAGGACTATACCGAGACAGCCTGACAAACATTTCTAGGGCAAGTTGTCAAGGGCTAAATGAGCGTAAGTTTGAAGAAAATTAGAAGGAACGTCTCGAGTACCGTGAATTCCGCCACGTGTAATGAGAAGGAAACATATATAATTCATTTTATCTTCTTGGTTCTTTCGGTAAAGTCACGTAGAAGGGAAGTAATAAAATAATAAAAATAAAACATAATAAAATAATTCTCACGACGTTTCGGCCACAACGCAAGCAGCCGTCTTCAGGCCGAAACGTCGTGAGAATTATTTTATTATGTTTTATTTTTATTATTTTATTACTTCCCTTCTACGTGACTTTACCGAAAGAACCAAGAAGATGAATTCCTGCAGTCACGAAAGCTTTAAATCTAAATTTAATTTATTTTAGTTAAAAAATTAAAATAAATTAAATCACGACGTTTCGGGCGCAACACACTTAAGCGGTGTGCTTTCGCTAAGTTGTCCCCACCTGAAGAAGGACGCTTGTGTTGCGCCCGAAACGTCGTGATTTAATTTATTTAAATGTTTTACCTACGTGACTTTACCGAAAAAAAACAAAGAGTATGAATCCTTGCAGTCACGAAAACTTCTAACCTAGAATGTATTTATTTTAGCCTTCAGGAGTGTGTGTCGGCAGTAGACTATCGAGGGTCTGTGTCGAGTGGATGAGAGGAGAGCCATCATGCAGGGCCCAATCAGATCTCCAGAGATGAGAGAGCAGGCCGTGAAGTAGTAGAGGCTGACAAGGTCTGGAGAGCAATGACAAGAATGGGGGCTCATGCTCTGTTGTGTTACCAGCCTCTGCTGTAATGTACAACTGTCTTGGACTGATGAAGTCGTGGTAAGGCAAAAACTTTCTACAATAAAATATATATATACTCTCTGATTGTGTATAGAGGATGGTTTGATGAAGGACATTACAGGAGGAAGAATGGAAGTGAAAATACTCTGAGGAAGGAAAAGGACTGGGATACAGGAGGAGCTGAAGGGTCGACTGTGGAAATGAGCACAACAAATGGATGGGGAAGGTGGAATCCCTAAGAAGAGGGTATTGTGGAGGGGTGATGAGGGCGAGAGAAACAACACCCTCCACCCTGAGCATAACCTGTGTAAAAATCATTCCTCCTGCGAAAAGAACAAGTCTTGTCGATTATTTCCGTCATTAATAAATGATTCGCATGTTCGTTTTTTTTTCTCCTGCATGTTATTGGGGGTGGATGATTAAACTCCCTCAATTCTTAAACCTGCAATCGTGTGAGATTGCGCTGACCACACAGTTAGATAAACCAACCACATTTAAAAAAATGTTTGTTCCATTTGTGACACACATAGGTTTATTCTTTTTTAGATTTTGATGAAGGAATTATTTTGAATGACACAAAAATTTTAGTTCAAAGGTTTCTAGTTCATTATTTTTTATAAACTGTGAAGCACAAGAGATCACTGGCAAACTACCAGACATCACCTATTGAAGTGTGTGGTCTTCATATTGTCTTGCTCCTACATATTTTGACAACTATTTGATACAGCATTCTGTTACTCAGGTCGCAGCAAGATAATTGTAGCGCACGTCTTCATTTAAAAGTGCTCAAGATTACAATCAGAGACAATTTCACAAATGGGTTACTCTTTACATCATTGCACAAGGGTAACAACTGCTTTTTATCCCCAAGCATAGATTTGTGTACAAATAACGATCATCAAAGGCTGCATATTTTCTGTCACTGCTGTGTCTGAATGCCTGAAACCTTGTCACTTGGGACACAAACACACCTGCGGTCCAGGCTGCCAGACACAACCTTTGACCCCGACGTGCTGATTCGGGTGACGATGTCGTTGTGCTCGTAGCGGCAGTGTCGGCTGCAAAGGTAAGCCTCGTTCTCTGCCAGCTCCCACAGCTCCAGTGCGCCTGGCACAAAGACACACACAGAGGCCAAGTGAACATCCGCAATCAGACTCCGCAGGAGATTCTTTTGAATTCCGATGGGATTTATAGTAAGGGGGAGTCCGACAAGACAAATGCTGCCACCTCGAGGAAAAGTTTTTTTTTAAGTACCACATGGCACAACTGACATATCAATATATACCAAAAGCTTAAGAAGAGAGTCAACCCTCAAGATTTGCTTTGGATGAAGGAGACGTAGTATTGGGAAATGAAAGTAGTGCCAATTAATGCCCTCGCCCACCTGAAGCTTGAACTCAAGATCTCATTAAGGACCTCTTCAGTACAAAGGCTTGGTTGGGCATTAGCTCACTAAGCTGTGCAAGCCACATTTAATAGAGTGCTATATATGGACCACGTTACTCAATGTTCTTCATTTTTGTGGCCAGGAACTCGAATACAAAGACAGCAATTGCCAGTGGCTGAAGGGTTCGGACAAGAAAACCACAAACATCCTCCTGAGTGAATCAGTACAGGGGGTATTGTCAACAGAGTACTAAAGGTGGATATTTCATAGCAGATGCAATGAAATGCGATACATACACCAAACCTTAAAATAGTTATAATGAGGCACGAGCTTAATCGGTAGTGTGCAACTTAGTTGCTAAATTGCGAGTGAAAATTAGCACGAAACTGTTTCCCGACAATTGCAGCAATTGAAAATAGCAGGGCTACAAGCAGGGCACCTTATTGGAATTAGACATTTCAACATCATTGCATCTACAATTAAAACATGACAAGGACAGGATAACACACTTTCTTAGGAGCAACCTTGTTTTCAAAACAATATAAAGAAATGCCATACAATCTACAGCACTTGAATTCTACACAGTTGTTTTCACAAGTATTCAGACAAGTACATTGCCTCAAGACAAATGCAAATGGGGTGAACCCAAAAACTGTTTGCATTCAATTCTCTCAATGGACTGGTGATTTATTTTGGGAAAACACAAATTAAAAGTGGAGCTTGGAAGAGTTTTAAAATTAGCTCGCTCGGTCTATTTAAGAATGAAAATATCGCATTTTCACAGACCAGATATATACTACTCAGAGAAAGAAAACTATAATAGCAACCCATTGCATAGTATTTTGATTTAAACATATTCTTGGTGAACTTTTTTAGTTGCCAAAGCCTAATTAAACAGACAAGGTAACAGAAAAAGTAATTAAAACATGCACAAAAGCATGGCAATTTGAGCCACCATAAATATTAGACAAATGTGGCATAATCTGTCAAAAATGATAACTAAATTATAAGGCTGGCTGGTGTTATCTTTAAAAAACGTCGATAAATTATAGCTGAAGTAGATGCTATACAAAGTCCAATCATGATACAATTTATATTCATATGTGGCTTGAGTTTAAAAGACAATTACATTCCCAATTGAAATAATCCAAAGATTCACACGCATTACCAAAACAAAGCAAGGTAATTCTTGCAGTGTCAAATTCTATTAACACAATGTAAATCCTGAGACACATCCAGAGACAATGCTATTGTATGGTTGTGGCTAAAAGTAACATTTCCCGACAAGCTACAATCTAGTAACAAGCTCTGTGTTCTTTATAAGTGAGTGTTGTGAGGAGTGTAAGAGCAAGTGTTCTTGGCTTGCAATCTATATTGGGAGAATGCTATTCCATCTCGGAATGGCATCTGCAATAAAACCATTAAAATAGAGCCCTCCCCTGCCTGTACAATCATAAACACGGCGCTTTAGCACGGCTTTAATAGGGACAGAGCCAGACCAGCTTGCAACACCACATGCATACTTTCCACATGGGCAGAATTAATAAAGAACGTACGTAGATACATTTTCACCTCGTCAGTTTGCAGAACCATAATGAAAACATATGTGCATGTGGAGAAAAAAAATCTAAAAAATGTTGACACACAGTCAAAACTCCTCATGAGGGCTGAAACAGGATGGTATGGACAGATCCTCATTTAAAATTACCCATTTTACTCCACTCATGTGTATGCCTGATGGTCAAAAACAAGTGATGGGAGTGGCAGCCAAGGAAAGAAACAAGCCACTAAGGACGTATACCGAGGAGGAGTGTGGCGGTGCTAGGTGTATTCATAATATAGGTTTTTGGGTCAGATCGCGTTATTTATAAATGTGTCGTAACCCTCCACCACCCGACACGGCCAAACAGATAAAAAATATGTCACGTTTTATTTTTTCAAAGGACGAAATAATTCACTTCTTTAGCCCACCGGTGTGCTGAAGAGAGAATCAACAGCATTTTAAAATTTGAGTATGACGTTTCGCTGATAATTACAATCAGCTTCATCGGGCAAGAATGGTGAAGCTCTCCTGTTGCTTTCGGTCTTAAATAGAGCAGCAGCAGGGTGACATCATCATTTAATTCAATTCAATTCAATCTGGTGCAGTGATTCAAGGCAAAGAGGGGGAGGGTATTGTAATTATATAGATTGGTAATCATTCAATTGTTATTCATTGGTATTTGTTTCCCTTATAAGGAATTGTAATTGTATGTATTTACCTATATTATGAATAATATTGGTCGTGAAAGCCTACGTGTTAAATTGCTAGGTGTATTGTTTGTCACAGGACCGACAGCGATGCCGACGACTTGAGGCCTTCGTCCATTCGTGGATTGATCACGGTTGCTTATGATCTGCGTTTCTTTTCAGATAATATGATGAGTTAACCACAATTTTTCAGTTATTCTACTTATCCACACAAAGTAATGGATAATTTAATAAATCTGCTTCCACCTCTGGGTTATTCACCTTATCTGAATCTCAGCGCTGATAATAGTGTAGTGAGACACTAATACTAGGAGGCACTCTATTTATTATAGGCTTCACAGGTACAAGGAGTAACTACACTATGGTCGTGACAGCTAACAGGCTGCCTGACCAACAACGCCGAAGAGGTGAAAACGGTGACGAAGACTCCAGCAGCACGACGGGTTCCACTCCAAACAACAGCCCCGAACCTTGCTCAGGGTCCCCCTTTTATCCACCCAGCGTGGCCACGCCCCCCTTCGAGACCGTACTAGAAGGTTCCCGGGCTTTACCTCACGTGCCCCCTCTATCACCTTTGCCCCACATCCCTTTCTCCGCTTATCACATGACCTGCTGGCAGACAGGGCTGCTACAACAGAAGATTCTCTGCCAGCAACCAGCGCTACGTGCCAGTGACCCATTCCATGTCACTACAATAGGATGAATTGCGTACTTCCAAAAAATCACTTCCAGGTCGGGTCTAAAGCATTGATCGCAGAAAATGTGGGAAAATGCACGGGACTTCTGGGTTCCCATTCTTATATGCTCATCCACGCAAAAGTGTGGATATTAGGAAGAAAAGATGTGAATAGCTTGGGGGACATGGATAATTGGAAAGACAGGTAAAAGGAAGAAGGATGAGGCTTTTTTCTGTATTACTTTTTAAAACTATGACAGAGTAAACATTCTCAGACGTTTCTTATTATTCATAATCTGCTAAATAAAGCACTGTAACCACTGAAAGCTCTTCATGGATTTGCTTTGCAAATTATCATAGAATTCCACTAATTATCGAAGCTCCTTCAAGGTAAAAAGGCCTCGCGTCACAACTGGTTTTCTTTATAATAAAAGCTATTTTAATGAGGTATAGGTAGGTATAGGTCAATGAAAAGCCATGCTTGACATTCCTTTGCGTTTAAAAGATAAGTGGAAAGATGTCTTCACCAGCTTAAAGTTGGACTTTAATTTTCTTTCGCCGTACACGCAACACACGAGCCTGCATTTGTTACGCATGTAGACCATGCGTCTCCTTTCATGCATCCATTATTCTTGTTACATCTCCTTAGTTTGTAACACATCAACACAAAGTAAAGTAAATGAAAAGGCATATATTTTTGTGCAATTAGAATATAGGTAGGCTGAAACATAATAAAGCCCCCAACGAGTAACTGAGATTTTCTGAACATGTTCTGTCCTTAAATTTTACTTTTTTGCATATCGAGTATTAAGGTGGAATCATACGGTTCCTGAAATGTTTGTTGTTGCAACTTGCTGACCCACCCCTACAAGACATCCTAGATTCCTCCAAGATAAATAAACATTCTAATTCTACTCTTAGGTTTTTCGGTAAAGTCACGTAGGTAAAAAATAAATAATGATAGAAATAATAATAGAAATAAAATAATAAATCACGACGTTTCGGAGGCAACACAAGTCTCCGTCATCAGGTGGGACCGTCACAGCTAGATTTACTGTTTCAAGTACTGTCTCGCTTGAGACAGTAAATCTTGCTGTGACGGTCCCACCTGATGACGGAGACGTGTGTTGCCTCCGAAACGTCGTGATTTATTATTTTATTTCTATTATTTTTTACCTACGTGACTTTACCGAAAAACCTAAGAGTATGAATCCTTGCAGTCACGAAAGCTTCAAATCTAGAATTAAATTCTAATTATAAATCAAAACTAAGTGCTCGACACCCATTTGGTTTAGTCATTTATAACAATCAGCTATGCTCTAACCACTGCTAGCTTAAGTTCACTTCAAGTCATAGCTATCCAAAATTATCTTGTGATACAACAATCCATCTAACTACTCCACATACGCTGATCTCACTTCTCTATTTTCATGGTGGACCTCCTCTCGATCATCCTCTCAGGCTGTCATGCCATTATTCTACATTTCAAAATTCAGCTTCTATACTTTTGCAGCATCTAGGACCAACTCAATTGCAGGTTTTCCATGAAAATCCTTTCCTCGGGATGAAGATCGAACAAGCGGCTAATTCTACCAAGGTACGAGCACACGTTCTGCTTGTGTCAAGGTGGCGAGATGTTAACCATCTGGCCCGATATGCAGGAGGTCGTGGGTTCAAACCCGACCCTGATGCCTGTATATTTGGAGTTTGCATGTTCTACCCGTGTTCGCGTGGATTTTTCTACGGGTTCTCCTGTATTTCCCTCCACATTTAGAAACATTAGTTTAGAGTATTTCGCTGCTGCAAAATGCACCATTATAGCCAACTGGAAAGAGCATCCCCCCCCCAACACTGCAGGAATGGGCCAATAAATGGTCAAACGCTGCCGCTCTAGAGCATCTAAGTGCAAAACTAAGGGGCAGGGAGGAAGTTTAACCCCTAAACATGGAACCCCTTCACTACCTCTCGTTTCGTTGGCATCAATTCTTAAGATCATTCATGAGGACATTTAGGCACTTTTCCCCCACCTCCCTTTTTAATTCTTCTTCTTCTACAGGGGTATCAGAGCATAGGAAGACACCAGGGTTGTAGAGTTTATTGAAACATGCGGTTTAGACAGGGTCCCATTGCACTGCAATCCATAATGTGTTTGTGCTGATGTCTACACCATTTCAAATCCTGTGTGTGTACCTGAAACGTTTTGTTAATAAAATGCTTTTGCAAAAAAAAATTGTATTTGGCTGGTATACATTTCCACATAAGCCACTTAATTTGGCTATCATTTGTGGTTATCATTTTACCAGGTAAGCGGGCATTACCTGGTAAAATTAAAATATTTTAGTTAAGTTTTTCAGAATATTCACATACAATATTCAAACCTTATTCAGTATTTTAACCACATTCATTATGCATCGGTTATTCCTAACCCAGACATCTGCCTTTCACAAGGCCTTCCACCTCCAGAATGTCCATCCAGATTTGTTGTTATCACTGTTAGACCTTGCCATACTGCAAGAGTTGAAGGGGCACAGTCAACCGATGTTCATTTTTGGATTATTTAAAAAGGATAAAATAAACATCGTGGACGGCTTCCATCCAACGTGAAATGAGCACATTACAACAAATGCACCTGGGGAGATCTTTGTACAAGCGAATTAATTCCCCTGAGAATAAGGAAACTGAGCGAAGAACTTAAAAAAAATGTTGCAAAGATAGGTTGTAAATGCATAAGAGAAAAAAGCAATGTTGTTTTACAACACCAGAAATTTTAGGGCTTTTATTTTTCAATGTTGTATTATGGTTTTCGTAGAGCAAATACAGGAAATGTATTGTGTGCTTTCTATTAATAAAACAATATTTTGGCTTTGCAAATTGCGCACATTTAATCTTCATTAATTTATTTGGCCTCCGTTTTATGGAGGAAAATTTTAAATAGTAGAGCAGGTTGTCATCAAAGAGCGACACATTTAAGGAAAATGTTTTCCCATATCAAATGTAATAATGCAAAGAAATGTGTGGTGCTTAGAATTCCATGCAACCGCCATTGTTGGGAAGAGGCAGTAGTTTCAATGCTTTTTAAAAATACCCTGTTTAAATGTACGTAGAATATATTTTATTATTATTTAGCATTGGTATTCTGCTGCTGCTGCAAGAAAATCACATTTTATACAGGCAAGCTAATCCTAATATTCCCTGAATACTAGACTTTATTGACAAAAGCTTCATCTCAGTTGGCAGTTCATAACAAAGCTGACAATTCTAAACAGCAGATTCACCTACTCAGGTATAAAAAACTTTTTTTTGTCACTTTTTTTTACATCTCAATACTACTGTGAACTAAAAGCTCGCATTTTTTTATACAAATAAGTGAATTACAAGATAACTATTTTTTAATTTAGCAGGTATGGCCCACTGAGCCGTATGATGACTCAACCAAGTGGCTTATCATAGACCCGGATAAAAATCCACACGACCATTTGGAGAATATGCAAACTCCAAATATACAGGCGTTAGAGTGTTGGTATCGAACCCACGACCTCCTGTACACCAAACCAGATCGTTAACATCTTGCCCTGGCAGTACCCCTTACATTTGGCCACACGTGTGATTACATTTTCAACTACCAACTTTCTCTTTTAATGGCCATCTATTTTGTTCCTTCGCTGCTCCACATAATCCACTGTCAGGTTAATTAAAGTCAAGTTGTAATTAAAAGAAAACAGACTTCAGCTCCAGCACCTTAATCGACTTTTCTGTGGCAGTACACACACACACAAAAGACAGAACTGATGCCACAGCAACTGTTCTGACCTGCCAGTGCCCATTTGGACTCCTTTAACTTGGCCAGCAAATTACTTTCCCAGACACAACTGCAGCCTCTTCTGCTGTACATGATAAATCACCTGCACTTTTATATCAAGATACCAGCTTCTTTTTCCATTACACTTGCTCTTTACCCATGCACATGCCATTTGTATCTCTAAGCTTAGATTGGAAAAGATTAGTGTTCTTGATTTTTGTCTCGAATAAAAAAATACAATTTGATGTACATTAAATTGTATTTTTTCAGTGTAACTTTATCTTTTAGCAAAGTAAGATTTTTTTAAATTGTAAAATACTTCATATTCTTTGTTAGGCCTGCCGTGAATGTATTGACAATGCCAAATATTTGTGTATAACAAATCATGTTATTTGCTGATTAAATAAAACGCAAATTTATATTCACATCACATTCCCCACTGTCTGCATCCTGGCAGCAAAGAGACCTGCCAAAGAATGTTTGACTATATGTACTGCTCTGCACCTGTTTCCAGATTAAAACCATTTACACATTTTTTCCATTTAATACTCAAACCATTTAATCCCATATGTTGGCATTTATTCCAAGAGAATATTTAAATTGAACATCTCTTTTGTGTTTTCAAAACCAGTGTTAAGACTATATTGATTGCGAGACTCAGGAGAAACATGTAAGCGCATGTTACGCACATTATTAAATGTTTGCCAATTCTGAAAATACCAGCACAGCAATAGTAAATCACATTTGGATTCGAATTTCTAAAGCAAACAAAGCAGCATAACAATATTAAACGTGCATAAAAATGTTTGTAATTCTTGAGTACAAAAATGTGATGTTTAAAAGACATAACTATGCAGAAACAGTGACAATTTCGTTGGACTTCATGCCAATATCCAATTTAGGATTTTTCAAATTGCAATGCACGACGTGCCAAGGAATTTTTTTTTATTCCAAACCTATCCTTTCTCATGGTTAAAATGGTAATTTAAATTAAGCAGAGCACTTGCTAAATTCAAATTGTTCCAAAGTTGCAAATTACATGTAAGCCAAGAATATATGCATCCAATTTTCACTTAAACTATCAGGACTGTGATCCAATTGACTGCGTGTACCAAATGTTTTCACTTGGCACGTTATTTTCCAGAGATATTCATTATACTTGTTATTTTTTTTTACTTCATGATATTAATTTCACACCTGCCAACCAAGAGAATCAATTCCATTTTCTTATTTTTACAAACATATGGCTAACCAATATTTTAGCACCAATTCCAAAAATGCATATCTAATATTGCATCTGTTTAAATTATGTCAACATAAAATGCGCCTGTAACCTCGTTTACAGAAACCCTAATTAATAGGTTAAGTAAAGGTGCAGCCCTGAAATTGCTTCCTTGTACCACTGCTTGCAAAGCAGCCTCAACCACAGGGAGCTTTATAAAGCCCGTCTAGGGGATATTTGGCCTACTCATTAATACTGCTGGTTGGAGAGAGGCAAGGGAGTTAAGAAAATTGGCTATTGTTTCCATTGCCATGTGGGGAGAGATCGAACTGGCCAAGCATGCAAATGGACAGGAAATACACCGCATTTGCCATCACTATGATAAACGAGCACATTCAGGGCAAGAAATAGAAGCTGCTGCCCCAATTCCCTTACACTATCTGTAGTTGTATATTTTACAAAAACACGTGGGGACCGTTCCCGTCACTTCTTACCAGAATCCGAGGCCACAAGGATGCCCCTGTCGCCGACCCAGAGAGCATCGACAACACCTGCCTCCGTCTGCACTCCTGCACTGCAGAAGCCCTCCTCGGGTGCTTTGGAGGGGTCCTTGTAGAACCAGATGGATCCCATCCAGTAGCGGCCCGTTAGACTGGAGGCAGCGAGCAACATAGCACCATCATCTGTACACACCACGCACACATCCCCCACAGGGTGCTTTTTGAATATTGCGTACATTGCATTACTACGCATTACAGTACACACTTTGGTTATGATAGGGCTTGGATTGTGTTCTTGTGAAATACGTAAGGTTGAACCGTTTAACGTTTCAGCTTTTTTGGTGCGCACGACCAACGATATGCCTGTTAGTGTTGTCCAGGAAATGTCACTGTCCTTCAATACAGTATATCTCCAACCAAATGCCTTGGTGTAGGCTGCAACCAGATATTTGCCTTCAGACTGCTTGCTAAATTAGTGTAGAGTTTAGCCATGTACACTGGTGTACAGTTTGCTGATCTCCACCTGGAATGCAATTTGCCACTCTACACTCAGAAGCGAAGCAGAGTTGAGGCTGAATGTGTATCCGCCATGTATAAAACAGGTGTTGTAGGCCGCTACGGGGCTTTGTTGTCAGCAGAGGGCAGCGCAGAAAAATCCATAGTTTCACTGTACTATGCTCCAACGTCTATGCCCTTCCTGCCTTCACCAACTTGCTTCACCAGTCTAATTGCATTGGAAAATAACCACCACAAACTGCAGTGTGGGGAGGCCCTCATCCACGAGTGGATCAAAAGCTAAAATGAAGATTCATGGCAAGCACAGTGGAAAGGAATACTTTTTTTATAACTGTTTATTCTGTCCATAATACAGGTTTTTTTGGGTTAGATCGCGTAAATATATTTTAATTAATTGCACTTGCGGCAAATCCTATGTTGGGCAAACAGGAATAATGATCAGTACGAGACAAAAAGAACAAAGAAACAGTAAATATTCCCAAATGCAAATGTCAGCAGTAGCAGAACACGCGTGCCAACAAGGACACTCAATTGATTTTGATAATGTTGAAGTTCTGTGCAAAACTAGTTACTACTAGCCAAGATTAATTAGAGAATATATCTAAATTGAGAGAAATAAAAATAATTATAACCGTTCAGATAGCTACAGACTTAGTGCTGTTTGGAAGCGAATCATCAATAACACATTATTTAAATCCATGCCTATACAGGTCACCATGCAGGAAGTTCAAGAACAATGGGCTCGCATAATGCACATGCATAATGTTAGTTGATTATAATATGAATAACCCAAACGGCAATGAATATCCATAGTCATTAATATCCATTAATTATTCCCCCCTACCACTTCACGCAAAAAGAGTGCACAAGTGTTGTCATCACATCTACGCGTCTATTTAAGGAACGAAACAGGTGGACTTCTCCACAAATCTAGCTGTCCCCTGATGAAGCTAGTTGTAATTACTGGTGAAACATCGTACTCAGATTGTAAATGTTGTGGCTTGGCTCTCCAATACACCGGTTAGTGCTGTACTAGTGACGAATTGGCATGTTCTGTTTACGTGACAAACCTTACTAATTGGCTGTGTCGGGTGGTGACGGGTTTAACGACACATTTATATATTTACGCGATCTAACCAAAAAAAACTGTATTATGGATGCTTGCGTGTTAAACTGCTTATTCTGTACTGGAGAGCGGTGGTGCAGTGGTTAGCGAACTGTGCTGTGCAACTTGCAATAGGAGCTCAATTCCAATCCATGGTTAACTGATGAGCCTGATCCTGGTTCTCCCCCCCCCCCCCCCATTACCACCAGCTTCACCAGCTCACTGACCAGGGCGAAGTATGGTCAAAAAACATCAATGATGAACACGTTGCGACTAGGGAGTCGATTGACAAAATGCTGTAATTGTTTTCATGCATATTTGAATACAAATTACAATACACAGAATGGGAAAAAAACCAGAAACAAAATGCATTTTTTGTTCACTGGGGCACCCCATTTGTATTTGTTGACATTTCAGGAAGACCTAAGGGGGTATCCAAAATATATACGAGGCTTGCACACGGAAATTGAACATTGCACTGTAAATACTCCATTTGTGCATCTACACGAGGATATGCGTGATTCCACGTGTGTCACCTATTTCATCACTTTCATGGAGAGGCATGACAAGTTAAGGCATCCACTACCCGTGGCAATAAATCTTGCTTTGCAGTATGCCCAGTGTTAGTTTGCAACAGACGCCAGTCCCTCAGGTCATTAATTATTTTGTATGAAAGAAACCTTGCAAAACATCAAAACTCAAATCGCTGCACATGCAAATAACTTAATGCATCACGTTTGACAGTTTGCGAGCAACACGAAAAACATGTTCCCAATTTGCTGTGCTTTAAATAGGAGTTTTGCGCCACCTAGTGGCAGGATTTGTTGATTACACGTGACAATAAATGAAATTGTCTATTTTTCTCGTTTCTATTAATCACACGCTGTTGTGAAGCATTATGGGTAATAATATGAAGGAAAAAAAAATAACTGCTCCCATTCAGCTCCCAACATAACTATTCATATACATGGATGGTTAAAGTCATTCCCAGCCTTTTGCTCCCAAAAAGTGTTTTAATTCTAGGATTGCTGACGCTCAACTATTTCTCAAATCTCCATCGACAGCACTTCTGACACCGATGCACAAGTGCCTGAATTCCCACAGCTTAAAAGGAAGTGTCTCTCCGCTTGTGTATGTATTTGAGTTTGTGGATTTTTATCCCGGTCCTTCGGTTTTTCCCTCCACATTTAGAAATATGCGAGTATTTGGCTGCTATAAAAATGTCCACATGATAGGCCACTTCGTTGAGCTATCATTTGTGGCCAGGTTGCTTCTGAAAAAGAGCTAGATAGCTCAGTGGGCCTTTCCCTGGTAAAAATAGTAAAAAATTAAGTACATCAGCCTACATTGTGGCTTTTCTAGATCTGTCAATAGGCAACGAACTCAAATGGCATTTGTATTTTTATTTGAAGACCTCAATTGAAGTCTGTATGCAATTGCAACAATTAATCAATACGTTAAATTGTGACATGCACATGATGACATATAGGCAGACCTCGCTCAGCGCAACTCCGTAGAACACCGATTTGTTATCGCACTCTTTGCCGTGGAGAACATTTTTACTAAAATAAGAAAATCAAAACATTTTAAAAGTGCTTACGAGCGAGAAAATGCCGCACTGGCCAAATAAACGTACCGTCCCCATCATTCGCTCAGCCAATGAGAGTGACGTACAACGAGCCAGATTCCACCCCCTGCGATTAGATTATCACGATTTGTAGTCAGTATTATACATTTTTTCTATTTTTTAGATTATTATTTTTCTTCCTTCATTCAATGTCAGAAAGGTGAGAACTCACGAGACCGGAATAGAGTCTCAGGCTCCATCTAAGATAAACCTCAAAGAGTTTAAATCTCATCACAGAAATTTAGCCTGAGGGCATCACTAAGATCACGGAGGTCCTGGAGTTTTTCGCTGAGAATGACCCAGATTGGGAGCGCAGCAACTCCTACAACCTTGTCTCCTACCGCTTGTTGTAGGTGTACAGTAGAATGCACTCTGACAGTATAATACTTACCAATGTTCTATTTTATTTATTTACGAATGTTTAACATCTATATTATTAGTGATATTACCGATACCCCAAATGAAGCCCTCACATACAGCTCATACAAAATAAATGCTATCGGCAACGCATCCCCAAATATACAATGGTAAAATTACCCCGTTTAGTGCTCATTCGATTAGCGCTCACTTCTCCAGGAATGCCATCTTGAGCGCGAAACAAGGTCTGCCTGTACTGATAAGATTAATTTCTGGGTTATGCCTCTAAACCACACATAAGTGCAGCGAACAGAGTCCATTTTTGCAATTTTTAGGTTATTCCCCTTATCTGCGCAAAGGAGCAAATGGGAATGGTCCACTGATCGATTGCGGTACGTATATTGATAGGAGCAACGGATAACAGGACGGTGGATAAGAATAGTTGCAATATGCAGTAAAACTCCACTCATGCCAAGTGTCGGTTTGTCCCAGACGTGAATAGCCCTAGAATAATAGGATCCGCGAAATTCATTAGCAGGAGAATTGTCCTAGAATTGTACTCAGGTACCAGAAACACAGTACACTATTTGTATTCACAAGGGTTGCAAGGCTTCCAGATTGTTAGAAAAGTACACCAACAATAAACCATCACCGTTTTATCAAAGCCCACCTGCCAAATTGCACTATCCAGTTACGTATTGCATATTTAGCAATCTGCAGTTACCTCATTAAAAACCAATTTGCCTCCAAAGTAACTATCAAGGGTGTTTTCAAGAGTGATTTGCCAGATCAGGAGTGATACGTCAATGCAAAATATATCCAAGGGACTTTTCCACTTCTCAGAACCTTAAAAAAATGTTAAATGTGCAGCCCTGCAATTCCCTGCTCACACCACCGCTGATGGAATTGACTTCACTAGAGAGCCCTTCTCGTCCAGTATATTTGGCCTACTCTTTCACACTGATTGACCGGCGGTGTCGAAAGACCGAATCGGTAACTTCTGGATTGCAAGTTCAGGGCGAGAACCATTACACTACGGCAGAAAAGTGCACAGTACATAATTCGAAATGGCGCTGCAAATGTAAAACAAGAAATAAGCAATGCACTAACATTATTACTGAACAATTGGCAACACATTGGATGCACTATTAGTGACTTGCAAATATACCTTAAGAATTATTTCATGAGAAAACACGATATGCCATTACACTTTTTTACGACGTGCAAATACACTTTTCCCATCAACAAAAATGCAGTGTTCACGGCACAACATGAACAGACACACATGTTCATGGGAAGGAGGAAAAGTAATTTCTAATTTTGACTCATCGCACCGTTAATCAATTTGACAGGACAGTCAGTGGACGCCTACACTTCAGCCACATTATATATTTAGTGCCCCATTTGTTTCATTCCCAGCCTTTAAAGTCGAGCTTGTGAATGTAAAATTGGATAACATGTGTTTTTTTTCCAGAGAGGCTATTACTCATCGTTGGCACATGATCCTCCAACTGTGGAGGATCGTGAGCAATTATTTAATTATATGAGAGAGTTGGTGCATACAATTAATGTAGGCGAGCATGTAACAAGTTACAAGCAACACAGCCAGGTTTAGATGATGTCCTAATAGGTAAGACAGTGGAATATCACGACGTTGACACAATCGGACTGGCACAAACACACGCACAGCAAAAATGTTGTGAATGATCCGGATACTGAAAATTGTTTGTTAAATAACAATTCCTGTCCGTACATATACTTATTTTGACCCAAGCAATGCGATTATATATATATAGTTATTGTTTTAAAAATTACAACGACCCAACATAATGCCGTGATTTGGGTTCATGATATATACGAGTAGAAAAATCCCATTCAAAACCAATTAACTTAACAATTGAAAATATCTGTTCACGGGAAACAACTATTAAAACATATCATAGTTATGTATACCCTGAGCAATTATATTATTAGACCACGATCAAAATGATTACATAAATTAGTGAGTGAGGGCAGACTGTATTGGTTTTTATAAAATAATGGTTCATAATGAAACGCAATTTCCAAATTTTCCTAAATAACAAGGTTTTCAGTCAGTTTTTATTGTCTGCGATGACGTGGATGGGAAACAGTGACCAAGACAATGGAACAAAAAGCTGACAAGTGCATGAGGAAGCTTGCAAAGGAATATCCTTGAAATTATAGAGGAAGAAAGAGAAAAAATATATTTGTAAAATTTCTAAAATTAAAGACATTGGAATTGAATGTTAAGGAAAGTCAGTAGGTGTGGCCAGGACACATTTCCAGAAGGGATGATAGCTGATGGTTTGAGATTGACGACAAGAATGGCAATCAAAGGACGATGACGCCCAAGAGAATGCCCACCGCAGAGATAGTGATGATAAGCTCGTGTACAGGAAGAAGATGGATTGCTGCGCGTAATTGTACAATATCATTGCTATTATTAAGTCTTTGTTTTTGTTAAACCTGCAATTGAGGAATGCTTTGATATTGCCTGCTGGCCGACTTGCCCTTGAAAAAAACACTTTTAAGCACAAAGGGGCTTTACTTGGGAAATAAACTTCTGATTCCGATGGCTCAAGGAAGTCCTTCATCCAGCAGTGAACATATTGTGGCTGATTATTATGCCACTTACAACTTAACCCAAATCAAGTTTTATGCTCATGCCACCTAAGTCACACGTGTGAGAATGATTTAACTTCCTGTGTGTTAAATTTTGATTTAAAGCTTTCGTGACTGCAGGGATTCATATTCTTCTACGTGACTTTACCAAAAGAACCAAGAATATGAATTCCTGTGTGTTGTGTATAAAGGGGTCACATGGCCCATGCAGCCACAAGTGACCACTTTTAGTGAGACGCATGGCTCTTTTTGGGAAGAAAGCAACGCGCTATTATCTGGGCTGCCATCGAACCAGCCGTGATATCATGGAATCTAATTTGGAGAGACAGGTGGTCAATGGCATCCCTAAGGCCAATTTTCGAGTCATGTTTTTTTGTAAAACATGGAGGGAAATTACAAAAATAGATGGCATCTTTCGATGGCATGAGGCGACAAATGCATTCGTTAGTCATCGTTATGAAAAAAAATGGCTAGAGCTGCCATTTGGCTGTGGAGGCAAGTGGAGGGGGCGAAGGGGTGCAAGGACGAGGAGGGAGGGGGGCTTAAGGGCATGGATGGAGCTGCTTGCAGCTCTTGAACCAGTGGAATGAAAAGATAAACTGTGCTGGGCGTCGCACGAAACAGCCCGGTGCGACTCGGGTTGTGAGGTCTTCGTGGCCATTAAAACGCAACATTAGGCGCACATGTTCTAAATACCCAAACCCAAGGGAATTTAATCAACCCTAATTGCACAATCTGTTTACATCATTGTTACGTTTTAAAATATGTATTTGCTAGTCTTGGCCAAAAATGACAAAGATCTGAGCATTGATAACCTGTGCGGGATGTTTTGAGCGACTGGTTTAGTAGTTTTGCAGTCACAGTTCATGTAAAAACGATGTTGGGAGTGTCATTGGATAGACAACAATGTCCCGGGCACAGCAATACGTTAAGTAGCCAATTGGCTCCCTTAAACAGAGAAATAACGGGCAATGTTGGTTATCACAAGGACCGTTTCAGGTGGTGATGGAGAAACCAAGACGCACGCCAAATGGCATTTGTTTCAATATTAATGTTAGGCTGAGGCGACCGAGATGATGTCAGAGCCAGGACGAGATAACAATTAAATTGAGCATGCAATCCAAACCTGCTCCACTATCCGGGTTCATTGGAACCCATAGAAATTCAAAGATATCAAATAGCCCACCTTGTAACCTTACAGGCCGCTCTCGAAAGTGCTGTTCGCACACCGATAAAAGGTCGGCACAGCGCACAAAGGGGTGGGTGGTCCGCACCACGCCCAGCAGCCTTTGTCTCCCTTATTGGTGATGTTTACGCACCGCACCGGGTACGCATTTAAGGCCGAGTCGACCTAAGCGAGGACCAGGACAGGTTCAGATAATCGTCACCGGTGTGCGCTCATCGCTGCACTACAATGACCCGCGTATCCGTCCATAAGCACCGAATATGAGGGTCACTGATTATTATAAACTAGCTTGTTTGGTAATATTTATGAAAAAATTGAGCAGAGTATAATTGTATCTTGTGTAAATTTAATGGCAGTGAATCTGGGACAAAACGAAGCCATAAAACACCTCACTTCATGTCACTGTAGCACTGTATATAACTGACCTTCAATTTGTTCAAATTCACTGATCTGATATTTATTCTATTCTGCTTTGGGTCTCTGGGGTTTCAATAAATTAGAATTCGATCAAATATCTGGAAAATCACCGAGAAATGTCTATTTTACCATAATGTAAGTGCTGAGAAATTTATAAAGTCACCAAATCCACTTTGTTGCTGCGTATAATTATTTTTTAGATTCACTTTCAATAAAGAAACGTCAAACTTAAAGCGAATTTGCGAGAAAAAAATTATTTCCACTCGACCTTCTACTGCGGGAATGTAAAAATCAACCCGCTCATGAATTTTAATGACTGGGGGGGGTGCGGCATGTGGAGTGACGTCACGCGCGGGACACACAAACAGACATTCTTGGCTCATTGATTATTATAAATATGCGTGGTAACAGACGACACTCCCATATATTTATCTTTTTGTTGTAAATTTGATAGCTGATAGTACCTACAGGCACTTGAAATGAACTTCATGTGCTGGTACTGGGCCGGGGGTCTGCAACCTGCAGCTCCGGAGCCGCATGCGGCTCTTCAAGAAGGACTGCTTCGCATCGCTGTCAACCCATGCGGTTTACCCGTATTCTTGTGCAGGGAAATTGAGTTTTCAGGTCCATGCGGCGTACAGCCGTTTCAATACTGGCAAAAAAAAAAACTTTTGTCTATTTGTGTTTCTCCCTTGTGATGGGACTTTGTAGGATGAAGTTGAGATGTATAAGGGGCACGGGGTGACCAATAAGGTCTGAATTGGTCTCTAATAAGGTAGGCACTGATAAGGGGTTGCCAGCTATGCAAATGCATCGCGGCTCTTGAAATATCAAGGGTGGAAAAAACCCAATTTCTTTTTTTTACAAATTTTATCGGGTTATTGGTTTTATATTTTTAAAAAAAGATTTTGTCGAAAGTCAAGTTGTCGTCAATCGGCGCCAGAGTCATCGTTTTCGCTGTCCTCTTCGATCATCTTAACTGCGCCGTCGAAGAAGGCGTGTGAATGTTGCTCTTGATGAAGACGAGCTTCTCCACCGACTTCACGCTCAGGCTGTTCCTCAGCTTGCGGAGTGAATGAAGGCCGCGGTGGAGAAGTTCCTGTCGGATGCGGCACTGGACGTGGCGATGCTAAACAGCTTGAAGGCGATCTTTTGCAGCTCAGGCTACTCACTGCGATCGGACAGCCAATACTCCATCGGCGTCTTGCGACCTTTGACCATCATCTTGTAGCGGAACGTGTTGTTTGTCTTCTCTTTGGTGGGGGCTATAATTATAGGGATTAACAGGCAATAAAACCGAATAAAGCCGGATTTTTTGCCATCTGAGATGATCGGGTTTTTTATTAAAACCATGAAAAACTCAATGTAAAAACTCCAATGCTGCCAGCCTTGTGAAATATTGATTACGTTTTTTTTTACCGTATTAAAAATAAATGGCTCTTCTTGTTATTTTGGTTGTCGACCTCAAACCCCCCTGTGCTCGTTGGACCGGACCATCTCCATATATAAAAGGCAAAGTTGTGAATATGTGTGTCTGTTCAAATTGTTTAGCGTACTTCCCGACATGCAACAAACTTGCAATTTGCCATGTGGGTACTTTCCAGACTGTACACCATGCAAAAATTATAAAAATACACTTTTGGTTTTTTTTGGTGGTGGGGGGAGCTCAATAACGCTTATATTTCTTGCACGGCAAGTGAGCTGTGACGTCACATCTGTCACGTGACCCGCGCACGTGGAAGCGTAACACATTGTAGTGTTACGAACCCGGCGACCCGAGTTCGATTCCCGCTCACGGCCACCACCGGTGACGATTATTTGAATTGGTCCTGGACCTCCCCTAGGTCGACTCCATCTCAAATGAGTAACTGGTGTAGTGTGTGGACATCGCCACTGGAGAGACAAAGGCGGCCGGGCGTGGTGAATCCCAGTCCCGGGCGAAGCCGAGTAGTACAGCTAGTCTTATATAAGACAAAAGATCCCCCCCCGCCGTATAGCCTTACAGACTCTTGGTGGCAAGTGCTGTCAGCGAGTAGCAACTACAAAGGCCGGCACTGTGCCACACGAGGGGGGGTGGGGGGGTGGCCAGCAACCACGCTCGGCCGCCTTTGTCTCCCCAGCGGCGATGTTTTTACACACCGCATTAGGATACTCGTTTTTAAAGGCCGAGCCGACCTAGGGGGAGGCTCTGGACCGGTCCGGATAATCGCACGCACGCACGCACTGCTAAGTAGTACTACGTAGTATCACCGCTGTACCTTTCCTGTACTGCAGCGCATCAAGGCTTCTCTCCATGCATGCCGGGGCGTTGGGGGGGATGTTCCACGCGTTGTTGGTCGTCGTCGTCGTGGTGGTGGTGGACGCGGGCTTCGCGGGCTCGGCCATGGTCGCGCTGCAGGATAAAGACAAAGATCCCCCGTGTAGCCTTAACCAGCCTGTAGGGGCGAGTGCTGTCGACGAGTGACACCCACGAAGGCCGGCAGGGTACACGCGGGACGAGCACAAGACAAAGATCCCCCGTGTAGCCTTACCAGACTGTAGGGGCGAGTGCTGTCGACGAGTGACACCCACGAAGGCCGGCAGGGTACACGCGGGACGAGCACAAGACAAAGATCCCCCGTGTAGCCTTACCAGACTGTAGGGGCGAGTGCTGTCGGCGAGTGACACCCACGAAGGCCGGCAGGGTAATACGCGGGACGAGCACAAGACAAAGATCCCCCGTGTAGCCTTACCAGACTGTAGGGGCGAGTGCTGTCGACGAGTGACACCCACGAAGGCCGGCAGGGTACACGCGGGACGAGCACAAGACAAAGATCCCCCGTGTAGCCTTACCAGACTGTAGGGGCGAGTGCTGTCGACGAGTGACACCCACGAAGGCCGGCAGGGTACACGCGGGACGAGCACAAGACAAAGATCCCCCGTGTAGCCTTACCAGACTGTAGGGGCGAGTGCTGTCGGCGAGTGACACCCACGAAGAGCGACGCGGTACACGAGGAGGCACCACGCACGTGTTTGGCTGCTGCTGCTCCGACGACTTGGGACCACGTGCTCCTCCGTGACGTCACGCGAAGGGATGTCTGGCGGCCATCTTGCGTAGGGAAGTTAAAGTTTGAATCTTTCTTGACGCTTGAGGAATGCGATGTGCTCCAAAGCTCGTTTTTTGTTTGTTTTACAAACGTCCAGTAAGAGGGCTGATTAGAAAGTTACAACAGCAAGCAATGTGTAAAAAACTGATGGGGGTGCAAAGTACTGTTTACGAAATGTAATCGAGTCACTGTACATAAAATTGTAATGGCTATTAGGCGGCCATCTTGCGTAGGGAAATCGATTTGTTTTATTCCTCTACGCGGAATGAATCCGAAGAGCTACAAAGCTCTTTCACACATGTCCAGTCCGGGGTGGTCAGAAAAGTAACACCAGCAAACAATACGAAACCCGATGGGGGTGCAAAGTGCCATATTGGAAGGATAAGCGAACCACCCTAAATAAACAAGTTATATAAGTACACATTTGGTTGAGTAAATCACCTGCTGGTGATATTGGTGCGGCTGTGTTGGCAGTCGTGCACAAAACATAATTAACAAACAACAAAACTCAACACGCCCTTCATTAATTTTTTTATGTATAATAGACGACGTTTCAGGCAATGGCCCATCTTCATGTACCTATTAAGGGATATAGCCCTTCATGTATTTATATTTTTATGCTGAGTGTCTACTGTTGCTGTGTCCTGTACATCGCTTTGAGACCCTTCATGAAAAGCGCGATATAAATGTAATTAATGATACTGGTAGGAACCTCCTGGTTACACCAGCCCACAGGGGATTATTGTGTCCGTCCGTCGTGCAGGGAGGGGCTGGGTGGGGAGGGGAGGGGCTGGGTGGGAAGGGTGGGGCTGGGTGGCGGGTGGGAGGGGTGGGGCTGGTTGGGGAGGGGCTGGGTGGGGAGGGGCTGGGTGGGAAGGGGAGGGGCTGGGTGGGAAGGGTGGGGCTGGGCGAGGGTTGGGCGGGGTGGGGCTGGGTGGGGAGGGGCTGGGAGGGGTGAGGCTGGGTGGGGGGTGGGGCTAGGTGGGGAGGGGCTGGGAGGGGTGGGGCTGGGTGGGGAGGGGCTGGTCACCCCGTGGTGCCCTTATAAAACTCAACGTTTAACCTACTCACGCCGGCTTGTGCCCGCCCTCACAGTCGGGCATATTTGCGGAATACACCACGCCGCCGTTGACCCTGATCATTGACCGAGCAACCCAACGTTCCTACCAGCTCCCTCCGCAGGAATGTGTTCTAATTCTAATCATGTGTTCTTTACAATGTTTATTTTAAGGCCACGGTGTTGTCGACTAGTGCTGTGTTTACGGCGTGAACAGTAAATGGGCGGTATTTAAATGAGACGAGCTACGATTTAAAGATGCGTAAATTAATCGTGACAGTTGTAATTGCTGTCAAAATTAGAACACCTCAAAATAATTTTGTACGAACCGCTAATTATTAATTTGCATCTGATTTTATACATGTACCCAGTTAACATGGAACGTTGGTTGGCTCAACGTTGCTGGGACGTTTACCGAGTTGCGGTGAATAACAGTCGTGGATATGCGGCTTGGTTTGGGTGATCATCCCAAGGTGTTTAAAAAAAATCTTCGTTGCTAGATGCAGGGCCATATGCAAAAGAATAATATTGGCAAAACAAAGTGCTGTTTTGTACAACAAAAAATAAGGGGCAATTCGAAAACAAGATGATGTGCAGTGCAGAATGGAGAGCATTATTGCAGGCAGGCCTGCATTATGCAATGTAGTGTGCACTATCAATTGTCTTTATTATCCCTCTTCGTGTGCATCAGTGTTATGTTTTATTTCAAGGCCATGCTATTGACGAATGTGTAGGAGTTTTTATTTTCCTGTTAAGTGTGCTGTGATGCAGTTCCATGTCTGTGGGTCACAGATTGACTTGTGTGGTGCGCATCACTATTGCAAAAAATGTTGGTGGCCATAAAAAACAAAAACCATGACGTTTCGATCACAACACAAGCAATCGAAACGTCGTGGTTTTATTTTTTTATTTTTATTACCGAAAGAACCAACGAATAAGTCTACATTAAAGACTGCTAGTATGCTCACTCAGTTTAATAACCATTGCTACAATCTACATTATCGATTGCCAATACGCTCACCAAGGTTAAGAACCAGGCTACAGTCTACATTATAGACTGCCAGTACACTCACCCAGCCTACTAACCATTGCTACAGTCTACATTTTAGACTGCCAGTACACTTACTCCGATTAAGAACCAGGCTCCAGTCGACATTAGTGTTTTTTTGTTTATTATTTTTTAATTCACTTTTTATTTTTCTATTTCGTCACTTTACCGAAAGAACCAAAGAATAAGTTTTCCTGCAGTCACTAAAGTTTAAAGTCAAAATTTTATCGCATACCTATCACCCCATACGTCTGTAACGATGTTATTGGCCGAATGCACGCCGTCTCTGGGGGATAGCTACTACTTACCGGTAGGAGGCAGTCGACGGGGTGAGCCAGGACCAGGGGAATTGGAATGATGTCACTCTTCCAGAACCTGGTGGAAGGTTCGGGAAGGGGAGCGTGGCTAGGGCGGAGCAAGCCACGGAGCAGGATAAAAGGCCGGACCCGGGAGGGTTTGGGGCAGTTGTGCCAGCTGAAGAGAGAAGAGCCAGTGAAGACTGAAGACCGGCTATCTAGGACCCTGGGACTCCTCTGACCCGCTATCCTTCTCAAGACTGGGCAGAGCGAGCCAGTGGTGCGACCCGGGAAACCTTGGAGCCCGACGTCCTTATCAGGGCCGGGCCTGTGTGGCTGGTGGTCGAGACCTGTACTGTGACCAGGGTCAGGTCAGCTAGCCTCCCTTAGGACCCTCTTAGCCAGAGGACATTCGACCATAGCTAGAAGCTAAGGTGAGTTAGCCGAGGGAATATCTCCCCAGCTAGCAGGGGGTGAAGGGGCCGTTACCCCTTCAAGTGTAAATACTGTATCGTGTTAACCTGTAATAAAGAAGCGTTAAGAACCCACTACACGACCACCTGTATTATTGTACAGGGAAATTGAGTTTTCAGGTCCATTCGGCGTACAGCAGTTTAAATACGGGCAATTTTTTTTTAATGTCTATTTGTGTTTCTCCCTTGTGATGTGACTTTGCAGGATAAACAATGAGATTTATAAGGGCACGGGGTGACCAATAAGGTCTCAATTGGTCTGTAATAAGGTAGGCACTGATAAGGGGTTGACAGGTATGCAATCGAGCCCATGAGAGCATATAAGGACATGTACAGAGCCATTAAGGAGTGGGGGTTAGAAAACAGCTGAACAGCAGACTGGCTTTGTTATGTGCAACAGAGTGCGAAAGAATAATCTGGCTTACACGATCAGAGCCAAAACAGTGTAATTAGTAGTGTCCAGAGAAAGCTCTGTGTGTGCTTGATTCAGTTAGTGTGCCGGAGTCAGATACGACAACCCGTGTTGTGTTATCGTGCTGTTGAACTCGTAACATACAGTATTTAAAACCGAAAACGCGATTCTGAGAGGGCTGTGTGGTTGCCACAAGATTGACTCATCACTATCTGGGGCAACACTCCACATGTTCTGAAATATGCAACGCGACAAAAAAAAAACTCACATTGTAAGAATTCCTATGGAAATCTTACAGCTCAGTTGTAAATGAGTGGCGACGGCTTTAGTCTACATAAAGTAGCTCAATTCAAAGGGTGTTCTAATATCAAGGGTAAATACTTCCATGAGCTCACTGGGTCTCTAGATTTTCGTGGGTTAAGATGATATGCTTGCAACCCACACCCCCTACATGTATTGCATTCCTATAAATGTCATAACTAGCAAGATAACACTCAAAAGAATCACAAAAAATACACAGGCAAGTAAACCATTGTATCTGTATTTTGGTTTACTGCATTCGCTTATGCAAATACGAACAGATTCCCAAAATGTATGGGTATTTTTTTTGTTCCACATTATCTTAAATTTACAATTGTAGCAACATTCATTGTGAAGGATAACATGACAATTCCAAGTTTGCAAAAATCTCATGACCAAAATATATTTCTTAAAAAATGCAAAATAATACATAAAATCCGTGTAATGTACATAAAATGTAGTCATCATAAACGCTCTTTGTCAATCCAGTGCCAGATGAAGGCCTTCCCATGAATGACACCGTATGGGGAGGCCTTCATTCAGCAGCAGATTGACAAAAGATTATTCACACAATTGTGCAAAAGATTAGCTTAAAACAATATATTCTTAAAAGCTTAACACGTAAACATAAAAAAACGTGCCTGTTATAATAGTCTTGGGAGGGGTTTCTGGCTTTTTTGGGAGCTGTGGGATTCGTCCTTGGTTTGGCAAGGATGGATGGTGCCGATTAGGTTACTGGCTGGTGGACTGGGTTGGCTATTTTGTCCTGTCGTCTCCTGATGCTCAGGTTTACGTTGACCGTTGTGACCCAGTGTGTCTGTACAGGTAATCGTTTATCCCTTCATTTGTGATGTTCTTGAAGTTATTTTTTTCTCTTTTCCCATTCATCTTTTCCCTTTTTGCCTCGATATTCTATTCTCTCATGGAAATTTTTCAAGCAACATTCTTTGATATTTAAGGCATTTAAGCACTGAATAAATGAAAATCCTTCCTATTCAATATCGTATACACCAATACCACTGCACATTCACTTTCTATCCGAGTTGTGGTCAGCTCACATTGATGTTTATTGATTTCAATGATTCACTTTATTTCAAAATTATTGGGCAGCTCCACAAAAAACACAGTATAAACTTTTGAACCTTATGGCAGTACTCCGGGCTCTCGCATAATGTCCGTAATGCAGTAATTTTTAGTCTGTTGATAGTCGGCGATGCGACAGTCATCTCGACGAGCTGTACATGATGCACTATTCAAAGTTGAATTTTTCGAAAACTGATTTTTTATGCTGTTTGGCGTTTTGACATCGCGGAGTAGCACTGCTTTCGGATTTATTGGTACCCCAGTCGCGGAGTTAAGTACACCCCTGGAAAAAATAGTGTCCCAGAAATAAAATATTTAATTGCCTCGGCCATTTTGTATCATTTGGTACCCCGGGATACCGCCATAAGGATAATTTAGTCCTAGTCAGGCCTGAATTACAGGAGCGAAATATTTAGTTTGACTTCATATTGCCCTTAGTTCTGTACTTCTAAAAGCAGTTCAAAGCTCAGTTGTCTGTTATAAAGACATACAATGGTGATTGTATAGAGCATGAAGGTAATTTAACTCCTACAGTCCAATAGATACTGGTAGTGTTGACATGCATCCCAAAAATGTGTTTAATCAAGAAAACAATTATTGTGTTGGCTCTTGTAATATTATTTGAATGGCCACATAATTTTAAGCATTAAAAAAACGTATATGACACTCACCTCGTAAAATAAACATGCCTTAATGTTTTGTTTAACGAGCAAAAGTATTCCATAATAATGGTAATATTTGATTACATTTAAGTAAGCATAATCATTTAGCTGTTTCACACTCATCTGTGTGGCAACTAAAATATTTTACAGGTGAATTTGGTAAAAAAAGTCACTAAGTTGAGCAAGAGCATCATCAATAACTGAGTGATAAAAAAAAATATTATCAAGGCTCCTAATACAGGATTAAAATTTGATCAATACTCAAACTACATATGGAAGTGATCTTAACTGACTTTTTTATTATAACATTTAAATATAATAAAGTATCAGAAACGTTTCCATTTTAGTACTTAGATTAACTGAAATGATGATTAAATGCTCAATTATAGACAAAACCACATTTTACTCAACTCACTCCAAAAGGTGCCTCTTGCTGGACATATTAGTCCTAAAAAGCAGCCTTTTTAAAATCTAGGACATGTATTCAATGACATATTCCGGATACACCTGATCTTTCTCAAACACCACAAAGATATTGGGATTGACCTCGGTGTCTACACAGCTGTCGTAGAGAACTAACGACGATGGCACCGATGATCCGGCGGATGTTGAAACGGACGTTTTTAGCTCAGGAGGCCTCCGGTAGCTGGGATCGCCTCGAGTGTAGCGGCCCACCAGCACTCGTGCGAGAAACATAACCATTTTTACAGGCTTGCTAGTTGGTACTGCGACGCTTATTGAGGTTCTTGCTGTCGAGTCATCTGAAGTGGAAATCCCAAATACTTTTAAAATGGAAGAAAAAAACCCCTTTTCTGGCTCTTTCTTTGTCTGAATCGGTACCTGTACTTGTACTGGTGGCTGTGCTTTCGTGATCCTTGCAACAGCGTAGTGATGAGAATAAGAAGCATCACGTGCAAAATAACTTCCTGTAACAAGAAAAAAAACCCAATGGAGCATGTTGGCATGGGTTAGGTTTTTTGTTTAATTTTTATGCGATATAAAAAAAAGCAGAGTCACATTGGCAGTCTGAAGTAGTACCTTTGCCGTAGGCTGTGCCATGGGTACCACACAAACGCCAGTCAAAGTTTTGCTGGCAGATGGCTGTCACCATTTCAGGGCTTGTGCCATGGAACAGCTTGCGCTCCTCCATCTCAATCCCGCCATTCTTCTTCCGCATCCACTCTCGCTTCCTGATAGGCCAAAATCATACTAAATTAGTTTTCAATTATATTCATTAACATACTAAGATGTCTACATGTCAACAAGCATGCATTTAGAAGTTTTAGATGTTTATATTTTTGGTTGCACGCTGGTCTTTTAGTTATTTTACTTTTTTAAATACTGAAAACCTTCAACAACGTACCTCTGGAAAGCATCCCACAGCTCCAAGTTCTGAACTCTTTTTATGCTGATGATAGCAAAAGACTGGTCGACTGTGCTTCTGAACAATGATTCCACCTCCTTGTACTCTGCTGACAACTTCCCAACACGAACAAGCTACAAAAAAAGCAAAACATACAAACAGCATAAGATAAAAAAAATACTTTTGGATTTAAGAATATATTGACAAACTCCTCGTTGTTACGCTCTATGTTATTAACACGAGTGACTGGACTTCCATTAAACATATACTGTGCACATACGTCTACACAGCAGATTCACATTTCACAACATTTGAGACAGTTCCCATTTGGAAAGCAGTAGAATGAGAATGAATTACAGTACATATATTCTTTATCATCCAATCAAGTGAACAAAATACCACGTTAGTACTTTCATTTAACTTTATGAAAATACATTTGAATATAATAATCCACTAAATCGAAGGAAGTCTTCCCATGAAATCTCAGTGATACCCGGTTGTAAAGAAATTATTAAAACTATCTCGGCCTCGCTGTGCGCTGCGTTGCACCGCTAGTCGAGTAGACAACCATGTGTTCAATAAACCCTCGAAGCCAGGATGACCGTCCAACTCCGATCGTCATTTATTGATTGTAACAGATAAAACTGGTGAGAAAACACAGATACAGCATCTGTTATAATTCGGAAACACCCACACAATGAACACCACAGCATCAGAACATTGTCTCAGATAACAATAGATCCTGGAAGGACCAGGCCCCCACATTACCCCTGAACAACTAGACAAAGGCACAAGCTGGTGCATTGCATACAGGCACAGTGTATTCATCCCACTGCACCCCAAATGTACAGCATTACACTTAACACTAAACTGTAGATGAGATACTTCGTCATCACTCTCAGGATCGCAACATAGGCACAAGTCTGACTCGACCTACTAAATCACAAGTAACATCCACAATAAGGAAAGTCACAGGCTTCGTTACTAACTAGGCCTCGTATTTACTACAACAACTTAACGGCACCATAAAGGCATTTACATTGCTATAACGGTCATTCCAACATTACAACAGCATTTCCAATATTATAGGAATATAAACAACTTACAGATAATGCTTCTTAAGTTCCCACAATGGACAAGTGCGGCTGTGGTCTCACTGAGATGCGATGCGTGCCGCTATCTTGACTTATCTGTGTAATGGCTGACGCCCGCGTGGTACAGTGGAAATCTAACATCGTCACTTCCTGGTCACGTGACCAACATTAGCATCAAAAAACAGGAACTTCCTGTAACCGTACGCTCCATATTTGCCGTGAGGCAAGACAAAAACAGTTATAGAATCAAGACGAGGCCTTCGTCACAAAAGTTATGCTTGGTTCCTGAAGCAGCCATTGATATGGTCCTCAACATTTGAACCCGTTCTCTTTTAAATATTTTCATCAGGCTGACAAACACATCTTCATGGAAATACAATTCCCTAGGTCCAAGTGTGGTATTCTGGATCTTAACGAGATGCTTGGCTGTGAGGAAGACCTGATTTTCCTCTGCTCACATCAGAAGCGCACATATCTCCCTCTCTAAAAGACCGTGCCAAGGCAAACCATGATGCCTGAGCATCGCTACTGCCATGCTCTTGTCATAACAAATCAGTACTCATGCGAAGGCCTCCAGAACCACAAGTCCTGCTGAGACAGTATCTTATGCTGGCCCAAGCACGTGAAGAAGGAAAACATGCCAAACGTTGGCCAACATGGCACATTAAAATTGTGAGGCCTACCAGCGAACATTAATAATACATTTATCTGAAGGAGCTACAGAAATGTCAGAGTAACGGGTCCCAGAAAATGTAAATACTAAAGTCGGAGCGGGCAGACGTAACAAGAGAAGCTGTGGTGCATGTGCAGAGCCTACTTATGTGTGTGAATAGGGATTACTGGTGTGGGCCAGAGCGTGGAACGAGTTTAGATTTTGAGGAACGTATCTTAACGTCCACAATCAGGACCCCCAGTGTAACTGTTGTGAACTCAATTTATATGGTGGGCCATTACGTGAATTGATTCATATCTTTCCTTCAAATGAGCAAAACATTCAGATGAACAATTCAAATATATTATTACTAGCCTTTTGCCCGACCAAGGACGGGTGTATTGCAGTAAATCTGAAACTTGCAAGCGAAAAGCAGACCGCGACGTGATATTGCATTAATGCGAGTGCAATTTGTAAGGGCGCGGTGACACAGACCTATTACATTTAACGGTTATAATCTCTTGTTCATCATGACGTCCTTTTTACTTCTATGTCTCAGTAGCGTTATGGAGATCGTGTGACGTGAGGGTTCTGCCTTTGTAGTGAGGGTTGTAAGTTGACGCCAAGGAGGGGGGTGGAGGCGCCTCGCCCCCCCATGTGGAGTGACATCACCCGCTAATTATTATTAATGGGGGGGGGGGTGTCCATTTGGAGGACGTCACCTTATAATGATTATTAATGAGGGGGGCTGTTCGATATGGAGTGATGTCACCTGCTCATTATTATTGAGGGGGGGGGGGGGTCCACGTGGAGGACATAACCTGTTCATGATTATTAATGAGGGGGGCTGGTTGACGTTGAATGACGTCACGAGCGTTGCACACAGACATTCTTGGCTCATTATAGTAGGTCATAATAATGGGGGGGGGGGGGGGGGGGTGTCCATTTGGAGGACGTCACCTGCTCCTGATTATTATTGAGGGGGGCTGGTCGATGTGGAGTGATGTCACGAGCGTTAAGGACAGACATTCCTGGGTGATTATAGTAGGTATAGCACTTACAGAGCATTGAAAAATTATTTTTTTACATTGTACACTGCTTGGCATAAAAAATACCGTATACAGATTATGACATGCTCTTTTCCCCTGTATATTAAAGGAAAAGTTAGAGGTGTATTTTATGATCTGGTATGTGGATGTGAACAAATTTTGATAACTTGTACGTATGTAGAACTTCTTTTGCACCGTACGTAGCCAACCATGCTAATCGGAGCGGATCTTATAATCTGGGGAATAAAGTAGTAGTGTTTTTCAGTCCAAAAGCCACACATTACCGATGTGCTGATTTCGGAGAGAGAAGAGCTGTCCCAGTGGGTGGGAATATTGTCCACCCCAACACTGCGCAGATGTTTATACCTGATTGGGAAAAATTGTGCGCAGAACAGCAAAGAGCAAAAATTGTTTCAATGAAACTCATCAATATGCGATGAAAATATTGGCCATCCTATTATCTACTATTTTGTGCAATTGTAATATAGGATTTTAACTTTATTAGAAATATTAGTACGTAAAAAAATAACTCCAATGCAATATTGAAGTGATAATTTACCTTTTTCCAATATAGCATCATGACATAACTTCAATTACATGCGAAACGTCATACTCACATTGTAAATGTTGTGGATTTGCTCTTCAACACACCGGTGTGCTGTACTAGTAACGAATTGGCATGTTCTGTTTACGTGAACAAACCTTACTAATTGGCTGTGTCGGGTTGTGACGGGTTTAACGAGACATTTATATTTCCGTGATCTAATCCAAAAAAACCTATATTATGAACTTCAATTAAGTACACTCATTGATAAATCTAACGTATTTTCCCGCATATAGCCCGCATACGCATATAACCCGCAGACGCATATACCCCGAAAAAATAGCGTTTTGTGTAAAACTAATTTCAGATAGCCCGCACCTCCATATACCCCGCATGCATTCATATATTTAACGTTATTACCACAGCTTAATTCCATCATATTAATACGAAGTTTACATTTGTAATACATTCCACTATCAATTGTTAACATTAAAATCATAACGTGCACAAAGAAAACAAACTAACCGGAAACGAGTGAACTTAAAACAGTAAATAAGTAACAAAAGTAAATATCCAATAAATAAGTAACAAATAACTGGTAGATAAGTAAGCGTACTTTTAGGCTTACCAGCATTCGACCTCATCATATGACCGGTAGTTACCCCTGTACAGTTTTAGCACTGGTAGATTGCGCACTGCGCAGACAATAGCGGCACTACGGTAACGCCATTGCCTTCTGGCAACAAAGCCATTGGAAGTTTGAAACAAAGCTCATGGTCGCGACTGTATAGTGCTCAGCCAATAGCAGCGGCCTAAGGGACTCAGCAATTATGATTCCGCGTCTGGTAGACGCTTGTTAAGGCCCTTCCCATTGTGCAATCCATAGCCTCAGCTTAAACTTTCGCACCCCCCTACAGCCACTGAAAGTATTACGGTAAACAAAGTGCGCCCACTTTCGTTTCATTGTACAATTTGAATAATTTAAAACGTGATAACATGTGCAATTTTCGTGTTAGTGGTTTATTCATCAGTGCTTTAGTCAAAGGTAAGTGTTGCATAGTGGATAGTCCTACCATGAAAAAATTTAACGAGTTATGACATGTCACACTTAAAATATGTTTAGGATAGCCCGCACCTCCATATACCCCGCAGGGTCTTGTTTTGTTTGTAAAAAGTGGTATACCCCGCGGGTTATATGCGGGAAAACACGGTATATATAACATGTCAAATTCTATCATAAAATAGCTCAACTCAGCCAAAATTATATGCAAGCCACAGGGATTTTTTTAAGATGTACAAATGAACCTTATGGCGGGACCCCGGGGACTCCAATAAACGTAAGTCAAAATCGTAATTAATTAATACAATTTGGCACATAAACTCTGCGACCCACCTGGCGCGGATCATTCTGTTGTCATGTCGTCCAAGCGCAGCGAGGACAAATGCGCAGAAGAGCTGGGCAGGATCATAAGTCTTATCCAAAGCGGCTCTAACTGCCTACACGACTTAGGTCCTTTATTTGTCATAACAGTATGCATAATACAGTGAAACTGCTCTTATCTTCATTATTATTTGTGACCTACAAATGTCTGCAGCCAGGGTCAATCAATGGCAATCATATTACCTGCAGATATTTAACAGATTACATGCGTCGCACCATTAATTCCTCCTGTTTGATAATACTTCTCTTGTCCGTATTCATCTGTGCAGATAGGGTTTTTTTGCGGTTAAGCCATAGTCCCCACATTCTGCTCGTATCAATGCGGATAAGAGGAGCGGCAACTCACTATTCTGTCGAGTAACATTGGTATAAACGACTGTTACAATATGATCAGCGCATTGAAAACGCGTACTATTTTATGTACTGTTTACAAAGTGTGTTCACAAATCCACACTGAGAAACACGATGATTGACTGAGGGGTGTAAATTATGTTTTCAATAGTGTATTTAAAGAGGTCCTGCAGGTAAGTAGTTTTCAGTTTTAAAGGCATAGTTTAACAAGACAACACTTCAGTTTTCAGTTTCAGTTTTAATTTATTCGGTATAGTCCTGTGAGCCATTCTGCTCTTGAAACGGGTGCAACCGAAACAAACAAAAAACAAAAACATGAACAAGAAAACATCTTAAAGTGATTTTGCGCAAACACAATATCCAGGAAGAAAACTGCCAAGTCTTCCAGAAAAAAATCACCGTACACCAACGCTGTGCAAAAATCCCAGTGGGATGCAAGTCAAACACTTGTCACCATCCTCCAAACCCATTGGTGAAAAAGAGCAAAGTTTTTGTTTACATTATAATCTAATGTTTATGCAAGAGCCGGGGGCTTATGGGACCCCGGGGTCCCACCATAAGGTTCTAATATTCAAGTGTGTACTACTCTTTCTATCTCTTCCTACTCTATTTATCCCCATTTCCTTTCCTTACAAGTGCTTCTTAACTGTTTCCTAAAGGGGTCCCTTTTTGTCTTAATATGTTTATTTCGGTCATATGGATGCAGTATAACCTGGTGCTAATACTATGCTGTATTTGTTTTGAAAATATAAATTAAATGTAAAGTGTATACCGCTCTCTTGCTGCTTCCACATCATGTCTTGACACGAAGAGAGGCCTCCTCCTCACATCTCTCCTGGTACCCACCGTCATGTTTGTCTGCATCATTTCTGTCATGACAAACAACACTAAGGTCAAACGCATTGGATGAAAACACCTCCTAACCCTTGTACCCAAATTGTTTTACAACATTCAGGAAAGTTAATATGCTGGGACTGGTACAGTTCACTTAATCATTATTGAAAATAGAACGGCTGGAACAATATATGAACATGCCACTTGGGACGTAAACACACAACAAACTTATATATTAACTAAATGACATCTTTCCAGGCAATCATTAAAGTACTAGCTTTTTTTGCCCGTCCAAGGACGGGTGTATATTGCAGTAAATCTGAAATATTCAATAGAAAAATTGTTCAGCTCATGATTATTAATGAGGGGGGGTTGCCCCATGTGGAGTGACGTCACCCGCTCATGATTATTAATGAGGGGAGGGGTGCGGCATGTGAAGTGCGTGACCTTGTGCGTTAGTGTAAATTTCCACGCGGGAATGAATATTAATGAAGGGGGGGGGGGCTCTTTTGCAGTGACGTCAGGCACGGATGTAGCATTGTGCTGCGTAGATTTATTTTTTACCATCACTTTCTGTAAAGAAACGTCATATTTGAATCGACTTTGCTTCCTCTGCGTTAGTGCAAAAAATCCACCCACTCATGAATATTAATGGTGGGGGGGGGACCTCATGTGGAGTGACGTTATGCGCGGGACAGACAGACATTTCTGGGTGATTATAGTATAGTAACAACAGCTTCCTATTTTGCACTATGCAAAATGAAAAAAGTTAATTCCCACATGATCTGTTGCACATATTGGTGCACACAATAATATTTTCTTTGATATAGTCCGCCAGCTTCCTGAATCAAATTATTATGAATCATATATTAGGCAGCTACTGGAATGATTTATAGATGTAGAAAAATGAGAATGTCACGTCATTATTAAAGGAATAACAGTGTATGCCAGTAGCAGGTTCAAAATATACTTTAAGATTTCCTTATAAAGCAATGACCAGTTTTTTGTAACCTTGCTTTCCAAGTTTCTGTTTAAATGATTACATACTATTTTGTGGTCATTCAATACAATTTAGATCAAATAACAAAATTTTTATTGAATCTGGAGCGAAATATAATTATTGTACTTATGTATCTTTCTCCTGGCGCTTGACATTTAAAATGCATTTGTGGTGATATAGTGCTTGAAAAATCAACAAACCTGTAAAATTGATGTGGTACAAGAAGCGCCCAGCGGAAATAGTTAAACCTCCTTTCTTGTCCTTTTCATAGGCCTTCTCCAGATCTCCCGATGAAACTTCAGATTTCGCCTTTTCATTTGTGGTGGCCTCCACATAGAGAAAATACAAAACTTTAAAACGCCAATGCAATTAAAATGTACATGGTTATGATGAATACAAATGTATGGAGAAAATATTTTTTTACATGCTCTAAAAAAAAAAGATTTAAACGGTGGCTACAATTAATTGCTTCCTTTACCACCCACTCACAATCTGAATTTAAATAACTCGACATATGCAAATGACTTCATCAGTGCCTTCAGGACCATCTTGCTATAGCAACCATGTCAGCAACTGGAAAATAAATAGGATGCAATTCCTATCGTCTCCCTTTGCGTTGTCTCCAATAGTCACTCATTAACTTTTGGTTTGTGACTCGGCAGTGCGGCGGAGGTAACCGAGCTGCTAGTTTTCTCCTTTAAACATATTTGCCCTTAGTCCAGGTCAGGTCACACCCTTTAAAAAACTAATTTCCATTTTGCAAAAAGGGATTTATTTTTGCTTAATTTTGGTGTATTGCTTGTCCTTGTACCACTTCTATATTTTGAGTTATAAGCGTTAAATGATGCAGGTTGATGCTTGTTGTGATTTCAACCAGTTACTCATTGTCTCCTTTCATGATCTGCCATATTCCTTTTCAAAATTGCAGCTTACTGTCCTAAATGTGTTCGATGTTGTGTAGTAGCACAGACAAGTGACTTTGCACACCTGTGATCCATATGTGATCCATTTCCCCACATCTTCTTGCCAGTACCATATCCATTTTGTGGTAAGCAGGAAGTTGTCTGGTTTGGTGACCGCATTTGCCGTGGAAAGGCGTCGCACTGCATTGTTATCCATAGTCATTCTTACAAAATCAACAGAATTCCAGCTGTTCCAGAAAAGCACACAGCACATGAGGTGGAGGTATTCATTTTCTTTGATACATTTAGGACAACAATAAGCATTGCGATATAAGAGTACAATCATCACACTCACAACAGCTTATTTACAACGGGTACATGAAGCATCACCTGACATTGGTAGGGTCACAGTACTGCTTTTCAATCGTCTCCATGTCGGGTATGTCTTCCCATATGCGAGCTAATTTTCCCCTCTTCTGCCATCGATATGGTAGCTTTGCATGGCTTTTAAGGCAACGCTCTGCATGTGTGAATGGATAGTTTGTGTATCACAGGTGGGAAGGTGACAAAAAAACACTTTAATTGCATGCATTGTTATTACTATTTTCAATTAAATAAAGCTTTGAGAAAATGTTTTGCCATTTTAAAATAGATTTATTAATACATTGGACGATGAGTAATTTTAAATGTGTCCCTTTAAAAACAATAAATAGTAATCAAAACAAACCTTTAAACTGGCACTCAGAAAGGAGGTGATATAGACAGATCTCTTCTTCATTGTCATTCTCCATTGCAGTGTCACCATCACTGCCATGCTTAGAAGAGCCCACTGAAGGTGTGTAACCTGTTGCACCAGCTTGCTGCTTATCTGAAACAAAAGAGTTTAAATTGTCAGGAAGTTATCCCAGCTATCAGATGTGTTGAAAAATAACAATATCATTTATTGAAAAATATACAAGGTCATGTAACAAATATCTTATGTATGAACAATACCATACGGCAATCAGTGCTTTTACCTGTGCTGAGCGGTACTGGACGAACCACATGGCTTGGTGGTTGGGATCTTCCTATCCCTCCGTATCTTCCCCTGGTTGGATCTTTGGCAAAATTGAATAGTTTGTCAAAATTGAATAGTTTGTCAAAATTGTATGTTTTATCAAAACTGTAGGGTTTTTCAAAGTCAGTCTTTTCACTCAAATTGTCAGATTTAGTATTTTAAAAATGGAACTGCTCCTTGTGGCAATGTGAATTTTCTCCTTCTTCCAGAGTAGTTTCAGCACCACGTCATTAGGTTAGGCAGTAAGCATGAACTTCTGCAGCAATAATTGCATATTTCGATCGTTCAAGTTATGATTGCATCTGCATGTAACCCCACGTAAATAAAACTTTCATAAAATGCTTTACCATTTTCAAATAGCCAGTATTAATCAACTGGATGAATAATTGTAAATGTTGTGGTACTTTGACGTGTTCTATTAAAAACAACAAATAGCAATCAAAACAAACCTTTTAATGGCACTCAGAAAGGAGGTGATAATACAATAAATAGCAATCAAAACAAACCTTTTAAATGGTACTCAGAAAGGAGGTGATAAGACATTGTGTTCTTATTTTCCATTGCAGTATCACCATCACTCCCATGCGGAGCAATACCCATTGAAAGTGAGTAACCTGTTGCACCAGCTTGCTGATCATCTGAAACAAAATAATTTAAATAGTCAGGAAGGTATCCCAGCTATCAGATGTGTTGAAAAACAACAATGATTGATTGTATTGAAAAATATTCAAGGTCATATATCAAATGTCTCATGTACAAACAATACCTGATGACAATCAATGCTTTACCTGTGCTGAGCGGTACCGGGCGACCCACATAGCTTGGGGGTTGAGATCTTCCTCTTCCTCCATCTCTTCCTCCTCCTCTGCCCCTGGTTGGGTCTTTGTCAAAATTGTATGGTTTATCAAAACTGTAGGGTTTGTCAAACTCAAGTCTTTTCACTTAAATTGTCATATTTCGTATTTTCAAAAGGGAACTGCTCCTTGTGGCAATGTGAATTTGCTCCTTCTTCCAGAGCAGTTTTGGCATAATGGCATTAGGTTAGTCAGTAAGCACGAACTTCGGCAGCAATATTTGCATTTTCGGATCGTTCACATTATGATTGCGTCAGCATTTGACCCCACATAAATAAAGCCTTGAGAAAATGTCTTACCATTTTAAAAATAGACAGTGTTAATAAACTGGATGATGCGTAATTTTCAATGTTGTGCTACTTTTATGCGTGACGTTAAAAACAACAGTAATCCATACACACCTTTTAAATGGCACTCAGAAAGGAGGTGAAATAGAGAGCTATTGTCCTTGTCATTCTCCATTGCAGTATCACCATCACTGCCATGCTTAGGAGTGCCCACTGAAGGTGAGTAACCTGTTGCACCAGCTTGCTGCTCATCTGAAACAAAAGAGTTTAAATTGTCAGGAAGTTATCCCAGCTATCAGATGTGTTGAAAAACAACAATGACTGATTGTATTAAAAAAATATTCAAGGTCATATAGCAAATGTCTCATGTACAAACAATACCATGTGACAATCAATGCTTTACCTGTGCTGAGCGGTACCGGACGACCCACATGGCTTGGGGGTTGAGATCTTCCTCTTCCTCTCCCTCTGCCTCTTCCTCTGCCTCTTCCTCTGCCCCTGGTTGGGTCTTTGTCAAAACTGAAGGGTTTATCAAAACTGTAGGGTTTGACAGAACTGAAGGGTTTGTCAAAACTGAAGGGTTTGTCAAAACTGAAGGGTTTGTCACTCAATTTGTCAAATTTCGTATTTACAGAAGTGGAACTGCTCCTTGTGGCAATGTGAATTTGCTCCTTCTTCCAGAGTAGTTTCAGCACCTCGTTATTAGGGTAGGCAGTAAGCATGAACTTCTGCAGCAATATTTGAATCTTTCGATCGTTCAAGTCATGATTGCGTCGGCAATTGTCCCCAAATTTACAACTGCCTAAAACAAACTGTTTGCACAGGTGCAGCCTTGTACATTTCTCGTTAAATTCACACTCATTACCTCCCGCAACCTTGTAGGTATTGCATATCTGTAAAAAACACACGCATTTCTATTGTCACATTGTACCATGACAATTAAAATACAATACATGCATATTAAATTTTGTTCCCTCTCCTACCACAAATTGTGTTCACTGATGAAAGTTAGTTTCCCCCCTTGAGGAACACCTTCTAATGACCTGTACCGCGCACGGTATGGATGACAACTCTCCTTATAAACGCAAATTAACAGTTTCAGTGTACCGTATTCTTACAACTGAATATATATTTATACAAATCACGTCACCGACACACCTGTGTAAAGAGCTATTCCATTACGAAATACCCAAAGTACGTGAGCAACACATTTTGGCAAGAAACAACCACAAAATATACGAAGAAAATATCTAGACTGGGTTGTCAACAAACAAATCTCTGAAATACACCTCATTGCACTGCGGCAATCACCTACAACAGTGTGGGGTGTTTTCGATTTAAAGCTTTCGTGACTGCAGGGATGCATCTTCTTGGTTCTTTCGGTAAAGTCACGGAGAAGGGAAATAATAAAATAATAAAAATAAAACATAATAAAATACAATTCTCACGACGTTTCGGCCACAACGCAAGCAGCCGTCCTCAGGTGAAGAACAGGTCTGTCGGAAAAATTCAGACGCTGTCTTTCCGACAGACCTGTTCTTCACCTGAGGACGGCTGCTTGCGTTGTGGCCGAAACGTCGTGAGAATTGTATTTTATTGTTTTATTTTTATTATTTTATTATTTCCCTTCTACGTGACTTTACCGAAAGACCCAAGAAGAGTGTGGGGTGTGTATACGTGGCATGTAAAGTTACGGCCTCAATACACCCAATCGATTAGTCTCCCACCATACGCATGCGAACGACTCACATTGCTGGAATTAATGTATTCAAGTGCATATACACATCGTTTTGTCAATCCACTGCTGGATAGTGGCTTCTCTCACGCCTTATGGACTGTATCACGATCTATGTAACCATGCTTGTGCAACTCACATATGTACTGTATAACGTCTGAAATAGAGCCTCGCAGATAATTGGGCACTTCCTGCTGAAATAAATAAAACTATCTTATTTCTTCACCACTCTGGTCAATGGGGGGGGGGGGTGTCGAACATGGATTTGTTCACAATCAGGCCGCAATTCGATTAGGGCGATTGATGAGGATGGGGAGGAATTTCCCTGGCTCTGCAAATTTAATCTCAGGGATTGAATTGGCAGTGCCAAAGTTGAGCCTGCTTCGTACTTGAATGGGAACCTGTTTGGAAATACCATGTCATTTGTCGGGTTGCAACTGGCTCCGTTGTGACCAGCAAATGGAAGTAGAGAGCATATGCATTCTTAAATATGTTTACGTGGTGGGTTTTCTCTGGATTTATCCCATAAGAAGCCAAACATTAGTGGAAATGGCCAGACATCCCAATGTAGCAGGGCCCTGCTATAAAGTCTTCAGACTGAATGGAGCTTCCCAAGTTAAAATGCATTTCCATTATTTCGAAGTGCATATGATACATTACGGCAATGCCATCTGTTATGTGCTCAATTATCATTTTCAGTTAGCGATCTATAATTGGAAAAAGGCCTTCTCACATGTTGGCCATCGAGACTGTCTGACCATACTTCACCACATTCGTTTGTGTGGGCTGGTAAAACCCTGTCTATTTTATCTCACCACTGGAAATATGACAAATTGCTCCCTGTTCACGAAGCTACGTGCAGAGTGGTCACCCATCCAAGCACAACCCAAGCACTATCCAAGCTCAATCCTACTTAGCTTCTGAGACCTGACAAGATTGAGTGCACTCTGGGTAATTTAGTCAGAGGCTATGTATATACTTGTGTGTGTATGCAAGTACCATAGTACCCCCCCCACAAAAAAAAAGCGCGATACATTTTATTGTAAAGTCACGCCCATATAGATCTGCAAGTGGAAACATGCAGCTACAATACCTGAGGGAGGAGAGAAGGGTCATTTGGTAAGAGCAGCTTTTGAATATTGTCAAATGGAAGCCCCTCCACTTTGTTTTCATAACACAAGTCACGATTGTGTTCATCCCTGAAATCATGTGAAAATCTGCATCGAGGCCTACATGAGAATAAGGAAATAGAAAAAACCACATTTATACAACAGTCACTGTCACATTACTCTATTGTATAATTACATTTACAACTTAACTTTTTATTAACCAAAAAATTAAGGAAAGGGTTGTATGTAATGTTTTATATAATTATGCAGTGATGAAGATCATGCTTTACAACACTCATGGGCCCACGTAAATCAGGATTTACCTATTAAAGGTGAGACTCCTTCAAATTAAATGTCTACATAATGAAACCTTTGGGTTTAGGATCCATCAAGGCGAAACTCTTGAAATTGAAACCTCTGGCGGTGAGAACGTTGGGGGTGAGAGCACCTGAAGTCACGTGTGATTAGGTCAGGTCCGTTGTTGAGACCTCTGTCGGTGATATTTAACAAAGGTGATGCCACCGTAGGATCGAAAAACGAATCTGTGGAGGTGAGACTACTGGAGCTGAGACCCGTGTAGATAAGAAAAGGGCCCTGCTGTTGAGGCTTATGTGGGTGAGATGCAATGGCGGAGCCAGGATTTTCAGGTAGGGAGGGGCAACCCCTCCAGCAATGAAAAATTATACAGTAATTGTTAGTAAGGACTTGTCCCTTGCTTTTTATTCGAGGTGTGTGTGGCGATTGCGCAGCCATCGAACGAAGGTCGAATTCGAACCGCGTTGTGTAATCGGCATCGCGCTCGCTGAAGATGTTTGCCTTCAGGGAAGCCGTGTACTGTGTACGCAACTGCGCACAATTCTGAGTCACGTAAAACTGCTTTGCCCTTACTTATCGCCAATTATGGACTCAGACTATTGTCCTATCATCTCATAGAGTCCCTGGCACATAATAACATGCTACACAGTGGCATTGGGGGTCGCAAAATGCCAATTTATTACTAATAAACCCCAATGATCCGATCGAAATTAGGGATTTTGATCAGATCATTGGGGGGGGGGGGGGGGGGGCACGTGCCACCCCACGTGAGATGGCTTTTGGCAAGATCCCTTTGGGTTATACCTCTGGAGGCGAGAATCCTGGAGGCCAGTCCTCATAAAGTGTGGCCCCTGTTGGGAGGTCTCAGGAGGATGAGACTTTGATCAACGACGTCCCTGAACGTGTGAACTCTACAGGTAAGCCCAAAGAAGGCGAGGCTCCCTATGGATGAGACACCTGGAGATAACCCTTGTGTTGGTGGGGTGGAGATCCTTGGAGGTGAGAACCCTGTGAATGAGAAATTCTGGAAGTGTTACCCTTATGGAGATGAAACAGCTGTTTGTATGATATCTACAGGTAACCCTCGAATGTGAAATCCCTACGGATGAGACGTTTAGAAGAGACGTGGAGAGCGGATACACCTTGTTGGCGAGATTCCTGGAGATGCCTCGGGCCAACGTTAGGGTTTGCTTGGGTGGTATACGATGGGGTCGTAACGTATCCCCATCGTAAGTCGGGGACTACCTGTATCACCAATCACCGTGACCCACGCAATAACTCAACTGCCCCCCCCCCAAATCCGAGCACTGCTAGAGCCGGTCCTCGATAGAACCCACGTTGGGGGGAGACGCTTGAGGTTGAGACCTCTGGATAAACACGTCTAAGAGTAGAAACATGTTGATGAGCGCCAGAGCCGGCCCAGCCACTAAGCGACCCTTGCAATTGCAAAGGGCCCCGTGGCCAGCAGAGGACCCCTAGAGTCACTGCTAGCTTGTGGATGAAAAAAATCATACATCAAAGGGGCCTCCAACCAAATTTTGCTTAGGGCCCCCAAAGGTTCTAGGGCCGGTTCTGATGAGCGCCGTGTGAGTTCAGACCACCCCAGATAGGGGGATGGGGGCACACATTACCCGAACTTGCAGTTGCCCAGCACGTAGGAGCGGCACATGTGCAGCTTCTGGCAGCTGTCACCCTCGGGGCAGCCGGATGGGTCCCGGTACTTGGCGCAAAGACGCAGCGATGTGACGGCCAGCACCGCGGAGTTGGACCTCATCCCGGGCGCTTCAAACCCGTTGCCCTCGACGAATGCGAACAGGTCGGGCTTGTCTCGGAGCACCTGCACAAGCTGCACAAGCTGCATGTCCAGCTCGCCGGCGAGCGATACGGGGTGCATCTCACTGCCATTGTCGTGTAGGATGGTAAGCGCTCTCTCGAACGGCTTCCCGGCGCCGCTGAACATCTCTTCTTGACGGCGACGACGGCGGCTGTGTTATTGAGAGACGCCCATCCGTCGAACGGCGACGTCCAGAAAACTAACTTTAAAAAGATAACAACCCACCCGAAATCATTCAGTCATTCGGGTTGTGTGCGGCGAACTTGGGCAAGACGATAGAGAGGGGAGTGGGTGACTGCCACCGGATAGCAAGCCGAGCGCGAACGCGAAACACAGAGATAGAGAAAGATGAGAAAAAGCTTCACAAACAACTCCCTCTGTTCCGCTTTGAAATTCCCAGCGCGCATACGCGCCGCGCCCGTCCGCCCCCACGGTGGGAGCCGTTGCGTGGCCGCGGGTGGGCGCCGATGCTTATCCGCTGTACGGATTTAACTCGCGCCCCGTGTCATCATTGATGGGAAATGCGCTGCGCGCTTCTCGCTTCAGTGGCACCGGGCCACGTGCGATTGACAATTCGTGGAGGGGGTGGGCAAAACTTTTCAAAGATTAGTTGTAATACTGTTTTTTCGGTAAAGTCACGTAGGTAAAAAGTCAATAATAGTAAATAAATAATGAAAAGCATATAAATAATACAATATATACAATACTAATAAAAGTAATAGAAATAAAATAATTATTCTATTATTTTTATTAGTTATTTATTTTTATTACTTCTTTTTACCTACGTGGCTTTACCGAAAAAATCTAAGAGTATGAATCCTTGCAGTCACGAAAGCTTCAAATCTAGAATTAATTGTAATACTTTGAATCGAGTGCATCATCGTACCGTGTCAACCCGTATTCTTGTACAGGGAAATTTGAGTTAGGGGCCGTCCATAAATGACGTCACGCGATTTTGGACGATTTTTGACCCCCCCCCTCGTCACAAAAAGTCAAACCCCCCCCTCAAATATGACGTCACAAAGCTCTGCCCCCCCCCTCGTCACAAAAAGTCAGACCCCCCCTTCAAATATGACGTCACAAAGCTTTGCCCCCCCCCCCCAAAATAAAACATGCTTTAAATCGCTTTAAACTATTGTCATTGTAGTGCGTATTTAATGTGGCGCTGCACTCTGATGTTGTAGGAGAAAACATTTATCAAAAAGTCTACTTAATTAAGTAGAATGTGTTGTCTATATTTATTTAAAGTTGCGCATTTTGATGTGACGTCACATTTCTCAACCCCCCTCCTCGTCACACATCGTCACAAATGTCTGACCCCCCCGCCCCCAGGTGCGTGACGTCATTTATGGGCGGCCACTTATCCTTGTTCCACGAAGCACGGACACATCCAGCAAGAAAGATCGAACATCGGCGTCTGTAGATGCCAAAATGTGAATTCTCCTCCCGTGTACCCTTCGCTTTCGAGAATCGAAGATTAATGGTTGTGTAAATGTTTGGCTGTTATAAATACAATGCATACTAACTCTCCGGCGGTGTGTGTGTGTTTCGGATTTGGATAGCGCACCGCGTGTTGTTTTGGAATGTCTGACGTTTCGCGCCACGTTGCTTTGCGGGGAGATCGTTCTGCGGTAATAACTGAATGGAGGCAGCTTCACGTTCTGACGATTCACAACACACTCGATTGTCAATAACACCGTGGCCTTTGAAGGAAAACACATACAATCGTCGACGTTTCGGGTAATGATCCTTCATGCGCCCTTCATAAGCACGTGAATGACCATTTCCCGAAACGTCGTCGATTATATACTTTATTTCAAGGCGGTGTTGTTGACGAGGAGAGTTGAGTGTCTATTTCTAGTGCCAGGTTCGTCACTACGGCGTACGCGGAATCCGTGCATACCAGGGTGATGATGTCACTGACGATCTGCTGATGATGAAGGTCCTCGTCCCCAAATGCCACTTGCACCGTATGGGCGTTGGTGTCGTCTGTGTGCCCAGCGTGTGCATGTCTATGCCTCGTGTTTGTTGTAGTACAGAGTTAGCCTGATAACTTTAATCAAAATTGTCTTATGGTTCAATCTTAATTTTGGAGCTTTCGTGACTACAGGAATTATTCTTTGTTTTTTCGGTAAAGTCACGTATAAAGATAAAATAATAAATTAATAATCAAATAATAAATTAAATAATAGAATACGACTTTGTGTTGCAATCGAAATGTCGTATTCTATTATTTAATTTATTATTGTATCTTTATACGTGACTTTACCGAAAAAACCAAAGAATAATTGTCTTATGGTTGTTATTATTTGACTTGCATCCCACTGGGATTTTTGCACACAGCGTTGAAATACGGTGTTTTTTTCTGAAAGGCCTTCATGTTGAGTATATGCACCGTATGTTGAACTTAGTTCGCAACCTACGTAGCTAACCGTGCCAATCTGTATTGACCAGCGTGGTTGACGAGGCTCACACAAGGTGCAGGGAGACCTTTATCCAGCAGCAGTGGATTACAGGCTGTACGTGCACAAAGTGACTCTCCCACAATCTACTGGAATTGACCGTAAACTCTAATATAGGCAATTTAGAAAACGTACTACAAAGACAAACTTACCAGGATTGCGCTGTTTTTAAATAGCTAGACTTCCGCGTAGACTGTAATGACTCTTCTCATCTGAGAATCCGAGGTCCTGAATCAATCCGTGAAAACGTATTATCGTTGGGAGACATCCATTCTCCATTTTCACAGATAAGGGGGGTTTCCGTGGCAGGATTACGCTATATTTCTTTATCGCGGATATTGTAATGGGATTGTGATGCCGCTCACCAGCGAATTTATATCTCCATGAACATTGTACCTACCTTGACCGTAGTAGATAAGGTGTTTCACTGTCCTGTGTAAACCTTCAGTCCATTGCACAATGTGGTAAAGCCAAAACAATCGGTGCATGCACCTTAATGAAAGTCACAACTCACAAGATTATTAATAAATAGCATTTAATTTTTAACACGGAATAATTTACGACAGGTATATTATGTCCATCGTTTTTTCCCACCCCCAAAGAGTTGTTGAAATTTCCAAGTACAGAACACCTCCACAATGACCGGCAACAAGGAAAAGAAAAAAGATATTTGTTTCTTACACAAAATACCGATTATCTCCCTAGTGTTTACAAAAATGCCTATAAAACCTTTCAAAATGTTATCGCTATTCACCCCTATTTACAGCTGGTTTTATGTTACAATACAGTACATGGCAAAATTTACAGGAGAATAAAGCAGGGTTTTTTTGCCCACAAATTCACACAAAATTTGCAACCATCACCACATACACAGGTTTTCACACAGCATAACAGCACAACATGGGTTTCAGCCTCAAGCACAAAACTCAAGGTTCCGTAAACACTGACAATCAGCAGAGTCAAAACAATATAAGCTTTAAAAATATACTTTACCGCAAAAAATATCATGGTATTGTTTGTTCAAATGGCAGGTTCAACAATTTGGCTTCAATTTGGCTTAAAATAAAATGTATACTATATGCATTAACAATGGCGTGGTCTTTGCATAGTATGTTTTCACAACTTCAGTGAAAAAATATGAGTGGCTTAACACTGTATTGAACATTGATTACATCAATAAATACAATCATACTGCAATGAAAGCAATATCAGTGGCCATAAGATATACACTATAATGTATCTTATTAATAACAGGTTGTGTCGAGTTGGCAATTCTTCTTTGGGGCCGTCCATAAATGACGTCACGCGATTTTGGACGATTTTTGACTACCCCTCGTCACACGGCGTCACAAAAAGTCAGACCCCCCTCAAATATGACGTCACAAAGCTCTGCCCCAAATAAAACATGCTTCAAATCGCTTTAAACTATTGTCATTGTAGTGCGTATTTAATGTGCCGCTGCACTATGTTGTTGTAGGAGAAAACATTTATCAAAAAGTCTATTTAATGAAGTAGAACGTGTTGTCTATATTTAAAGTTGCGCAATTTGATGTGACGTCACATTTATCAAACCCCCCCCCTCGTCACACATCGTCACAAATGTCTGACTCCCCCCCCCCTAGGTGCGTGACGTAATTTATGGACGGCCCCTTTTCTAATCGGAAAACGTATCAGAGATGGAAAAAAAGTTTGTTTTTTTACATGTCGATTGCCATTCAGGAAATGGATAGTTTTACGTCTTCCAATTACATAACTCGGAGTTCAATCAAATGTACTGCGGTGTGTGCTTGTCAAGTTAAAACATGTAAAATATAATTAAAGTAGTTTTTTTGCATCAGCACTCAACATAGCCCCAAGCATTAGCCTACAATTTACATGCATGCCACAACATGCACTCCCCCGTTGCTGTTTGACGTCAACAATTGTTCTTTTCCGCATTAAGATTTGGAGCTATCCAGTTGAAGAAGTGACTTCAAAGCAAGGCTGTGTGCTATACAACATGGTAAACTGTAATACGTAACAAACATTTCACATCAAAATATCGTAACCATTCATAGTCACTGCGTTAATGATACTGCAATGTTGTGCACTTTTACGAAAATTGTTTAAATTTGTGTACAATTAAGAGATCAGCTCTCGGAATTTATTCAAACAAAATGTGTCAAGAAAGCGATTTAAGGATACTTTGTACTTTTCTATTGTGCTTGTTTTTAAATGTCCCAATTTTAAAGGGATTAAACAACTCTTTCATTTAGCAGACACATTTCCTGAAAATACCTTTTTAAGGGCACTCAATGTTGATATAGTAATCTTTAAGCTAATTAATTGCATAAAAGCATAGTGCTCTCACTAAAGAACCAAGATGCTTCACATTTTAACATTTGTTCAGAACATAAAGCCATTTTGAAAAGTAATACACCTTGTTGCCAGCAGCATTTAAACAAAGCATAACATTATATATAGTAGCTGAAATATGCAAGTGGGGTGGACAGCAACTGTTTTATGTAATTTTGAAACAGCCTCAGTAGTCACAACATTTTCACTTGTCTGCTTTATGGATATTCCGTGAATTAAAAAAACAACAAAAGGCTGTAGTTTATTTACAAAACATAACAAAATAGAAGGCTGGAAATTCCATCGCTCTAAGCAGTTGTTGATCAAACACGGGCAAGGTTTCTGTGCCGATCAACTGTATGTGAAAAGTTAGGTACCATGGTAAGATCTGACCAATTCATATGCAAGAGTAAGGCATTGTGTGTCAGCACCAACATAAATTATTGTTACAATAACATCCTTGATGAAGTAAAGTAATAGGAAAAAAATCACATCTTATAAAACACTGTGGCAACAGCATAAACTTCTCTTGGTAATGCAGAGAACACATTTCTAATATTGAGATACTTTCAGGTATTTATTCTATCACCTGTAAAAAGTGTCCTCTGACTTCACTTCTTTGTATATTTTGTTGAAGACAAAGCACTGACCTGTTGCACAGGCATCAGAACCAAATGCTGGCACTCATTTTGAGGACAACACTGTTTTGTGCTTAGGCCTGGCAAACGTGTGGAATTTGGCAAAAACATATTCTGCCAAGTAATCGTACGGACAAGGATGGCGTAGCACCGTGCGTCTTGCACTTCCACGAGCATGTCATTGCAGACATGTGCAAAATATATCCAGCTTTGTCGACAGAAAAAACAACAAAATCATTTGTTGGCTTCACAAGCCTTTCTTGAGACTCTCAGCAAGCAGTGTAAATGATCCATGAGCAGCACAAACCAGTTCCTGCATAGGTAAAGTCTTAGATTTGTTATCAATCGGCAGATTCAAGTTAAGGTTTTGCCGAAATACTAATTTTTTTATCAGATTCTTGTCATTTGTATTGTTTCCTTTTATTGCAATACACAGTTTCCACAAGGAATACCATCAACATAACAACTGATGAAAGGCTAAAAACATTGTCTTGTCGATTGACAAGTAATTTTCTTTGACTTTAAACGCAGTTCTGATTCAACTGTCATCCAGTGATGTGACTACACAAAATTGTCTTGATGCATTGCAAATGCAATCTCTCTGCAGGACACAAGTCGCTTCGTGCTTGAACGAGGTGCCTTATGCCTCGGGAATATCAATAAATTGCTGGCGGCACTGAATATGGGGACCCAGGGGTATTCAGAGGCGTTTCCATTGCACCACAAGTGGTGTCTTGTGTTTGTGTATTGGCATGTATTTATGTGTCCATGATTTCGAGTGAAGATTGTTTTTTTTTCATGCCAAGTAGCATTTCTGTGCATTTTCGTAACGCAAAGAACCTTTCCCGTAAATGCAGCTCCCAAATGGAGCCATAGAATATCTCCAACGAATGTTCAAAATTCTGGACATTTTCTCAATATTCAACAGATCGTGATGATTCCATGGTGCTTTGATCATCCTAATATCTCCATCACCTCCATCCATTACTACACACTTGACTGCAACATCTTCAGCAGCGGCGTCTTGTGGAGGCTGGTGTATGCCACTTGTCGGAAGCACATGACTCTCGCGTGGAGGATGCTTGGGTCACAGCGTGGACTCAAACGAGGAGTCAAGGATGTCCTCGTGGTGGCTGGTGCTGTTAGAGTCGCTGTCACAGCTCTGGGGGCTTGAGTAGTTCGCAGCCTCTTGTAGTCTCATGAGCATGTTCATCTAGTTTGGGAAACGGGGGGCAGAGAACAATGAGAGAAAATGCAGAGTGGTATATGACATTCATATAAAGCAGTATTTGTACACGCACAGCCTTTTTGTCAAAACCATTGCAATATGAGCCTCCCCATACTGTACCGACTACAATATTATTCCACGCTAGTCAGTGTGAGTTGAAGGTGGGGAAGCACAGACAGAGCTTAGAAGTACAGTACAATAATATATTTTTCTGTGCTGCCCTCATTGTAGTATTCTCCAGATTATAAGATTGCTTTTGAAATTAAGACATACCCCTAAGTGTTTGCCCGGTGTAAATTAAGTTATATAAATCTGATCACACACACACCTACCAAATTTTAAGACGCACTCAACTTTGGTCGTATAATACGGTACGGTACTGCAATACCCATAACTTACCAGCGGGTCGCCCTCCACATCACTGGGCGGAGCTGGCTTGGAGGTGCTGCCCTCCCGTGCCGATGTGTAACCGTCAAAGCCCACGTCTTCGGGCCTCAGCTGGAGCAGCGTAGGCCAGTCATGCTGCAGTGGGGTCGACGCCCACGGATACGTCTCCATCACCCACTTGGCAGGGTCCTCCCAAGCCGAGCGCCGCCCATACAACTGTGAGGCAGGGACGGATGGGCGGCCACGTTGAACACTCCTCGAAATCCATCCCTGCCTGCCAATCGTGACTTTCATAGAACATTGGTGCGGAACTCGGCAATTATGTGCGTCATGAGCAACCTAACTTACTTATTAATGAGAGTCACAGGCAATAATTATTGGAAACTAATTGGATTTTCCTCCAAATAAAGTTTCTTCTTAACGAAAAACACATTATTTGCAACAACTAACGTGACCAACATGAATGCTGTACACGGATCTCATTTGGTGTTTATGTGCTCCATGTGTGTTTAAAAAATTCCAAATACACATTTACAATGTAAATTAATGTATTAGTTGAAGTTTATTTGTACATTTAGAAATGTTATCCCTGATGTGTACCATTGTTAAGAGACTTGCCTGTAAGCCTTCACGAACAGCCTCAAGAACATAAGGGATGATAGAGTAGTTCCACAGGTCGGTGAACCAGACTCGTGAGCCGCCCACATCCATCGGACAGGACAGAAAGAGCCGAGGACCTGCATAACCATGGACACAACATAACAATCAAACCATCAAACCATTTCCCATAAATATGCTAAATTCCTCTTGATATGCAACTTATTTTGTCAAGGTGCTCTTCTTGCCCTCTCCAACCCAGCTTAAATATACACTCCAAGCTTTGGTGGTGTTTCATTCTTCACCTGAGGACGGCTGCTTGCGTTGTGGCCGAAACGTCGTGAGAATTATTTTATTATGTTTTATTTTTATTATTTTATTATTTCCCTTCTACGTGACTTTACCGAAAGAACCAAGACGATAGATTTAGTATTTACACTATTCTCATTACGAAAGGCTATCACCAAGGCATTGTGTTTTGCGTACAAGTATCGTCTGTTGTAGTTTCATAGCTGTGGGCAATGTTGCTACGTGGCTATACCCAATCTGGTGATTTATGAGCAATTTTAAAACGTGAGGAATTTGGACCGTGTCACCAGCACACGTCCTACTCATTTTCACGTAACATCGCGGGGTGTTTGATGTCCATCGTGAAGCAGATGCCGTGTACCAAAGGTTAACAACACCCATGCAGTATTTATCAAGGAGGTGGCTGGCTTTGAACCGTGAACCTCTGCAACAAGTGGCAGGCCTACATAGACCACAATACCTGCAGTCATAATGCAAACAAAAAACATAACTCTGATAATGTGCACTGTCCTTGAAGTTGAATGGTCCACACCCGAGACAGCTTTCCTTAGAGCCTAGTCTCACATGGGTTGGACCAGATGACGCCAAAAGGCGCACAACTCAAAGACAATGCACCATCAGAGTATGAGAGCTCGGGGTAAGCATTTACACTATTGGAACCTCATGTGCCAGTAAAAATATAATTGGTTTTTTACCCTTCTATCTGGCAACAAAACTGACACCTTTTTTACAAGGAGTCATGTTTACATAGACCACAATACCTGCAGTCATAATGCAATTATAATGCAATTATTACTGCAGGTATTGTGGTCTATGTAAACATGACTCCTTACAAAAAAGGTGTCAGTTTTGTTGCCAGATAGAAGGGTAAAAAACAATTATCTTATTTTTTACTGGCAAATGAGGTTCCAATGATGAAGTGGCAAGCCGTTTCACTGCACTGAAAGTCACTTTAACCGCTTCAACCACAATTATAATCATCGCGAGGCTATTTCCATTTTATTAGTACAGATTGTAAAGCGATTGGCTGCAAATATAAATTAGACTTTTAAAACGAAAGAGTGAAAACAGATGTTAGGCTTGTGGTCTCACCGATGGTGACGTCGGAAGAGCTGTGGGCCTCCAGGAAGCGATTGAGATGCTGCCACACCTTGGGCATCCAGTCCATGATGCGGATGAGGTCATTATTCCGAGAGCTGCTCTGTATCTCTGTCTCTATGAGCTTTCTGCGCAGGAAACGTCCCAAGAACCCGTTGACGGGTTCCACATGGTTGGCACACAGCACCCACCTAACAAGAGAAGGAGGGCAGCAGTTAGTGTGTTGCCGGGTCATTGGCACATTTTAGGAACTCGCTGCATGTTCGAAAGAATATGGGGAGAAGTATACTTCAACAATGAGTGATGATCACAAACAATGCCAATGAACCCTTTCTCTATCCGAGACGTATGCAAGTTGCAGGGTGGGGTCCCGTTGACCTCTGAATCTCTGAACCCGCAAGCAGCTCAGCATTGATTTTGTTTAGAGAAGCATAACTGTCAAACTAATAACATGCGCTCTTCCAGGGCCACCCTTAATCCAAATCTATACACCCTTATTTACAGAATAAAAAAAAATTGTAACGAATACAATTACTTGCAGTTATGATCGTTTCCCCTCCATTAAAAGGAATAACAATGGTGATTGTTGACAAGCATTGTTGCACTCAGAATTGTTTTCTCATACATTTCTCAAGTGCATGTGCTCATCTTATAACATCTCCCCCATCACCTGAAGTTGTGATGGAGCTGTAGGTTTGGCGTTGACGTCGTGGCTTGGTTCATGGTGCCGATGATGTAAGGGCTGCAATGTGATTCAGCAACAACAATCATATTAAACGCTGCGACATTAAAGTGCTGTTTAAACGTAATAGTAAAGCCTTAGAGCCCCATCCTCAAGACTATAACTGAATCTCACGCGGTAAAAGCTGCAGCATTGTCGCATTAGACCAAACAAGATCATCCGTGACTTTGCACTGCAATTATAAAGCATAGTTAACAATGTTTAAACTGTTGACACTCACTTAAGTGGTAAAATCACACATCTTCATGTGCATGTAAAACCCCCTTTTGCAAATCTATTGCTCGATGAGGGCCTCCCCACACACACCATGGGGGATATTCGACCAAACTTTACCACGCTGATTTGTGCAGGTTGTTGGATGCGGCGAGCGTGGGCATGGGAGCATACAATTAAGAATACAACGATGGATTTTTTTTATGCAAGCACTGCGTGCAATGTGACATTAATTGCGGGCTTGCGCTACTGACCATTTCTGGTACTTGCAGTTGAGGAAGCCGTTGAAGATGTCGCCCAGCGAGCCGATGTGGTGCAGGTTGTCGAGGATAATCACCAGCGGCATGTCGGCTGCGTTGCTCTCGCTGTTGCATTGGTCCGCCAAGTTTAAGAGGTATTGCCGCAACTCCTGTCCGCCACGTGCATCTCTTGTCAGTGATAGTTGCAGAAATTCACTTCTAACAGGATCGATGTGTATATGCATGTTGAACTTCTTGTGTCGGTCATGGGGGTCGTTTGGTCATACTTCACGACACTGGTCAGTTTGGGGTTGGAGATTTGGGGGGAGCTCATACCAGTTCAGACATTGTGTGCCACTGATGTTGGCCGGCAATTGACCCCTAGGCTGCCCGGTTCAGAGCAGAGTGCATATAGCGCAACGCCACTGCTCCTCCACATATTATAATGCACGCTTATTTAACACTGTCCTGCATAAAGAGTAACATAAGTTGTGATTTAGGTATGCAAATGATTTGTCTCTCATGATTAGACAAACCGTCAAAATCCAGGGTCGCGATTCAATTCAAGAATCATGTGTTTACATTGTGGGGAATGTAGTGCCCCTGTTAGTGGCTGTAGGCATCACAATATATACACATCTAAAGTATGTATAACTTCTTTCTCACCATACGTAGCCAACCGTGCTAAATTGGCGGTAATCGATTCTTGCACGCATGATACATTGTGCGTGTAATCGCGAGCATAAGAAAAAAATTGAAATCGATTAACTGCTGCACGCCCGATAACACTGCAAACATTTTTTTTTTAAAGTGCCAAAAAAAACCGGCGAGCAAATGACCTTGCTGGACTTGTGGTCGACGTTGAAGGTGGCGATAACGCCGTCGGTGACGTCACGCCCCGAGCGCTGCACGATGAACTCTGCGAGCCGGTTTGCCAGGAAGGTCTTGCCCGTGCCGCTCGGACCGGACAGGATGATGCGCCGGTGCTCCATGAGCAGCGACACGTAGCGCTGCAGTGTCGCCTTGGGGATTAGCGTCTCAAACACCAGGCTGTCCAGACTGTGCTCCACCATGCCTGCAGGGCAAACAAAACGTTGACATCACTCACAACAAATGCATCGGTGCGTGGAAGTTAACGCATTTTATTAACTATCTTCCAGCCCCATGGAATTGTGTTCATTAGGACATTGTCTACAAGAAAGAAAATATTCGTATGAAACCAGAAGTGTTGAAGTAACTTGTTAACGAGTAGCTTCAGTAAGAGCTCAAGTTAACCAGAATAAATTATATTTTGTGCTGCAGTGCGAGCAGTGAAGGCTCATTTTTATATTCTTAGGTTTTTTCGGTAAAGTCACGTAGGTAAAAAATTAAAATTAATAAAAGTAAAATAAAAATCAAATAAAAATCACGATGTTTCGGAAGCAACACAGGCTTCCGTCTTCAGGTGGAACAGTCACAGCACGATAGCTGTATCAAGCACGATAGCTGTATCAAGTGAGAGCTCACTTGATACAGCTATCGTGCTGTGTCTGTTCCACCTGAAGACGGAAGCTTGTGTTGCTTCCGAAACGTCGTGATTTTTATTTAATTTTTACTTTTATTAATTTTTTACCTCCGTGACTTTACCGAAAAAACCTAAGAATATGAATCCTTGCAGTCACGAAAGCTTCAAATCTAAAGCTCATTTTTATCTTCACCTGTAAAGTCATATTGACGAGCGACAGAGAGAGCAGTGGGAACCAGGGCGTACACGGTGCCATTGATTAATGTGTGTGTGTGTAAATAGATTTGGAACAAAAAGAAAAGCATTGCGGCGTCAGTGAATCTTCTCAAAATGTAATACGTAACAAAGGCCTCCTCATGCTGTTCCTGTAATGGGTGTTATTTGACCTTACTTCACCAAGCTGGTCAGTGTGGGTTGGGTAAAGGTAGGAAAAGCCCAGGACTAGTTCAGATATCACTCGGTTCGCCGTGGCCAAGAATCGAACGTGGGATCGTAGTGCGGTGTGTGTTAAACCAGCTTTGAAATCTAGAGCAGACTCACGCAAGGTACATCATACCTTTTTTAAAATCTAGATTGAAAACTCATTTCTTTAAAACTGCTTTTTGTGTTAAGTTTGTTGTCCTTCCCCCGCACCTCCGATTAGCACGGTTGGCTACGTTCGATGCAAAAGAAGTTATACACACATACCTTTGAGCGCCACCCGGATGGTGGTATTCTCGCCGACCAGGTAACCGCAGGGCAACAGCTCGGGCACGTCGGACTCGCGGCTACGCACAAGGTCTCCGATGCTGTAGCCCAGCACGCTGTCCGTGCTCAAGCCGAGGTTCGTCAGTGGATCCACCCGCAAGATATACTCCTGAGCAGAGGGTGCGCACGTACGTGGACATGGACACATGGCAGGAAAGCGTCAGAAACAAAAATCAAACGGACAGACATCAATAAGAAATCATTTGAAACCTCACTTCTGTCTCTATGATGTATGGAACGAAGTAATAGGTGCGAAGGGCTGCCTATTTTACTAAAGGGTGTTTAGTTTAACACGTAGGCTTTCGCGACCAATATTATTATAAATAACGCGATCTAAACCCAAAAATCGTTGATTATGAAAGGGTGTTTAGTTCGTCTCATTGTCCCCTCATACATTCCTATAGTGCAGAGTGGATGGAGCCAGTAGTGATAGCAAGAACGATATTGTGTCCGTTGTAGATTGCATTTGCACATTGCAATTCTGTTTGTACATATTTACACAACCTCCCCCCCACCTCTCCGACATATTTCTACTTTTTCCCCAACCTCCATTCTCCCAGCCGATAGCGGCTGTACCTTGAAGAGACGTCGTACGACTCCATCTAACACGTCCCACTTCGTCTTCCCGCTGACACCAATACTGCCAATGGTGTACTCCTGGATCTTGGAGTCCTTCAAAGAAAAAACAAACAAACCCCTGGGATTAGGACAACAAAATAAACCGTACGAGCAAAGCTGTTATTTTTCACACTGTCTGGCTGACAGCATGCTAAGGTCATTTGCAGCAGGTGTTGTAATCCATTTTGGGTTGGATGCATGTCGCCAATTTTTTCTTTTCGTAAAAATTGCCAAAAGGTGGCATGAGAATCAGGCTGCGGAGAAACTACCGTATATACATGTAGATGCACAGTGCTTAATGGCCACCTGTGTAAATGCAGGTGTGTGTGTGTTGTACTACAGCTATTGATTGGTCTGTACCTCTCTACGCTTGGGCAGGTCGGTCAGAGAAACGACGATTTTGACATTGCGACGGTCCTTACGTGTAGATCCATCCCCGCTGCCATCATCTAGCAGCATATCTGAAAAGGTGGCACATCGATAAAAACATTAATCGTAAAAATAAATCACTGTTGTGCATTGTATTAAACATATATTTCTCACGCATCTATTTAAGCCGATAGGATTTTGTATGCATTCATGTTAATTTGAAGACTTTATAGACTTGGTGGGAATGTACAAAATCACATACAAAAGATAAAATGTTACAAAATTATGAATACACTCTCGAATAAATCTATTTGCCAGATGGGGAGCCACATTTTAATGGGATGTTGTAAACATGGCATTAACATCCTTAGAAATGAACCTACACATGAAGTTGCATTTACTGTCTGACCAATAGAGGGCAGCAGAACCATAATTAGACGATGAATGGCCAAAATGTCAACATTTCGCTCACGTAGGATAGAGTATAATCGTTTTTTTTACATGTATAAAAAATAATCCCGTTTGGTTGTTAGTCGGTCTTCGGTTGTGGTTCGGTAGTGGTTGTAGTCGTGGTGTGTTTGTGGTTAAATGATGGCAGTGACAGCCGATGGTCATGATTGGTTTGTGAGTAGTTTGGTGATGGTTGTTGAAGCGTTTGCGGTGTGGTAATGGTGGTTGGAGTCGCAGTTGGCGGGTGGTAAGATGATGGCACTGGTTTGGTAAAATTTTCAAACGCAATTTTCCCATTAAAGCTTCACTGAGTGTTATTTATATTTTTCAGAAGGCTCCAATTGCCTTAAAGACTATTTGACATGCAGGAGTAAAGTGGCATACCCAGAGAAAACCTCTGCATGATGAGAGGGATAACACTCAAAGAGCTGCGCATGAGATTGAATCTTTGCTACACAACCATATCCTGCTCACCTTATAGCCAAAATTAAGTATAATATAGATACAAATAATGCACATTCATATAAACACCATCAGCAATGATCAATCCACAGCCGTCACCATCTCTCACAGCCCTGCAAGTTAACAATCCACCGATAGCAATTGCACACGGGCTGATTTAGTTTCCCCCACCTCCTCAGTGCACACCACCGTATGTCCACAATAGAGGTCATTACAACCAGCCTCATTAGAATGTCGTCTGATGAGACTGGTTGTAATTACTGGCGAAACGTCTCGAATTGTAAATGTCGTGGGTTTACTCTCCAACATACAACCGGTGTGGCTCAACGAGTAACGAATTTGCACGTTTTGTTTACGTGACAAACCTTGCGGATTGGCTGCGTCGGGTCGTGGAGGGTTTAATGACACATTTATATTTAGGCGATCTAACCCAACAAAAAATAAATAATCACGCGACTTGAACAGAGAAGTCCACAACCGCGAAGGGTAAACGACTCATCGGGACTGAGAGAAGAGAGCGAGGGGCTGTGCAGAGCAGTACCGAGGCTGGTGGACTCGGGCAGGTTGAGGCTGTGCTGGGAAAGTCCCACGGACTGGCGTGGCGAGGACGTGGAGGACATGGAGAGCTGTGACTGGGCGCGACTGCAGTTGCCGCCCCCGTCCGACTTGAGGCGATCGTTCTCTGCCTTGAGCTTCTCGATCTCGCTCTGCACTCACCGCACAGAAAAAGCTCACAGTGAGTGCAATACAATTGCCGCTGCCGTGCATTGTGCAACGTAATGTCGGTTTTAAAAATAAGTCACATTGATACGTAACCGTCGACGGCGATTCAACTTTTTCGACAGGCTAAAGGAGTAGAGTTGCCACCTCTGGGGTACAAAATATTGGCGAGTATTATGGGAAGAAAAACATCTCACAAGAGGGGAATATTCATGACGCATAGCGGAGGACTGTTGCGCAAAACGTGTGTTAACCTCTTGCGATAGCATTCACGTAAAAAAACTGCTCTTGCTGCCATCCCGGCGTCTCAAGTGATTTGTTCGATCCATCTATCACGGGAGGGGGTGGGGGGGGAGCGACCGCGGCGCCTTTTCTTTGAGGGTCGCAGTCCACTTCGAAAGTCAACTGCCAACTGAAGTGCGCAATTTGCTGGAGTTTGCGCATCAAGACAGGCGACGCGTCCAACAAGTGACAGCCGTCTCCCTCGACCAGAGGTCGCAAACGGGTTTTGATTCCTTACCCGTACCCGGCCGCACCAGGGTCGCAAATGGGTACCCGTTCCCTACCCGTACCCGTACCCTACCCGAAATGAGTGACAAACCGTGACTCACCAGTGACTCACGGCCTACCCGTACCTGTACCCGGCCGCACCAGGGTCGCAAACGGCTACCCGTACCCGGCCGGGTACGGGTAGCCGGGTATCGGGTAGGGTACGGGTAACGGGTACCCGGTTGCGACCTCTGCCCTCGACCCAAGCTCTCGATCGCTAGGAGACCCCACAAGAGGGGGAGAACACCGCATGCAAATGCATTGTTCTGAGTGGAGCACGATTACGCAATTGACCAAAACCAGGAGTTAAATATCCCAGAGAGATTTCCCACGGCAGCTACCTCGGAGAGAGTCGTGTGTAATTGTAAGTGCCGCACTATCATGCGCTTGTGCATTCAACTACTGTACAGGTATAAGGAAATGGGTATTGTTGTTAAAACTTTCCAGTGTGAGAAAATTAGAAAAGAGAGATTTTAATCCAGGACAATGGCAAAACATGTTTTCATGAGTATTAATCTCTGGTGGCACGTCCAGGGTCCGAATGTTATAATCAATTACATAAGAATTAAATACAGTAAAATCAAACAACACAGCTTCACTTCATTACAAAAGTGCATTTGAAGCAAAAGGGACCTGAAAATGCCGGCAAATTGTTCACTGCTGTCCTCTGTAATTTAATTTATAATCCGCTTAAGAATAATCTTGTGCAGGATTATAGGGCAATAACATTTTTCTCAAATCTTTCCCAATGCAATCACACAGTGGGAATATTATTATAACTTCGTGTTAATCTGATTTTCAATGCCTTTAAAGTTAAATTGCTTTCGAATGCATTGTGATGTATCACATGAGAAAAGGTAACTTTTGCAAACCAATTAATATAGTTTTAAGGTCAAAGTTTTCTAATGCATTGTGATGTATCACATGATTAAACTTAACTTTTGCAAACCAATTAATATAGTTTTAAGGTCCAAGTTTTCTAATGCATTGTGATGTAGCACATGAGAAAACGTAACTTTAGCAAACAAATTAGTATAGTTTTAAGGTCAAAGTTAAGTTTTTTACTTTACAGGAGCATTTTCCTTTGCTGATAAAATGCCAATGGCATGGCTGTATAATGGTTCATAATGGGACCAACAGGTTACAAATGAAACAGTGTTATTTTTCAATAAAGGTGTATACTCATAGTAAATGTCAATATTAAATATACAATTTCAAATGATTTAATGGATTTTAAAGGGCAGCAAGAGAAAAGGGCTTTGTGTTTGTGTTATGACCACACCACAAGTGACGTATGTACAAAGACTAAAGATCCCCCATACAGCCTTTAACACACTTTTCGGGCAAGTGCTGTTAGGGAACATCCATGAAGACCGGCATGGCACAACATGAGGGGCTAGATGGCCAGCAGCACGCCCGGCCGCCTTTGTCTCCCGAGTGGTGATGTTTACACATCGCACCGGGTAGAGTCGACCTAAGGGAGGCCTCGGCCTGGTTCAGATAATCACTGGTGGTGGCTGTGAGCGGGAATAGAATTTGGGTCGCCAGGTTCAAAGCGAAGCACGCTAAACCATTACACTACCACTCGCACAATGCATATATCACCTATATAACATTTTTCTTGTTAACCATCAGGTAAACATATGTATAGTTGGGCTGTAAATGTGAAAGGGTGGGTTTAATTACCTGTCCCGTTCCACAAATAAACACAAATGAAGGTGGCCCAAAAATACGAGGGCATAGAAGGATGGCACGGTAATATTTTCACAATTAAATATGTCGCGACTAATCACCAAGCTTATATTTTGGACCAAACTCTTTCCCCACCTTTATTTGTTTCATATACAATCAATGTTGAAACTGACCAAGTAATTCAAACTGAAAACTAGCCAGATATTTTGAAAAACAAAACAGCCAAGTCAGATTTGGCACGATACATGAAATACAGAAACTAACATCTGGTACTAAAATGTATTACCGAAGCTATCAATAGAAGGTGTGTACCGGAATAATTGCTCTTGTGGCAAATGGTATGTTGGGCAGCCTATTTTTGATCAGAATGAAACTAAAATAACACCAAAGGAATATAACATACTCCCAAATACAACTGTCGGCTGTGGCACCGCATCTATCCCTCTATTTAGGGAATGGACCAAGAGGATTTCTCCAAAAATTTGGCTGTCCGCTTGATGATGATAGTTATAATTATTGGCGAAACGTTGTACTTGGATTGTAAATATTGTCGATTTGCTCTCCAAACACACCGGTACGCTGTCCGAGTAACAAATTTGCATGTTCTGTTTACGTGACAAACCTTACCAATTGGCTGTGTCGGGTGGTAGCGGGTTTAACGACACATTTATATTTACGCGATCTAACCCAAGAAACATGTATTATGTACAATCCATGTGTACAATGTTTATTGGTATCCACAAATGTGACTGAGTTGTTTATAATTTGAAATTACATTACTTTAAATCAGTGCTTCGATTTACAATGCTATAGTGAAAATGTGTAGTTCAAATGTCGTTTAACTGGTTAATAACATCTAAGATCCATCCTATTCATCAATATATTTTTTTATCATTAAAAAGTAACCTTCAGAAAACTGACTCAATTATTAATGAAATATACATCTCTATTTTTTCAAAACAATTATATACGCAAACCAAATTCTTAGTACAATCAAAATGTTAATAAAATATTAACGTTGATACTATTTGGCACATGGTGCTTCATTAAGTATTAATGATTAAATTGTGACCTCAATGATTTAATAATGATCACAAAACCCAAGGGGGATAGACATGGGTGATGAAATTGGAGAAAACCAAACGTTTTATAAAATGTACTTAGTTTTTTGGCATTATCACAATACTTGAAGAACAAAACTTGGCAGGAATAGCCAAAAACTGTGCAATGCCACAGATGTTGTTTATTACTCGCTAACAACACTGGGCGAAGACCCCGGGGCCGGCCCAGGACACGCTGTCGGGACTACAGTATGTGGCTCAACTGGCCTTGGAACGCCTGGGAATTCTCCAGGAAGAGCTAGAGTCTGTCCCTAGGGAAAGGGAGGTCCCGACCGCCCGTCTCAACATGCTGCCGCCGCGACCCTCACGAGGACAAGCGGATTGAGAAAGGAACGAACTCGCGAACAACAGATAGATGGCATAAGACATTTACTCAACATACCCCTTACTTTTGCATAAAAATAAATTCGAGTTGATATTTAAAGAACGACAACTTTTGGCAGGGACTGACAAGTTCAGATGTAAGGGGGTTCGCTTGCCTTTTAGTTTGCACTAATCCAGTTTGAAACGAATAAGTCTCCCAGCAATGGCAGGGGAGTCATTCAAGTGTCCTCTGTGCTTGCTTGTGAAAATAAAAAAATCCACACTGCCGTGTGAATGTACATAACATTTGCCTTATATTTGGCAAACCGAAATAAACAACTCACTATTTAAATTCTAGCTTCCAGAACTGGATTGTAAACATTGTGAATCCAAAGTTACGTAGTTATGTGAATGTAAAATAGATTATAAATGCCAAATAATATAAGAATTATACGTGCATTAACGTCAGCCTATTTTTTTTACACCCCCCCCCCCCATAAATAAGAGTCAAGTAGAATGGTGTATTGTATGCTAGGCTAAAAGGTGTGGCACAAGGTAATGGCATAAAAATGTTCATAACGTTGGGTGGGGCAGGGCTTTCCGAATGACAGGGGTGGAAAAATATGCACTTAGAGAGCAAATGAAATGCAATGCAAACACCAACTTCCTTGAACAATGAGCTCTGTATATCACAAAAAAGAAATACACCCTTGCAGAATACACATTAAAAAGGCGGTAATGGTTACCATTTTTTTGTATCCCTTTTTAAAACGTTCGCTTTCCTTTTTTCCCCAAATGTGTTGTGTTTTCACGGGTGGTGGTTTTTCCATTCCCCTGCTGAGCCGGCACGAGGCCTGGCAGGGAAGGGGGGGGGGCGGTGGGGGGGGGCACGGGGGTCGTACCTGCATGCGGTTCATAGACTCGCGCAGCTGGTCCAGCTGGTGCGCGGAGCTCAGCGCCTCCAGCCGGATGTCCGTCAGCTTCATCTCCTTCTCGCGCAGCTCGCTCCTCAGCTGCATCACCTTCTCCGCCCCCGTCTCCGTGCACTCGCAGATCCTGCACACGACCCAAAGCCGGCGCAAGATGCGCAAAGCAACACCGTTAGCTTGCCTCCAGTAGCAGCAATGGAAGCTGCTTTCAAAGAATATTAGGGGAGACACCAGATGCTTTTAGATATATTTTTTGGAATGTTGCCATGGTGCACTAGTGAGGTAACGTATGGATATTGGCAGTGTTGAACAGGAGGCAAATATACCGTTTCTAGCATTCCCTTTAGTGGAAGCATTTCTGCCAGCATTGGCATGAGCAAGAAATTGCAGGGCTGTACATTTACCTTTAGTTGTCAATTGGACAAATACAATTACTATCCAAGCCACTGAAAAAAACAAGTTTTGCCAACCTTGCCATGCCACAGCCAAGACACACCAATCACTACAGCTGTTATCCGCAGCAGTAAGAAATATATAGTTCAGCATAACGAGTGCAGCAATGATTCAAACTTTGGCCACCTCTCAATAAATTCCATTAAAATGTAGTCGTCTTGGAAACACGACAACTTACGCATTACACACCGCAGTCTGCAAAGTTAAACTTCACACACGCATTTTCGTCATGTTTAGATTCGCTAAACCAAGATCACATGGCAGGTCTCCTGCAAGGAATCCAGCTGGCGGGGAGTGGGAGTGAACGTACGCGGACGCAGAGTGAGAGGGCTTGATGGCAGGCGTGACAGCGGTGACTGCTCCATGGGGTAGCTTGGGTGACGATGGGAGGGACGAGTCCGGAGTTGTCATCTCCTCGATGTCGGAGTGAGACGACGCCGACTTGGGCGACTTCTTCTTTCCAAACGCCTGTTTGAAGGAGCTGCGAAGCTGAGCGAGCACAGACACGCCACACGCAAAGACCGCTTAGTCAGTCGTGTGCCAATAAACGTACGTTTTATCTCTCTCGTGGCCGTGCTTGCAACAACAAAAAAGACGTGAGGTCTCAATGTTTATAACACTGTGTAACAATTTTGTTTTGTTCCTGGGTAGTAAGTGTTATTTCCTAATTGCTTATGCCTGAAAAGTACAGAAAATGGCTGTTATTCCCCATAAACTTTGTTTTGTGACCAGGACAGTGATATTTTGAAATTTACCAATTTTCAATGAGAAAATTGGCGAATGTGTTTTTTGGTTCACATAAAGTCAGAAAAAAACTACATATTAATCAAAATTGGCATGTATTTATACTAAAGTAATAAATAAATTACTACAAAAGATTTAGACACCAAGGCACACTACCACAGGCGGGACTGGCCACAGCGGACCGAGTTCTCTGTGGGGAGGAACAACGTCAAGTGGGAGCCACTGGTGGACCCCCGGAAGGTGCTGATGCCACCACTGCACATCAAATTGGGCCTTATAAAACAATTTGTCAGAGCTGTAGATAAGAAGTCGGCAACCTTCAAGACTTCTTCCCAAAGCTGTCTGAGTCAAAGGTCAATGCCGGTGTCTTCGTCGGACCACAGATAAAGAAGATCCTGGAGTGCAATTAATTCCCTAAGAAGCTCACTAGTAAGGAGAAAGTGGCTTGGAACAGCTTTGTCGAGGTGGTTCGTGGCTTCCTGGGCAATCACAAGGTCGAAAACTACGTGGAGCTGGTTGAGAACATGATGGGAGACTACATTTGGAGGCTGATTCATGAAAATGATTTACAGTATAATCGTAAATCTCGAAAAAACTACTCACCTCTAATTGTTTTGTAGTCATTTTTATATTACTTTAGTATAAATACATGTTAATTTTGATTCATATGTTGTTTTTTTCTGACTTCATGTGAATGAAAAGACATACATTCGCCTGTTTTCTCATTGAAAATATGTAAATTGAAAATATCACTGTCCTGGTCACAAAAGCAAAGTTTGTTGGAGGAATAATAGCCATTTTCTATACTTTTTAGGCATAAGCAATTACGAATAACACTACCCAGGAACAAAAGTTGTGTTACATAGTGTAATTACTCAAATAAATGCATTAAAATAATCCGCAATGACAAATTAATATATCTGTTTGTCTATGGCTTAAAAAAATATATGGTATCAGAAAATAATTACTGGATGTATCAATATACTTTTTTTCAAATTTGTTTTATTGTATGCATCATGGGCTCCAGAATTAACAATATGTTCCAAATTGGTATTAGAAAAGAACTGCACCCTAAATGAGACCAAATTAATTCCGATGTCTTACGTCACAAAGAACACCTATCCAATCTAGCTGACTGCATCGGACACTGCCTTTCACAATGTTCTATTGTTGGGGGAATGGCACCAAGGCAAAATGATACTACAATGTTAGCCAAATCCTGCCTTGTGACTTGCACTCACCAATTGTCTAACTGGAGCACACATGTGTTAATGCATGGCTTAGACAAAAAATGCTTACCTCTGATACCTAGCATACAGTAATGCCAGCAGATGGGAAAAAAGCAGAACAAAAATCCCAGCATGAAAGAACAGCCACATCAAAGCCAAAGAGCTCAGCATTCACACACAGATACCTCCATTAAGAGCTATATTGAAGTCACAGCCGTTTTTACCACTTATAACAAGGTACAGAAGAAACAGGCAGAGAACATAATGAGAGTGACTAGATGTTGATGGTTACATTTTACCAGCATATAACAATGTGACAAAGGAGACGGATTTCAAGGGAAGTTCTGAACATTAAAACACATTATTCAAAGAGGAATTATCATTTAAAATTGGTTCCTGCGGGTATTATTTTATTTTGCACGTGATGTGTCAGTATGCACCGTGTTTCTCAAAAGCCAGAGCTCTCTGCTGTGACAGCTATAGCCCAATGCTATTGCTTCGAGTCAGGACGAGCAATGCAACACTCCATCAAAAATAATAAAGAAAAAATAGGAGCAAGCAGCACAAATAGTTGTTAATCTAGGGATAAACCGACAACACCGTAGAGCTTTGAATGATGTTCAGAGGGGTGGTACATTATACTTGAATGTAAATACAATGTAATTAACCTTACACGATTCACAAACCTGTGCACTGATACCGAGAATTGGACAATTAAGACATGCTGTCTAATTGCATGTCGAAAAATAATAATGATACATTAAAAAATATGTACAGTCATTTGTCAACCCATTACTTCACAGTGAAGGCCATCCTATGCTGCGTTGGCCACGGTGCATATTTGACGATACTATTAGCATGCTGGTCATTGCGAGTTGATGAATGGGTGGCCCAGGACTGGATTAGATATTACTTACCACTCATGGTAGCCAATTAAAACTCGGTTAAGCGGGTTCATAGTGCAGTGCGTTAACTACTGCGCCACCGCTGCCCCTATGTTATTTATGTCATACGGACGAAAAAACACAAAGTATTGATATCCAATTCTGGGAATCTAATAAGCCCTTATTGGTTGAAATAGTAGATAACATTAGTAAAATAGGGCCTACAGGAAGCTATATCACAAGGCCTACCCACGGCATCCATCCTTTAATGAGAAAATTTAGCTATTCAGACTTTGTTTTCACATTCCATCGTACTCTGAATGTGCTAATTGGAACAAATGGAGGGGCACAGATGTCGGTTAAATCCCTTGCATACATATGAGCAAAAAATGCAACATTCTGCAAAGAGCAGCCTGCCATCTTCACGGTTGCTGCCAAGCTGCGCTGCTGAAGAAAGTAAAAAAATAAATGAAAGGGTACACAAACAAGCTAGGCCACACGCACGCACACAGAGCTGACCACACGGAATGGCGTAAAACACAGCAGCCAGTGGCATATAATATCTTTTTTCCTTCCTCTCGCATAAGGCATGCTCAACCGGCTTATGGGAGAGAAACACAAGCGCGGCACGCAGCGACACAATATTCACCTTGCCGCCTTTTGTGTTCACCTTGGAGGTTAAGAGTGAGTGAGGAGACAGAGAAAAGTGTGAAGTCAGCTTAGAGTAGCAGGGAACATGGAAAACGATGGTGGATTTATTTCGTACTGATACCTCAACGAGTTGTGGGGGGGGGGGGGGGGCAAAATAAAAAGACTCCACAACATGCGACAAATAATGAAGGAGCTACAGTGGTTAATGAAAGCAGCTTAAAGGTACTGAAATTAAAAAGCTGTGTCATGAACTTTGAAGTGCACTGAAACCTCTATGATCTTAAAGCCCAATGTTATACACCCAGTTTGACAGGTTTCCTTATTGCAGAATCTATGTCAGCCACTATGCACACAGGCTGATTGATTGATATTGCAATACAGTAATGCAGCAGTACAAGTTTAACTGCAGTACTGCATGTACTGTATAATGCAGCGGTCCACAACCTTTATGGCACCAGGGACCGGTTTAGTGGAAGACAATTTTTTCATGGACGGACGGGGGAGTTTATCATTGGGTCTTTCCCCCTTTTCAAAGAAGCTCTCCAGTGACGTTTGTTTTTTACTCATTGTGGCTAGGGGTTAGCTTCTGGGCTTACCAAAACTGTGACTGAGACAGGTGCGCAGTGCAGGAAAGAGGCGCGGATGGAAGTGGTAAATAAAATAACGGGGACGGGCCACGCGTGGACTCACCGCTCACCTCCTGCAGTGCGGCCCGGTTCCTAACAGGCCACGGACCGGTACCGGTCTGCGGCCCGGGGATTGGGGACCCCTGGTATGATGTATTTCTGAGTTTGTATTTTGGATGTACTTTCAGGTTTATTTAATTTAATAATTACATTATACCTTCAGTTTTTTGTACGATTACAATACACGCTTTTATTTTATGCTTTGACCAGCATTTCATTATCCTAACCGTGCTTGTTCTGAAAGGAAAATGTAATGCTAATAAAGGTAAAGTATTTCGAAAATGTAACAACCGATGGTAAATACTGAACATTCTTTTCTTTTCAGATATTTTCACAAATGTGTACTGAAGAACAACAACTTTCGTGAAGACATTTAACTTAATCTCCAATATGAAAAGGTTTCCTATACTGTGGCATCGCAGAAAATGAAACTGTGTAGAGACCTAACTTTCGGCAACGTGACTTTAGGAGCACAGATCGATGGAGGGAAAGAAACCAAAATCGTGAAACGAAATACTCAACAACAACAAAGACCTCGCGAGAAAAAACGAGAAGAGAACGAGCAGAAAGAAGGTGAACATGAAATGCGGTGAGACTAAAATATGCACGGTTTGCCCTCCAGCGGGAACATACCCAGTTCTTCTTTTTCTTCTTTTTGGAGTCGGGCGTTTCGGCCGAGCTTCCGATGCTCGAGTGGCTCGTGGCGCTGTTGATGCTCGACACGCTGTCCGAAGAGTGCTGCCGCCGGATGCGCAGCTCCGTCGACTGCGAAGAGCTCGCACTCCCTGCTTGAGACAAACACAGGGCGACGTCGCGTACCCGACCCGCTGAGGGAACGAGGGTACAGGGGGAGCAGTGTCGTGGGCGGTGTCGGAACGCTGCGCTACGGACCCGCCGGCCCAAGTTTGATTCCCACTCACGGCCCACAACTACCGGTGACGATTATCTTAATCGGTCCTGGGTCCTCCCCTAGGGTCGACTCAGCCTCAAATAAGTACCTGTTGCGGTGTATTAACATCGACACTAAATCAGAGATTCATAGTGCATTGGACTAACCACTGTGCCGCCACTCCACCGCAGTTGAAATCTGTATTTGTCATTTCACGCTGCTGGACCGTAAAGACATTATGGATGTGTGGCGGTAAGCTGCTGCGACGATTCTCGGAGAGGAAGCAGGTCATCACACCTTTTCGGGAGAGCTCTGGAGTGTTGATGACACCGCTGATCGCAGCCTGTGCCGCCACATTCTGCCTCTTCAGCATCTCGATGGTCTTTCTCAGTTCATTCAACTCCGAGTCCTGCTTCACAGGAAGAGGCCCAAAAACCACAAAGCTGTGTTTTACATCGAAAATAAATAAAATACACATGATTAAAATGGCAAAAAAGTTCAAATAGATGGTCTGAGTGACCATGTAGTATATATATACTGGGCAGTACTTGTAAAATAAAATGAATAAGCAGCAGCAACAGACGTGTAAGGCTACACTTTTGTAACAGATGGCACAGTTATGGAAATCGTGAATTTGAATGTGTGTGAAAAGTAGAAACATTTTCTTTCTTTATTTTCTTTGAAATTGCCAGGCACAGCGAGTGGTGGGGGTTTTCCTCACCTAATAGCGCGAGTTATTATTATTGCCCAACACCCCATCCGGGAAATTTATTAAAACATTATTCCTGTGCCAAAATCGTAGCCTTAGGTATAAGCCAATTGTACGGCCACGCTACCTTGCAGTGTGTACTCATTAAAAAGCATGAGGACAGACCGTGCAGCGGCATGGCCGTCGGGGACCTGGTGAGTAATTGGACAAGTGCTACAGGATGCGGGGTTCTCATTGCAATCTCCCTCCGGGCGAGATACCCATTGCAGCGTTCAGCCGTGATTTATTAATGAGTCAAATGAGGATTATTTCTTTAATGAGTCAAACTGAGCCAGTAAGCAGCAGAGACAGACAGACAGACAGCAGCGAGCCCTGGCTTCACCCACCTTCTGCTCGGCGGTCATGGTGAGACTCTGCAGGCGGCTGGTCATGTTGGCCAGGCTCTGCTCAAACGCAGCCACCAGGTGGGCCTGTGTGAGCGACAGGAGACACGGCACATTCGCAGAGACAGACTATAGTGACGCGAATTAGTGCCGCGCACTTGTGACGCAGACTATGGCACCTCTACATTCAGTCACATGCAACGCAAACTAAAAGTGCGGTCCTGAAATTGCTTTGTCCGCACCACTGCTGGCGGAAGGGGCCTCCACTAGGGGGAGCTCTCGGGAGCCCCTCGACAGGGTACAGTAAAACCTTGGATTGCGAGCATAGTTCGTTCCGGAAACGTGTTTGTAATCCAAAGCACCTGTATATCAAAGCACTCGTATATCAGTTGTGATCACGTGACACCCGGCAGACAAAGCGCAGACACGTACTATTCGTATTGCAAGACCTCGCTCGTTTATCAGATTAATATTTATTAAAAAATGTTGCTCGTCTTGCAAAACACTCGCAGACCAAGTTACTCGCAATCCAAGGTTTTACTTTATTTCACCCGACTCTTCCACGCTTGCCAGACATTTGATAAGGGGTGAGAGTACCCACACTTTAAGCAGCCTCCACATGCAACCTGCCCGTCGACTGTGGCGGACCCACTTTTACTGCTTTTCAGATACGGGGGGGGGTTCGGGGGCGGAACTCAAGAAACTTACACCATTATTTCAACTCCCGTGCTAACCATTACACCATGGTAGCATCTCTGTAATGAATAAAGAGGGCAATTGGATGAATCCGTAGATTTGAAAGATATTACATCAATGTATGCCGTATGAGAAATGTGCCAGGAGAAATAGAGGTTTAACAAATTGATGATATGCATTGGTGGGAGACAGCCAGAAATATGGACAGTGGAGAAAAAAACCCTTCACGGGCTGTACAAAAAGCAGATGAGAAATAATGATCCCCTATAATGTGGCTATTGATGGGAACTTGATAGAGAAGGCAGTTATTACTGAAGCAAAGGGAGGCAAGCATATGGATAATTGAGATTTGAGTGGTGAATGGGGAGTCCATGAATAATTTGAACTAAAATAGAGACCTTTGTAATTTATACACAGGTGATTGCAAAGCAAGGAATTTTAAGGAGGAATAACATTGTATTTGTGCGAGTTTGGAGCCTAACGCCGCGATTCATGAGATGCTTGGAGATCCATAGAGAAGAAAAGTGCAGTAATAAAGAAACAAATTTATGAGGCAATTAATGAACAATTACATACTATAGTTCACGTCAAACAATGATTACCATTGGTGTTTAAATTAAGAATATAAGCTAGTTGTAATTACTGGCGAAACGTCGTACTCAGATTGTAAATGTTGTGGCTTAGCTCTCTAACACACCGGTGTGCTGTACTAGTGACGAATTTGCATGTTCTGTTTACGTGACAACCCTTACTAATTGGCTGTGTCAGGTGGTTATTGGTTTATCGACACATTGATATATTTATGCGATCTAACCCAAAAAGACCTCTATTATGAAGATTATCCATTTTAACCAGTTTAACTATCACTTAAATACAACAACAACAAAAGGGCTATGTGCAGATTTCAAGGAAGGGTTTGAATGTGCACATTTGCACGTGTATTTGTGGATCGACTTCAAAGTAAAAATGTGACATTGTTATTTGAAACAGACCACTTTGGTGTGCTGGTAACATCTCGGCATTAACCTCAAAGCAAATGCTCTCCAATGCAGAATGCGGCTATCGACGTTATCTCTACCTTGCCTCTCTCGCACCGATACAAGCTCTCAATGTTTCAAAACACCGAAGATGACTCGAAAAAAAAGCGATAAATGTTATCAGTGATGGCAGGCGCACAATTGGAAGACTGCAAGTTCAAATCCTGTGCCCGGGAGTTTTACTAAGCTCATCATATCTCCACAGTCGATAAAATGACTACCACTTTGTGAGTAACTCAACAGTGGTTATCTTATGGTAAGACTAACCTCTGCCATTAAGAATTTGGAATTTATACCACCTGCTCAGGGCTGTAAAGGGCTGTAAACCTCTATGCTCATTAGCACAGGAAATCACTTTAAAATGACACCAGTGATATATAATAAAGATGCACAAAAGTGCTGTTATAAACTCCATAGCCAAGCCTTACTCCAATGCAGTTGTGCCAAAGCAGCTCCAACTTGAGGTCCATGAGGAATTTTAACAACCAAAAATATCACCCACATTTCTCAAGGTCAAGCAATGCTAAAAACAGATCAAAATGCAAGTCTCACCGCCACTAGCCCACCGCATTAAATAGAGCCCTGGGGGTTGTAGCGGCAAATGCATGAAATTTTAATTGAGTTGTTCTAAACGCTTCAACCGCAGTGCGAATAGAGCCTCGTGTTTTCACATGTTGGCGCTCATTATGCGGGGCAAACGTGTATCACGTTTATAAATACAAATCTTTTTCTTAAAATACACAAACAGAAACTATTATCAGGCAATTCATTTGCGAGGAATTAGGTTTCAGACGCTCCACTTTTTTATCTCAAAACAAAGCTCTGTGTTTTGGTCCCATTGTGATCTTGGCTCTGTATGACCACGAATCACAATGAGACAACAATGGCAGAGGATGAACACAGAAATGAGGGCTTACAATGATTGTAGTATCTTCTTGGTTCTTTCGGTAAAGTCACGTAGAAGGGAAGTAATAAAATAATAAAAATTAAACATAATAAAACAATTCTCACGACGTTTCGGCCACAACGCAAGCAGCCGTCCTCAGGTGAAAACCGGGTCTGTCGAGGCGATGGCAGACCAGGTCTGTCGAGGCGACGGCTGCTTGCGTTGTGGCCGAAACGTCGTGAGAATTGTTTTATTATGCTTTATTTTCATTATTTTATTACTTCCCTTCTACGTGACTTTACCGAAAGAACCAAGAAGATTAATCCCTGCAGTCACGAAAGCTTTAAATCGAAAAATGATTGTAGTAGTGAAAGACTGGCTCCTGCCACGGTAAGGGGCCATCCATTTCGTAGGTACGCAAAAATCTGTCAAAACTTGACCACTCCCCCCCTCCCTGTACGCACGCGGACTTTTTACACCCCCCCCCCCCACCTGCGTGGGTACGCTTGACGCACCCCCCGGAATCCTATAGAACGACCGATATTTAATCCACGCAGAAACGATCAAGGATTCATAATATTAACGTGTTTAAGCAAACAGATAGTCCACCTCTAACTCATTTGAAGGCCAATGTAGACAAAATTATTATAGAGGCCCCCCCCCCCCGTTTCCTATGTGTACGTACATTGTCAGTAGACCCCCCCATACGCAAGCGTACGCATTTGGGTTACACCCCTCCCCCTCCATGCGAACGTACTAAATGGATGGCCCCTAATGTGGACTTTCCACTCTTGGTTCAGGGCCATCAATAAACATGACCATTGTTTCCTCAACCACTTTGGAGCTGGGAGACTCTTTCAATAAGACTGGGTAAATAATATTATTGGACCAAAATAACCAACAGTATTTTCAACAAAATCAATTTTTTATCGTAAGCCTTACCCGAATTGCCTTGCCATTATCAGAAACATATCAATGTGCCAAAAGAAGAAAGTGTTCAACCCGTGCATACGTACATCATGGGACCTCCTTTGCCAGTACCAAAATATGAGAATAGGTTTTCCCCTTTTTTCTGGCAACAAAACAGGTGTTAAGATGTTATAACACCAAACTGAAACCTTTTACAAGGAATCATGTCTACATTAACCACAATGCTTGTGGTCAGAATGCAAACAAAAACAAAGCTGTCTCTGGTGTGGACCAATCAGTTTCAAACACAATGCATATATTATCAGAGTATGTTTTTTTTTGCAATCTGACCACAAGTATTGTGGTTAATGCAGACATGATTCCTTGTAAAAGGTTTCAGTTTGGTGTTTTAACATCTTAACACCTGTTTTGTTGCCAGAAAAAAGGGGAAAACCTATTCCCGTGCATATTGTCTGATATAACCTACGCAATGGAAATGAAGACACTGACAATTTGGATCAATATCCAAAAAAATATACAATCATGAAGAGATGCATGCTGGGAATTACACTGAGAGACATAAAAAGGAACACGTGAATCAGAAAATGAACGCAAATTAGAGATGATATTGACACTTAAGACCAGTAGGATTTTGCAGAGTACTGCTAGAAGACAGAATGGTTTGATTCATCAGACTGATATAATGGTACCTGAAGGAGGGAATGCACCATAGAGGAAGACCACTATGGAGATGCGACAATGAATGATAAGGATTATAGCATCAAAAGGGATGGTGACGATGTGGTGAGGACATCATCCAGCAGCGAATTTAAAATGGCTGTTGATGACGACTTTAACCTTTAAAAAACACAATCTTGTTTTAATGATACCTTTGGAAATGGTAATTTTGAACGATAAATGCCGTAACATTCCTAAAACGAGCAATTAACAGGGTAAGTATTCTTAGGTTTTTTCGGTAAAGTCACGTAGGTAAAAACATTAAAAAGTAAAATAAAATAAAAATCACGACGTTTCGGAGGCAACACAAGCTTCCGTCTTCAGGTGGTACCGTCACAGCCACGACAGCTGTATCAAGTAAATGAGAGATTGCAGGAGCTACCACTCCGTTTATGGCTGTGACGGTACCACCTGAAGACGGAAGCTTGTGTTGCCTCCGAAACGTCGTGATTTTTATTTTATTTTACTTTTTAATGTTTTTACCTATGTGACTTTACCGAAAAAACCTAAGAATATGAATCCTTGCAGTCACGAAAGCTTCAAATCTAGAATTAACAGGGTGAGATTTCCCCTCTAAGATTTCGACTACGCTTTAGTCAACGGCAGTAATGGCCACGGCAGACGCACTCTCGTCCTAGGTGAACAACAGAATCCCTTAAATTGCTTTTATACAAGAGCTGCAGCCCATAATGTTACAGTTATCGCATTACTTCTACGTAATGTAAAATTTATAGAGAACCTGCATTTTTAGAACACAAGTTCTGCCACTTTGGCAAGTAAGGTGGGATTTGTTTTGGACCGTTACATTTCTCTTCTCAAAA